TTTCTTGGATGCCTGAAAATAAAGGTTTTTGTATTAAAATCTAGAAAAAAATGTTTTGACGATTTTTAAAAAAATTTTGACGATATATTAAAAGACCTTATTTTAATCAGGGCTGTCTAGTTAGTGTCTTTCAGCATGTTCTAAATAGTAATGATACCAGCAGTTAATATGTTCTTTACAAATCGGAATGTTTATGGCTATATATCGTCATGCTTTACCCTCAAGATAACCCATTATATTAGGGTTTTTACCCATAGATGGTTAATGCATTGTTTTATGCATTAATTAAGAATTTCATCACCGTCTAAAAGGACCTTTTATATTCTGATCGATGTAAAAATCCGCCTTTTCTATGTTATTAACAATTAGCCTTCATGGACAGAAGAAATAACGTTTCAAACCCCCTTAAGCTTTATTTTGTATTGCGGCGTTCCGCCTATTCCTGTTCAATCTGGGCCCACGGGACCCAGACAACGACAGCTTGCAGCTCAACGGTCAAACTTGTGGATATATTGAAGATATTCTCATTCATTTTGATTTCATAAGTTCCCATCATACTGCTTGGTGATCTCCATTCACAATCCAATCATAGGTCTGTGAAAGAGACTCTGTCCACCCCCTACGGGACCCGAACATCGATCTCCGTAATGTTGTGATTTTTGTAGATTTCATCATTTCTATTTCCTGTGGTTTTGGCACCGCCTTTTTCACAGAATACTACTAGTTACATCATTTTTTAAAAGATAGGTGTACAGCCTCATACAATTTGTATTTCTTGACTGAAGACATAGAATCCATACTACCCCAGATATTTGAATGTATACCACATGATTGGCGCCATCTCCCCCCCCCCCCCTTTTTTTTTCTAGAGGACCCTGTGATATCAGAGGATAGATATAGCGTTTATGTTTCTCTTCAGTAACAGCATTATGAAGAGAAACCGCGTCTGGTTAAAAGTAACCAGTCAACCTGTTACTTTTTTGCTACTATTGTATTTTTGCCATAGAAGTAAAAAAATACTCTTTTGGTCTGCTTTGTATAATTTCCGCTTGTCCCCTGTACTTCCAGGCTTACAGACAGGTCTTGAGTGAGTTTTCGTATCTTTAACCTGTATATACATTTCGGCACATAAGTGATCACAAGAAAGGTATTACTATACAGAATAAAAGACATAAAAGCTTTGCTGAATATTAGCATGTGTTTTCAAATTCGTAGTGAAAACTTGCTAGTGCATCATTAAGATTTCATATATTATATATCATATTTTAACCTCCATTGTTTTATATTGTATGGACCCCACCCCCCCTCTGTATTCAATCTGTTGTGCCTATTCACCACGACAGTGGAGCATTTGATATATAAACTGTCTAAATATGATAATATCTTAATAAACCAGCCAATCAGCTCACTGTTCATATAACACCAAAATACAGACGTTGTGAAAGAGGTCCCATTCAGAATAGGGGACTAACTAGTCCGAGGATCAAATATGGCGACCTACTACAAAGCTTGCCGTCTAATCGGCTAATAGACACTGAATAGATATCCCGTGGGGAAGTATTCAAGTGGCCCTCGAACTAGTTAGTCCCCTATTCTGAATGGGACCAGAGACATGAACCAAATACCATACTCCACTTAACAAGACTTTCAATTAGCCCAAGATCAATTGCTCTTTTCCCCTTTGACATCCCTGGTGGTATAAGATGAAGATGAAAGTAAAGTAAGTAAAGTGCAGTATACCTCAGTCAGTACAGTACATGTCCTTTTATCCGAGAAATTACTTTAGATGTAGACTGCTTCTCTTCTTGGTTAAAAAAGTAGATTGTGGGTTACTTCTACCCTTATATCAATATAGCTTTTACATAATCATGTCATCCCCTTACTTACGCCTTCTTCGCTTATCAAGATCAATTATTTTTTCTTTTTTAAGTCGATTGTTCACATCGTACGATTCTATTTTTTTCTACGTGATGACACGAAAATAATTTCTCCAGTATTCTCCGTTAGTAATAAATATATCAAGAAAAAACTATGCTTTTATGATAAATTGTATTTTAAGAAAAGTAGTCTCATTTGTAGTTTTCAAGCCATAACGGCAGGGGCATATTGTGTTCTTTTGTCAACTTGATTTATAGACTTAATATATTTAAGGTCAAATAACAACATTTTACTGAGTACTCATGTCCCTTTACCTCTCGTAAGGATGTTATGATGTACACTCTTGCTAAAATGATGGAATGTTCCGACAGAATATTGCATTTGTGATTTCAGTAAGGTCAACCTAAGCCAAACTGCACCATTCATCAAGTTCATTAGTGTTTCATTAAAACGCCATGTTCTAACTTCGAGTGACAGTACATTTGTGACACTTTGCCTATTTGGGCTCCTTCCTGGTCATCAATTTAACACTTGGTAAATCACCACCAATTCATAGCGAAAAGCAAAGCGTAGACAGATGCAAAATACTAGCGTCACCTAAAGTCAAGGTTATTCCATGATAAGTTCGAGCACTCTAGTTAGAATCTCGTATAGCTGCCTATAGGAGTCTATCTTTCGTGGGTTTGCAGGGCCGTAGCCTCCGGGGGGGCAGGGGGGGGGGCAGCTGCCCCCCTGGGATTTGAGGTGCAAAAAAATAAATAAATAATAATCGCAAAGGTAAATAATAATTAATAAAAAATAATTGCAAAGTTGGTATCAATTCTGTGAGAAAATGCACTCGTGGCCACTAGACAATCATTCAACAATCTGTTTACAAAGGTGTACTGTTGTTAGCCAACTCAGTTCATGCCAAAAAGCTCACCCTCCCTTAGGGAGCTATCCTTAGGGGAGCTATACTTATGGCAAAATGAACCCACAATTTCTGACTTCTGATTGAGCAATAAAACAGTTAAAATGCACCAGAATACAGTATTATACATACAGTTTTTAAAAATTTTCCACACCGTGGGAGAGAGACCCCCCCTCCCACACCCTCCCCCCTCGGGGGCTTCGACACCTCGTGTCCGCTACTGCCCCCCCTGGCATTTTGCTCAGGCTACGGGCCTGGTTTGTCTGGCCCAGATTGTTGGGTATGATCAACCCACTCTTCTACTAAAGCCTTTAACAGCTCATCCATTGAAGCCGCCTGGACCCCCCTTCCCTTACAGCCCGGTCTAATGCCTCCCAACAACGTTCAATGGGAATCAAATCAGGGGAAAATACAGGCCAGTCCAGTGGCTGAATTTCCTGTTTCTGGTATAAGAGTCGTGTTGTTCAGATAGGCTGAAGAGGGTATCGTCATGTTGGAACGGAAAGTGAAAGCCAAACTAGCCTCCAGCCTAACGTACCAATCTAAAACTTTTCATCAAAAGTGAACGCAACTAAACAATCTCGGTATCGAAGGTGCAATGTTCCATCTGTGTTTGATACTGAAGAGGTTTTCTGATATAAGGGAGAAGTCTAATCTGGTCTGATTGACAGAGTTTTTTCTACTCCGCGTTTTAAAAGTGCTGGGTATTTGATACTTTAAAGATTATTGAAAGTTAACACTGTTCGCTTTGCTAACGCTGGTTAACGCGATGGCCTTATACATGTATCTTTTATATTGAAATAGAAGTCCAAGTCACGAAGAAATACCCTTACTGTTGAATATGTAATAGCAGTTAAAGGTCATTAAAGCAAAAAGAAGATAGCGATGAACCACGCTGTTTAAAGCAAGAGATGCAGGGATGTGACGCTCCTTCAAATCCAAATGAATCTTAATGTTTGTCACCAACTGACCGCCTGTTGCTATTTATACACATTAATAAGACCAAAAGCTTTCATACGTTCTAACATTCGATGTGTTCATGATTATCTTTAATTTAATAGGTCTGGTCCTAATCTGTATCCGGATTCATCCTCCCGTCAAAATAAATGGAAATGACACAGTCATCATTCGGCATGTCATGCATTGATATGGACAAGTTATTGCCAAGTTTTATTGCCAAGTCAGTGTTTGGGCCGTATGTATCAATAAAGCTGACAGTTAAGATATTATTGCAGCTCACTAAAGTCCCATTTGTCTGAATTAATAATTACAGGGTGACCCAAAACAAAAACAGACCCATAAAACTCATAAAAATTTTATGAAATCCTACAATTTAAAAGGTCCACTTAAACTTCCATATGCGCATGATCATTCCCTAAAGTTTCAGTTATCTTGGTAGCTTTGCATAAAAGTCATGTTCCATGCCATTGGAGGCACACTTGCATACGTCTAAAAAATTGAAATTGCTGTGGCAGTGCTGGGGAAGTTTTGGACATCACTGGGGCAATTCAGAGTGATAGATCAAGATGGACAGTGATTTCAACAAAACAGGGCCACCCCTACACATTATCTGACTGAGAGAAGGATATTTCAAGAGTGACTGCTCAGCATGAAGTGTGATGTTGAGTGGGCACGGTATTCACCGGACTTGACCCCCCCCCCTATATTTTTATCAGTGGGGGGTATCTCGATGGCAATTTGTACCAGAACAACCCTCAAATGATTGGCGAACTGAGGGCATCAATCACAGCAAAAATCATGGAAATCCCGAAGTAGGAATGGGCTCGAGAATTTGACAGTTTTTTGCGACGCATGCAAGTATGCATCCAATGTCATGGAAACCATTTGGCGCATATCTTTAAAAAGAACATAACTTTAATGCGAAGGGACCAAGATAACTGAAACTTTAGGGGATGATTATGCACATATTGAAGTTTATTCCAGCATATTTCTTGAAATTTGATGGACATTTGTAGGATTTAATAAAATTTTTATGTTTTTTTCTAATTTTTTGGTCACCCTGTATCTATCCGTCTCGGAGATAAAAGCCATCTTGTGACGTTGTTCAAGTAATCCAGTGCTTTCAGTTCTGTCCTTGCTTTTTGTGTCACAGGATCAGAGACCAAATAATAAATCAGCTTTTTCGGAAATAACAGACGTGTCCAGATATATCGCCTTTCATGACCAGAGTCAAATTAGACATCTCACCAAATCAAAGTCCTGTGGTTTATTGAGAAGTAAACATTTTGTCGATCAATAAATCGTGATCTAAAGAAGCTTTGATTTACATTTTACATTACATTTGCTGTATACAGCCAGAAATATGTCTGTCGGGTCAGTCAAACAAATTGAGAGACAAACAGGCAAATGAAAATAAATTCTTACATTGAAGCATAATCTTAATTTGGGTAGCAATATTTCACGATAAAATAAATATATTTCCGTAATAAAGAGATTGTAGATTTGGTTTGTACTGTAGTTATTTAGTCAGAATATCTGGCTCATTAAATTCTAGACCAGACCAAAGTGAAAACGGTTTTGATGCAAGTCATTTCACCAAAACTTTATCGAAGACTACCAACCAATTGTTGCTCCGTTATTCATAATAGAAACCATACACCAATGCGGTTGCAAATATCGACTCATTTTGATAAGATGCGGTAGCGAAGTTGTCCACGGATGGGTCCCAAACACATCTGCTGGCCACCTCGATCCCTTGGCCACAATTTTGGCCCAGGAACACATCCACGACAAGTTTATGTCGTCTGAAGCCCATGTCCTTTACTCTGCATTTAATCTGATTGGAAAGGTCCACTGACAAGTTGCGTGCCGTGTAAGTTGTGTACGTGACATCCTTTAAGCTTGATGCCAAAAGTTCGCTGAGAGCTTCCTCCACTTTTCCCTGCCTGAATCTCATACTTCCGTTTGGTTCCAATCGGTATGTATTCTCAAAGACCACTTTTTGTTTAGACACTGATGCTCGCTTGGCGACAATCGCTAACCGCTTGGCTGCAACGCTCATCTGCGCGACACTCTTCATAGAACAAACCGTTCCCCTTCTTTTCTTCTTGGGACCGGCAGACGGTAGTCGCACGATGGGAACGCTTCCATGCTGATTATCTGTCTGGGCTTGAAACCCTGGCTCTGCGTCCTTTAATGGCTCGCTGTCTTCTTTTTCACAGATCCTCTCAGTGGATCCATACCCAGACGACCCAGAATCTGTGGCTTTGCGAAGAGTCGTCACCATCGCTGTTCCTAAAGACTCCATTGCATCTCCAGCGCCTGGTCAGATCTAAACGACAAAGGGGGTTGAATTAACGATGTGATTAAGTAAATCAATCTGAGCGTTCTTATAATGAGATAAATGAATTGATTTTAGACTGGTGATGGACGTAGGTCAGCAAACCTAATCTCATATGAAGTAATGTTGTAATCAGAAATTAGAGAACTAAACGTAACAAACCCGTATCTGATCTTAGAATATTCAAAGCTGACTGGTCCAACCTATATAAAACTACATAGAAAGTTATGTTGTGTATAAAAGGGATTGAAAATACACAAAACAATGCTGTCATTTTCAACACTGAAATCCAATTATGTGCGACACAGAAATATACAGCGTATAATAATATAATATTCAAAACGAATAGCAGAATCAAGAAAGTTAAAATCTGTCACACAAAAATCAAAGAGTGAGCTGAACCAGGAAAGAGAGGGCTTAGCCATTTTGCTTATGTGCTATATCGTTCTTGAAAGTAGAAGAGAGAACAACATTTAATCTCACCCTACATTCCTGGCAGCGTGTGGCTAATCTGTGCCTACCTCAGTTATCGTGAAGTATTAGAAGTCACGATATTTTGGAGCATAAGATAATTCAAAGCTAAATTCGCTAATCATTAAGGCTAATATCACGATCGTTATCGACACAAAAAACAACAGTTTTGAGCACGACATAGAATTATGTGTGAAATTGCAGTGTTTTTCTTTGGCTTGAATATTATAAAATTCACTTAGGCTCGCTCTATTAGCATTGCCTAATGCGCTGCGGCAGAGTTACATAACTTATGTTAGTTACAGTTGTTACAGTAAGTTAGGCCCACTGAACCTCATACTGGACATACCACACACCTGTGTAAATTCACCTACTTGTTTTGAAAATGGCCACTTGGATAAAGAGAGACAAAGAGTCGATTATCAAAACTTTTATTTTTGTCATTAAAAGAAGTTTTGATTAAAAAAGTTACAAGTCAACACAGATACGGGATTTATTTTAAAAAACAGTATCATATGACAGTTGACGACACCATCACTATCAAATTCAAGATACCCTTTATACGCAAGGCCACCTCTTTGGTATATTAATCTATCTGCAAGAAAAACCTTATTTGGACAAGAAGAATAAACAATGTAAAGAACGGCCAATATTAACCATGTCGTCATTCTGCACGCTTTGATAATGGAAATTAAATCAATCTGAAACTTTGACAATTTTATTAGAAAATTACTTCTTCAGAGAAAAGAGAGAGAGAGAGAGAGAGAGAGAGAGAACGGTATTACCTCTTCTTCGTTTTCAATCAGCGTGATTTCCCACGAGGTGTAGATCAATGTTCCTCCTTTCACCTGGCTCAAGGCGTCATAATGTTACTGCAATTTCTTATCTTTTTAGGTAAACCCAAATAAAATTCTCATCCCTGGTGACTCCAAACAATTATTCACAGATTCTTACCTCACGATTATCATTTATCCACCCAATAGATGAACTTCTTTTTTCTTTTTTTAACGCGGGATCCCGATTTAGTCTATTGGTTACTTGGTCCGGGTCAGGCAATGTGTACTTGGTATAAAGGGGCGGTTGTTATTTGCCACCGGGGCCATCACAGAGTTCATTGTGTTGTTGTGCCCCTAAAATTTACACAACAAACCATCCAAACGCCTGAACTGAATGGCAATCCTTCCTCCCTGCAGCACTGGCAAACAAATACCATTGTATCAGATGTTTAACAATTCTCTAATAGTCTTAAACTAACAGCACAATGAATAAGTTTGTTTCCTATCAATCAAGCCGATTTCAATTTGACAAAGAGCGGATGAAATGAGGAAAGCTCCTGTTAATCTAGTGCGTGTTTGGCAAGGCTTCTGCGGTTTCAGAGAGAGTATAAATAGCCAATTTGTTTTGATAAAATTACTGACATTTGTTACCTTTATCCCACAAATAGTATTCTCAATTCCATCTCCACATAAGCCTTCTTGGGAAAGAAAACAAAAGTAAGAAAAGGAAGTTCACTAGACTTTAGCCATTTTTTCCTTTAAGGGACTAGTGGAACTTATGCTCGACAGGTAGAATTAAAAACAGTTTGAACTTACCTGTTGATGTGTCTTACGATGTATTTACGAGCTGATAAGTATTTTTAATAAAACTGAACCCATACGTAATACCTTGGGTACTATTACATCAATCATTTGGCTATATATACCTTTGTATACACTGGGTAGAATAAAATCAAGCATTGAACATTATGACTATTTCCTAATTTATATTAAACGCTATAAAACAAAACATTTAGTCCGTCTTCATTTTATCTCTCACTTTCGGTATGACCTATACAGACATGTCGCATCCAATGTGTGACTACTGCCAGCGACAAAACATATCGTATTTGCCAAAAGAGATTGCTACATCTCAACCCACTGGTACATCTAACACAATCAGCCATAAACTTACTTGATCTATGATTGTCATCTTGGTGCCCTTATCACCTAACACAATGTTATAATCTATCAGCTGGTCATGGATCTTTAGATATTAAAAATATTCATTTGAAGTAAAGAAAAATTATCTAAGAGATATTATCTAAAACTTTGTTCCTTTATTTTTTGTTTAGTGACAAGCAGTTGTTAGAAACATGGTATGAAAACCATTCAATAAAAAAATTACCAATGACAAAGAAAACCATTATTTTGTAATATTTTATTTGATGTAAACAAGATGAAATTCTATGTACAATGAATACGTTAAAACTTACATATTAGCAAGTCACTATACTTGGCTAATGGACGGAAAAATATCACATATGTTACAATAACATGTTGACACTCTGGACACAATCAGAAGCTAAAAGCATTTCTCCAGTCCATAAAACTGAAAGATGCAGTTTGGAAGCTTCAATCAAAAGTTCCTTTTTTTATTCCTGCATGGACCTCCTGCACCTTAGATATGGTAGTCACATTTTCAACAAATGTTCGGCTTCAAAACATGGATGTGGTTGGTAGTAGTGGCAATTGTGAAATACAACATGAATTTCAATAAAATAAATACTTTTCTTTTGTTTGCAGTAATAAAAATATAAACTTGTCCATTTTCAAGTTATAGGTAATCTTTAATTCTATTCCTCTACAGGCTGTTGTTGTTCTTCTTCAGCCTCCCCTTCCCCGCCTCCATCTCCTTCCTCAGCAGCCTCTGTTGTCTCTGGTTGTGATTCAGGTTCAGCTTCTGTCTTTTCAGCCTGGAAGGTTATAATGAAATATTATATATTATTTCTAAAAATAATAATAATAATTTGAAAAAGTATTAAGTGATCTGTTAAAGACTCTTATTACCTTAAGTCATCTTACTATTTAATCTTTTAGTGTATGCAAACATGTACGTAACATGTAATGGTAACTATGGACAATAAAATATATATTAAATATATAAATACAATAAGCAATAATAACTGACAATTACCTCAGTTGTTTCAGCTATCGTTACTTCAATTCCAGCCTGTCCCTCTGTCGTTGGGGCAGTCTCAGTTTCACCCTCTGCTTTCACAGTCTCCGCCAGCTGGTCCACAGCCTCCTGGTAATTTGTTGCCACCTCATTGGTCAGTTCATACTTCTTAAAATGCTCCCACCGCTGCTTGACCACTTCACGCAGAATGCCATCCACGACCAGGCGACCAAGGTTCTGTTTCTCAAGTCTCTCAGCCACTCTTTCCATAAGCCATGGGATAAAGCCTTGTTCAACATCTGTAACACAATTTAAATTTTGTAAAATCAAATTGTTCTTTATATACGATCATTCACGCCAAGACAATTATCACAACGATGCTTATAACAAATATCTGAAAATGGCTAATAAATTTAAAAGAATGGTAGAGCAAAACTTGGTGTGTGGACCTACCTCTTTCAATGGGATCGAAGAAGTATCCGTTGTCTGATAGCGTTCCAAAAACTGAAGGCACCAAGTCTGCCAGGTAGCTTTGGGCAAAGGCACGCGCAGCAATTTTGTCTGCTGTTTCTTTTTCTTTTCTAAGAATTTCTCTTTGTTGTTTCATGCGACGTTCCTAGACATACAAAAAATTGGAGTAAATCATTTTGTTCTTATTCAGTCAAACATATGTTGTAATAGTGGGGTCCTGTGCTGCTGAATGTCCTATATCTGAGATATTATAGCCTGTGATATTAACAAAATTCATCTGAAACACATTTAATCCACCACCTTTAAAACATAACATTAAAGAAAATGTCTAATCTAAGTCACAAACTGTCTGTATAATCTTTACCTTTTCTTCTCTATGCCTCCTCTCTTGTTCCTCTAGCCTCTGTTGTTCCACAAGTTCTGCGTTTCTCAGTTCTTCAAAGGATCTTTGCTGCGACCTAAGATTCGCCAGTTCCTCCTCTTCCATTACCTCCAACAGAGACTGCTCCACTGTCTTACCCACCAACACCTCCAGAATTGGCTTGACTTCAATGTCAAAGTCGAAAAGCTGAAAAAAATAGAATTATGCATATACTTTAAAATAATTTGATAAAAATATATAGATAAATAAAAATAAAAAAAAGCTGGTACATCTGATAAGAAATTTGCCTTCTCTGCCCTCCATTAAAAAATCAATTAAAATAAATTACATTTAAAATAATAATTTTAAAACTAGAAAAATTAAATTTAATAGCAAGATTTTCTCACCTCTCCTTCTAGAATTTGTGTAGCAATATCCACACCAGTCTTGGCAGGGATAAACATAGGAGAAGGAGGTCTGTCCAGAAAGGCATCTGTCTGACAGTCAACATCAGCCTCTTCAACACGGTCACTCAGTTCTTCCAAGTATAGTTCTGTTTGAACATCAATGTGCTTACGCCCTTCTACTGCCTCGGGAGATCTGGGACGAAGCTGTTCTTTTGCTCTTTTTCTAGCAATTGCACGCCGCCTTGCCTCTTGTTGTCTCTGAATCTCAATAGGGTCTGGCTGTGCTCTCTGGAGTGACACAGGATGATGTGAATATCAACTGAATTTCCACAACTTCAAGTAGGTTTTATATTGATAAAAATTTTATCAGACTTTGATTTAATGATCACTGATTCTGGACAGTGTGAATTTTTCATTTTTAAAAATTGGCCTCAATATGTCAAACCAGAATCATGTTTGTGTTTGTGAATTGTTAAACTCTTTTACTATCAATTATCATTTTATATGACAAACACACTTACTGCTGGTAGTGTGTGTTGTGCATATGTGTTTCCTCGCACAATTCTTCTATCATACATAATGTTGCCATATGGTGCTGGACCTTCATTTCTAAAAAGAAGAAAAATAAATAGTATTATCTACCATCCGTTACTAGGAGAAGTATTACAACTAACTTGCAATAATAATTTGTATTTTCTTTGAAAAATATTTTGCAAATAACTAAAATATTTTAGGCAGTTTTTTTCATTACATGATCTACATGCTTAAATGAAATACACTTCAATATAACATGGGACATACACTGAATATTCTACCTCTTGTAATAGGTAGGTTTCTTATATCACAACAGAAAATTAATCTATAATGTTGTAAATGTCATTGTAATCAAGTGGCTGACTGAAAATCAGTTTTGTTTAGGGAGACTGGCAGACTGTATTGCCAATGTTATTTTGTAATATATCAATCTTAAGAAGAGCATACACTGATGCCGATTCTATAATTAAAGACTTTTTTCTGTAATTAATTATAATACGAGACCCTCTGTAAATCTTGATCAAGACACTTGTACTTTCTTGTTCAAAATGGACGATGATAAATATATTGATCTTCTTTACAACGTCCATATAATGTCGATAAATAATATCATGGATCTATATATTTTTATTATAATCATAGCAATACTTACTGCTGTTCTGTTTCTCTGTACTTTCGTCTCTGTTGTACAGCTCTTGGTTGACTAGCAAAGGTGTATGTCCCTTCAGTCTTTTGAGGTAATAATGTAGTCATCTTCCCAGATTTTTATCACCAAAACAATGTCCTTCTGTGCGAGAGATATCAACTAAAACCCCTTCAATCAGCAACTCTCTCCTTTTAGCAATGTGGAATGGACGACCAAAACACTAATCAACACAGCATCAATTGGACGCCTCACTTTGAGGATGAATACATAAGAATTATATCTTGAATGCTATATTTTCTATGCTTTATGATCGTAAATGTTATACAAAAAATTGTATAATATGCAATAATTAACGAAGCTACTGGTTGAAAATGACATCTATCATTCAATTCTATAATATTTTGTGCAAGTGAGGACTATTTTATGAGCGGATACAAAACAACTTTGATTGACCTGTTTATGTCAATAGTTGCTAAGCGACAGCCACCAGATGTCTCTAAGAAAGTCTTTCAAGACATACTACTGTGTAAGTCTCCGAAAGGAATAAGATCTCACTTTACACATCTGCTTCTTAGCGAATATGTCGTAGATGATTATCCACTAAATATGTCACTAGAATAGTTCGATTCATTCAAAACAAACTGTTGGCCTATCTTGTATCCTAAGAAGGCTTCTTAAAGGAACGCATGCGCAGATACTTATTCCCTGGAGAGGGCGCTCTTTTGTTGATGTCTGACGTCATATCTACGGCAGCCATGACAGTTTACACAGGTGTGCTTTGGAGGCTTGTCTGGGTTGTTTGTACCAGCTAGCTCAGTTGCCGCATGTATCACTGAAACTTTAAAAGTAAGTAACTGGTATTTTGCCATGTAGACATCCGAACATGAGTTTGCCATTTACAAATCATTGAAAATTCTGATAAAGAAGAATAGTAACATGAGTAAGGGAGCAGTTGCGTTACAAAGAAATAACTGTCAACGATCGATAAATGTTCTTTGGTATTTGACTTGTGATTTGATGATCATGGGTAATACCAGGAGCTCGTTCTCTCTTTTATACATGGCAGTATTGAGAAAGTGATGTTGGTCAAGTTTTTAATAATTCAGGTTTTGCAACTGCTTCAGACCGTAAAGGTATTTTTAATACACACGTACTGTATAATAACCGTACTCAGTATCTGCCCCAAAGCAAACCTGTAATTGATTTTATTGTAAGAAACAGATTTTTAAAAAGGTGTTTTACACATACCACATGAATCTATTTTACTCTTGCATGTGTGTATGTATTTCATGATATTATTACTTTTTGCTGCAACATTGAGTGGATTTTATAGGCGATAACCATTGTATAACCAAAAATTTCATTAAAAGTTGAACTTTAATTTGGACATGTTTAAGAAAAAATTGTATGAAAGGCATTCAGTTCTACTTCCAATCTAAAAACTTACCTCAGTACCTAGACAATTTTAAGATTGAATTAAAACTTTTGAGAAACATTGTTTCATACTAATTTTACCTTTCTTTACTTTGCAGGAAACGGCCAAATGAGTTTTCACTAATCAAAATGAGTTTTTCTATGCACACTTAGCTGCAACAGCTGTGTATTGCTGTATAGTCTACAAGTAGCTGGCTGGCACACAATGACAAATACAATTAACCCCACAGAACAATTGTCACATCTATCCCAGTTCCACAAGTAGTGCATTGCATTCCTTAGCACATTGTCACACCTAAAACACCATGGCCACCAGCTCTACCAGCACACTGCGTAAAAGGCAACTCAAGGAATTCTACAGGAAAGCCCACTCGTTGCTCAGTGAGGACGACCGTGATTATCTCTACAATGTACTCAAAGAATACCAGTCTTACAAGAGAGTGGATAAACTAGTACAATGTCTCCAGTCAGCATTAGATACTCCTGTCAAACTGGATTTATTGAAGGACATACGCAATTTAATACCAGCAGCACACTTGAGTCTCTATGATCAGTTGGCGCCCTATCATAAAATGGCGCATCCTTTTGTCCCACCAATACATTCCACCAGGGGGACCCACTCTGCAGGACATTCCACTGGGCACCCCAGGCAAAAGTCAAGACCAGCATTAAATGGTAAGCAATGGGGGTTTCCTCGTAAATATATTTTCTCTTTTAATGTCACTAGTTGGCTCGCTTTTATAAGTAATAAATGTGAATATAGGATTAGTATTTTAGTTGATTAGATCAACTTTTGACACCCTGGTGCAAGAAGAGCACTTCAAGCTGATATTGGTCAAGTATATTTATTACAGATTTATTAACAATTTACTAGACTTGAAAGTATGAATATACAAATGGGGCAGTTAGTCAAAAAGTAGCTGGTTGATACTTATGGTAAATCTTATCTTTCTTTATATCAAAATTAGTAAAACATTTTCCGTATGTAATTTTATTTATTGAATTGGGGAGATAAATATTATTTTACAATGAAATCTTTTTATATAAATATAAACATATCATCTTCACTATGCACTACTTCACACAACTTTTTCTGTAGTCTGTCCCTGGGGTTGTCATTATTTTAAGGTGGCAACTATCAGTCATTCTTTACAGGTAGATAGCACCCCAAGAACTGAAGGTTATCACTGGTACTGTATTATAGGACTTGTGTAACAGTCTGTTCATACCTGAATATTATCGTGTTATTTTTGATAGGCACCATCTAATACCAGAACACTATCACTGTTATGTAACCCGCTACTTTATGTGAAAGGACACAAGCTTATCTCAATCCTGGTTTAGGGCCCAATGCAGAATAGTGGTGTCCAGGTGTTGGATAGTGTGATGTCCCTATTGATTATACTGGTACAGGTTTGTTAATAAACTTATAGAGAGTCTCCCTGACTGCAATGATCAATACTAACAGGTGTATGTTTTATCAATAATAGAAGATTGTTGCTGTGAAGAGATCAATGTAAACTGTGATCAGGTAGTTGTTCCTGTTAAGTAGAGGGCATTGATTTTATTGCAGGTGAAGTAAACAACAGAATCAAGTTAAACATTCATACAAGAACACATCAGTCACCGTGTAATTAGGCAAAGATTTAAGCTAATATACAGCCCCCTATATGATATGTTTTATCATGCAGAATTTGTAAGAAACCTATGTTTCTCTTAGAATGCTATTTAAAGAGTGTATTCAGTGGCTTATTGGCATATGGCTTTAGAAAGGCTGTAAATATTTAAAATATGTAGCTTTGAAATTAAATTCCATTTACCGGTGTATTGCGAGGATACTAAAGCTTGGGAGTATGTATACAAAGAGATGCCATAGTGCTAATGGTAGGTTAAATAAATTTGCAGTTTAGGATACTAGTCATAGTTGCTCTATACCTATAATTATGCTTTTTCTCACGTTCCAGTTGAACTGTTTACTCTTGACATTCCAATATTTATCTCTTGAAATTACTGATCAGCTGTTTAAGTGGACCTGTTGTCTTTCATAATAAGTTTACTGGTGAGTTGAAATTTTTGTATCTAAATCAGTAGTAATTCATTCATGCATTCTATTTCCAGGTCACATCTCAGGCTACCAGACACTGCCCCTGAACAGAGGACATAGAAAGGAACAGGGTTCATTCCTCACTGTGAACATAGACAAACATCCTGATGAGTCCCTGGGCTTCAGTATTAGAGGAGGATCAGAGCACGGACTGGGGGTGTATGTCAGCGAGATTGACCCTGGGTCTGTGGCAGGTGAGGAGGCAATGGGCAGGGGCGGATCCAGATATATTTTCTGACAGTCTTCCAAATTACCTTTGTTGAGCCTTCCTCCATTTTGACCGTCTTCCGACAGAAAACATCAGATACCCATCAATGTAAACTTAAAAATCTGACCGTCTTCCGGAAGACCCAAGATGAATGTGTTAGGTGGGCCAGATAGGCTGCTGCATCTTTAATTGCGTCTGGGTGTGCCTGCCTTTACTGTTCAATTTTTGTTGTATGTCAGATATTTCAAAGTGATTTTAGATATTCTTAGTTGTAGATTTAAAAGTGTGTGACAGTGCCAAAGAATTTGACATTGTGTGCTGAGTTATTATAAATGTCTGTGACATAATTTTCTATTACAGATCGCAGTGGTCTCCAGTTGGGTGATCAGATCCTTGAAGCCAACAATGTGAACTTTGACAAGGTGGCCTCCAGCAGTGCTGTGAGGGTCCTCACTGGCAGCAACAGGCTGAAACTGGCAGTGAAGAGAACTGGGAAGATACCAGGGCTCAAATATGCCAGGGAGAAGACATCTTGGTAAATATGCTGGCCTGAAATTATTTTCTGGTATAAACTATGCTCACTGTACCAAATTAACCAGAATTTAGTTTATCCATATTGTTTTAACCAAGTCAGTTTCCAGTCAGTTCAACTGGAAAATTTTGAAAAAAAAAGTAGTAGATAAATCATATGTATTTTATGACTTATTATCAATCCACTTGAATAGAAATACCTCAGTTACTTATTCCAAATTCCAGGTTTGACACAAATGAGCACAAGATAGTTGATGGTCAGTTCTTTCCCCATGGGTCACTTCACATTCCACTGGACAGCCAACAGAGTGATAATGGTGTCAAGAAAGTGAATCTGACCACTACAAAGCGAGGAGAGTTTATAGGAATAAACATACGTGGGGGCAGTGAATATGGACTGGGAATATATGTGTCAAAGTTAGTATTGTGTACTGTCTCATTAGTATCTCATCCTTATGAGGAGGGGAGTTCTACCTCGAAAAATGCAAAAAAAAGTGTCTCATATTCAGTGCTGTACTGTGTCTGTTATTGTGAAGCTTTGTGTGTCTGTTCTGTACTGAAAGATTTGATAATTTATTGTGTGTATTTATATTTGGTTTCTGACTTTTGTCATATTGACTCAGCCATTATATTTCTTTAAAGCTCATGTCATCTTCAGTTGATGCTTATTAAATTTAGGGTTAAATAGTTGATGGGGATCACAACAAAATCTCACAATCTGTTTATCTGTGTAAATCGTAGACTTGACTATAATATGTATTTGTATTTAGTAATTGACTGTTATATTTCTGTCTGTAGAGTTGATCCAGGAGGGCTGGCAGAGGAGAAGGGGATTGTGGATGGGGATCAGATTATAGCTGTCAATGGACAGAACTTTGAGTGCATCACTCACTCCAGAGCTGTAGAGTTTCTGCAGACACAGTCACAGCTCATACTCACTATAAAGGTACCAACAATAACAGGGCTTCTACTCATTATATATAATGTAACAAAATATAACAACTATAATTGAATTTAAACTGATTTAGCAACAATGTTTTACTTTTGAATGCATATGCTGTTTAATGATAGAGGTTTCTAACTATAATATTAAAAAGGAAGAATTTATTGCTCTTATCATTTATTGAAGGAAGTAAAGTGTTGTGCAGGAAATGATAAAAGTTACTGTTTCTACATGTATTCATTTATAACTATTTTCTACAGCACATTGGAAAGTTCCCTGTGTATAAAGAGATGTATGCTGAATATAGCTGGGTTGACGGAGAACCAAGGAGAAGGAGGAGAAACAGTAAGTTTTTGGCATACCTTCCTTGTTTCCTTACTTCAGAAATATTTCCAATTTAGTTAAATTCAAAATAGATAGTCTAATGCAAGGGTGTGCAAGTTGAGCTGTATAAATCCTGTAGATGAAAAAAGGGATTCATAGTACTAGAATAAGATATATATATATATAGAAGTTTATTAGTGTTCACATGAATGTTATTCACCTAACTTAGTTGAACAATGTGCATGTCTTGTTTGAAGGTTCAGACTCAGATTCTCTGTTATCAGAAGGTAAACTGTTTGGATTGAGATGGGTTTCAATGTTTTTTTTTCCTGTGAGAGTGTGTTGTTTTTATGTTGGGTGCTGAGTAGATTTCTTGATGCAAAAATGAACAAATAAGATTTTATTTTTATTTATATTTCATTTTTTGTTTATTTTTATTTTGAAAGTAGCAATAGAAATGATATGATTTTTGTGGATTTGAATTGCATATTATGTTTCATTTTCACACCATCCATCATACATGCTAATTATTTTTTGCTGGCTGTTGTGTAGTTTTAATGCATTTTTATGTAATGAGTGTAAGAACTTATGAGAAGATCCCAGAGACCAAATTGTTTATGTAAAACTATAAAACCCAGGAAAATTATTTAATTGTTAGTGACAGTTCTTGCAGACTGTATCTATCCCAATACTTATGTATATTATAGGGCCTGCCACTGCCCCTCCCCCTAGACCACATAGCAGTTATCATCCCAGAGAGGACACGCCCCTTGTTGAGAGTAAAGCGGAGGTGTTCACTCAGACCCCCAGCCCCACTCCCAGTGGAGAGTCCTATAGGTTGGTACATCTGGACAACTTGATCTCATTGTGTTATCTATTAGTTAACTCATTCTTTGAGTACTTATGTTGGAAAGCATTTTTGTCAGAGAAGATGTAGTATTTTAATCTTATGCATCTGTTTGATAATCTATTTTTGTAATTCTTGCTAAATCCTCAACTTTAGCACAATATATATCATGTTGTATTTAAGCATTAAAATATTTCATTCTGTACTCTTCCATATTTTTATACTCACAGGATGAATTATATGCTTTTAGTTATATATAAAATCAAATTGTTTTGTACTGTATTATATTTTATGTAATATTCCACCTCCAGCATGGCCATCCAGACGGAGGAAGTGCTCTCAGCCCAGAAGGACCTGATCATGCCCCACCACGATGATGTCTACCTGCAACACCCCTCCACCTCCTATCAGGAAAGCTCACCAGGGGGCAGTCCAAACGCCACCCTGAGGGACAGGCCACGGACACCTATGGGGATGAAAGCTCTGAATATCAACAATGCAAACAAAGGTGCCACTGTGGAGAGAACTCAGAGTCTCAGGGTGGAGACAGGTGAGAGAGAACACACACGCATGCACGCACGCATGCACACACACACACACACACACTCTTTGTAATGCACTGGGTATCAGTTAAGCCTCATTCAGAACAGTGGACTAACTAGTCTGAGGGTCAAATATGGCAACCCACAACAAAGCTAGCCATCTAATCCGCTAAAAGACACTGAATAGATTCCCTGTGGGGAAGTATTCAATTGTTTCAGCCATATTTGATCATCGGACTAGTTAGTCCACTGTTCCAAATACGGCCTTAGTTTAATGAACCATTAATGATATCTTAAGTTTTGCGGTTCAACATATAGATTTTTGCATTGCCATGAGAACAAAGTTCTGGATCCAAGTTCTCCTACCATCTTTTACTGCCGTATCTAAGGACTTATTCACATCAAAAGTTTCTCACAATTGTTTGGATTTTTTCATGCATTTCAATATTGTGCATGTTACAATGTTTTTTTTTTCTGGTCATGTTAATCACTTGCACTAATATGTCTTTCAGTTTTAATGGGTATTCATTTTTAGTGTCTTATTCACTATAAGTATTTGCACAAATGCATGTCAGCATTTTCATTTAGTTGTTTCTTCTGCCTTAATAAATGGTCTTGCTGTCATTTTCTAAATGTTGTACCACTATTCTAGCTCTGCACGCAGTAGTTTTAGATGTCATACCTTTTGCAGTTGCTGATAAAGGTTCCAAAGAAAACAAGAAAGTGAAACGCTCCCGAACATTCAGAGAACTTTTGTTTGGCAGAAAAGACAAAACATCTGACAGCTCTCAAGGTGATTTAGTTCAAAATGAGACATAGAAAGCTATAGATTAGACCGTTAGTGTTTTATTTTGCTCGGTTTTATGTTAGACTTGGTGCATGGGTGATATCCAACTTTTATATACTGTGTTTTTTTTCACTTTACTCCTCCACACATGGTTTCTTTAGTATGTTCTTTTTTGCTCAGTCTTATATTCTAGTATTGTAGTTTGAAGACTCTTTTGTTGATGCAAATTGATGTTAAGAATTCCAGTAATAGTTAACTGATTTTATTATGTTACAATCATAGCAGGGTCTGTTAGAGGCAAGTCTAAAGATAAATCTAAAGCAGCTGTGAAGAAAGGAAAGGGAGATAAAGACAAGAGATTAGATGAAACAGATGGGAAGAAAAATGGAGGTAAGGTGGTCACAACAAAACTTTTCATGTTAAAGTTAAAGCAGTAAGTTTAACATGTCGTGTGATAAAACAGCAGAGTCAAGTAGGATAATTATCACGATTATCGATCACAATCTTCTTACAAATAGAATACTACTAGCTAAATTTTCATTTAGCATAATCAACTGGATTTTGCACCTATAATATTATATAATATTATAATATTATAGACAGAAGTAAGAGATGTTGGTAATATTTTGAAAGTTTGTTCATCTTTAGATCCTTGTTAGTATATGGGTATTGTTGATACAATATTTGCAGACCTGAAGAAGTTTGGTAAAGGTGTCGGCACCCAGCTGATGCTGCAGGAAGCCATGCAGGGGTCTGCACTCAAGATGGTGGAGGACATGGCCAGGAAGTTGCTCAATGAGGATGAGGCTGCTGCCATAGTGCGGCATGTCAAGAGGGTAAGGTTTGGGTTCACTGTCAGTATAACACAGAAAGATATACATGTATATCAACTATAAATCTCCTGGTCTATACAAGTAATTATGGTTATATTTTGGGTATAATGTTTTAGGTTTTGGAAAGGTTACCAATTATTTTTTATGTATTTCAGTATTTGGAGGAGCGTGACATTGAGTCAGTGGTGCCCCCTATACTTGCTATTTTAGACAAACCAGAAAAGATGCTGTTGTTACGTGAGATCAGGTATGTTTGGGAAAATTAGTGTGTGGTTTGACAACAGGCAACTGAAACCATTTGAAAATGTTACTGTGTAGATCATGTTGTTTTGTTGTAACAGTTCTCCTATAGAAGGAATAACATGGAATAAATTGATAACTGATATTTCGATGTTTTGCATAATTCCAGAGGTGTGATCTACCCCACGGACCTAGGGCGATTTGACAGCATGGTATCTCGTCAGGAGTTGGAGGCTTATGAGGAGTTGTCGTATGTAATGAATGCCACGTCCCCCATGCCAATGAGACGGTCAGGTGGAAAAACTTACTTTGGTGCACCCAGAAAACAAATCATGGAACCTGTGTCAGGTGAGAGGAAATACATTGCAGTTGATATAAACTCCTTATTAAACACAGGCTTTGTGACAACACATTGTATCAGAGTTTTCAAGCAGGAATGTCATGACCTAGGCATTATATAAAATGGCTTACTGCTTTTCATTTCAATCATGTACAGCATAATAAAATTTGCTTCATGTAGAAATTGTTTTGAACATAGAACACAACTATCACTGGATAAATTGTCCCCACAATTCATCCCATCTACTTGGTAGTTTGATCTATGCTTATGGAATAGCTGGTATACATCAGTAGTCACATATAGCACAATATGTATCATATATTTTGCTTGATGTAGGGATGTCATACATGGACGTAGAGCAAACAAGCAGTCAAAGTAAGGCATAAGGCTGTATAAGTTACTGCACCTGTACTTACTAGATACTATACACCCCATATAGCTGTTGTATTACCACAGATGAATGGCTGTACTAATGTTTACCTATTAATGTTTGCTTTATAAAGAGGTTTATGGCACACTTTTATTGTCATTCCTTAGCACTTCTCCTGTCAGTGGTGTATGACTCTCACCAGTAACCCTTTACTGATACCACTCTGCACTATAGCTGTCAAATGTTTTAATGTTAAAATTAAATTTAATTAAAGTAATTTACCTTTTATCACCCTGTATCTCACTTCTACCAACAGTTTTAATCATTCTTTTCTCATACTTAAATGTAATACACTTTAAATTTTATTTAGTGAACTGAATTATTCTCAGACACCTTAATGTGCCCTGTGGATGTGGTAAACATACTTTACTCACACTATTATGGTGATGTAATACATACATATATGTTTTACATGCTAATTTAAGGGTGCATCTTTTGAAAGATACGATGTATTTTGTAGTACCTCATTATGATACCACGTTTTTTTATGTTTGATATTGGTTTTGCAATTTTTATGTAATATGGTTTAAAAGGAAATTAATGAAGATTAAGTTAAGATTTCTTTCTGTCGAGTTCAACTAAATATCTTTATTGTGCTATCTTTTGTTACATTTATTTCATGCAGATAATGTTTTGTACTTCCTAGTCTCCCATGGCCAATTCCGCTTGAAGACAGAGGAAGAACGTGAAAGAGAAAATGAGCGTAAACTGGCCTTAGAAAGAATTAGAAAAGAAAAGATGGAGGAGAGAAAAAGGGAGAGCCAAAAGCAGAGCAATGAAACAGTCCCATTTCCCAAGCTTCAAGCTGCTGGGGATTATGAGGATGTAGATGACGATGATCTGTCAGATGTTGAATCGGAACTGAGAGCTGGATCATCCCTGAACACTACACCACCGTCACAGAATACTTCCACTCCATTAAAGGTGTCACCACTTGCATCCAACTCAAGAGAACCCAACCCTAGTCTGCCATCATCAATCAATTCATCTCCAAAGCAGTTGTATGCTGTGGTGAAGAAGGACAGGAAGCACCAGAGACCCAGAGTGGAGCAGAACCCAGTGTATGAAACTGTCAATGTGACTTTCACAGGGAATGACGAGGAAAAGGAGGAGGAGAGACCTGGTGTGCAGTATTACACAGACAGTCGAGGGAGATTGTAAGTTTTGACTGTACACTACATGTCACACCTTTTGCAGTGTCACCCAACACAGTGTCACACCCAACACATTGGCAGTCTATCTTTATATGATAACCCATTTAACACAAAATCATGCCTCACATGCACTGTCACACTTTATGCGATGTCACATCCAACACAATGTCACAGCAAACACATTGATTAATGTCATGACTAATGGCTGAAGTAAAGAGGATGCTATGCATATGCTAGTTCTTAAGCTCTGTCATTTTAGTAAATGCCAGTTTAGCTAATTGAGAAAATCTGTTAGTTGTCAGATTGTTTTTAGATAAGATTATAAAGTAACAAAAAATTTAGATATGAAATTTAGCCTAATGTACAGCATGTAGTGTTTTATGATTAAAATTATTTTAAATATGTTTTTTACCAGCAGGAAGGTAACAGGTGGGGTAATACATGGTTTAGTATGTTATGACAAGCACTTGGCTTTAGAATGTTATCATGAACTGCTTCTCACTAATCATTGCTTTTGATTGGTTCCTTTTTATACTTATATTATCTGCAGACACATAAGGTATGATAGAACAACCCATTTGTAACAAGGTATAAAGAATGTGGTTTGTTTTCTGCCGTGGTTAGCATTTGTATCTGTTTGTTTAAGAATGCTTTTTTATTTATTTTATCTTATTATTGTTATTATTATTATTATTATTTTTGAAAGCAGTATTTTAGGCACTGGGTTATGAGTTACTTTTGCTTGAAATAGAAAAAATCCTGCCATATATGATATTTGAGATTTATGAGTTGGCATGTTAGCAAAAGTGAAGTGAGACAGCACACATTGCTAGGGCAACTTTGTTTAGTGTCATTGCTGTTATTTAAGATTGTTGTGCTTTTGATTGGTTGATGCATCATGCCAAAAAGTATTTTTCTGCTAAGATATCCCTAATTATTTAGTTGATAGCAGTTATAGGGACCATTCCCAGACCCCATCGTACTAACTGTAGATTGATCTATCTCCGAGGGGATCCTCATTAAATTGTAAGCGACTTAGATGTGTGTCACACCTATTTAAGCTGATAGGAGGTAATTAATTATCGTTTAGCAGCTTCAGTAGGTGTGCCAGACATCTAAGCTGCTTAAGCTGAAAGCAATATAGCGAGAAACCCCTCGAAGATGGATCGATCCTGTTAGCTTGATCTAGGTTTGGGAACCTAGTCTTAGAAATCTATTTATTTTCATATGATTGTTTGGAAATGTGCATGCTATTTGCACCACAAATGGAATTTTTCTTTATTCTTTATTAGCTTCTTTCCATTTCATTGAGATATGCATCAGTTTTTATTGAAACTTAAAACTGTAGAATCAAAACAAAGGTAATGGATTGAAGACAGTGAGCCAAAAGATGTTATACTGGTACATAACATTTCAAACAGTGTGTTATTAATGGAAATGTCAAATTTAGCAATTTTCAGCACTTTTTTAGACATTGTATTATAGTTGTGTAAATTTTCTTGTCAGTTTCTCAAGTTTTCTCCAAATTTCAGGGAACAAGATAGTGATAATGGTAGAAGACAACTAGATGTTAATGATAGTGAGCACAAAGTCGAAAATACTACAATACAAAACGAGGAAAATACCACAGTTCACAAGGTTGAGGACACTTCAGAACACTATGCCGTCCCAAATATTACCTTAACCAAGCCAAATACGAGTGACAATCCATTACCAGCAGACTTGAGTCACTATGATGTTGCCACCCCACCCCCACTGCCACCGCCCCCACCCCAGGAGGAACTCACAGATGTTGCCATGGCAACCTCCACACTTCCACCCCCTCCTGGTGCTCTCACAGCATGGACCAGTCAAGAGTCTGTATCCACACAAACTGCTCACTCTTCTCTACAGGAGGCTGAAAAAGATGCTTCTACCCTGGAGGATGACGACGACGACGATGATGATAATAATAATTTTCATCTGTCTGTAGCTATATCTGAAGAAGCAGCGGCCTCAGGCAGCATGGATACCTCTAGGTCCTCTAGCAGGTCGAGATCTGCGGCCTCTTTTACAGCACCTCCACCCCCTGACACCCCTCCCCCTCATGATGGGCCCATGGAGGAGGATGATCTCACTGATGGAGAAACTGTTGAAGCTCCATCCACACTTACAATTGAGCTGCAGAAGAATGTGAGATCTCTAGGTTGGTCTGGTGTTGAATTGTAGTTGATATTGTTGAGAATTTTATTGAAATGACTTTCACAACCCTGTAATTTTTCATTGATATGTATGAATATGGCAAAGAAACCCAATAAAAAGGTTTTCAATTCACATTAGATAACATCCATGTCACAAGTAAATTACTGTAAAATTCATTTGAATTGAAATGCATCATTATATTTTCAAATTTTATGTACCTGAATTTTCATGGAATTTCATGACAGAAGCTATGCTGCTCAAAATCCCCAAGAGTTTGAATTGGTCCTCAGTAACTTTATCAGTTGCATAAATTTATGTAATATTTTATCACTAGGTATCAGTATATCAGGCGGCAAGGACAGCAGGACCCAGCCCACTGTGAAAGTGGAGAAAGTGTTCCCTGGTGGTGCAGCAGCTGAACAAGGAATACTTAAGGTAAGCTGCCTGGTGATCCTTCTCAGAACAGCCACACATGGTGGAAGTAAAAATCCTGTGCCATTTCCATTAAAAGAAATGGGAGAGGAATGCTGATGATAGAGGGGAGTTAAAATTTCTAGTAACTTTTAAAACTTGGGTTGTTATTTCACTGCACTGAAAAATTACTTTAAAAAAGTGCACTGAAAAATTACAGGTGTGATGTGATTGTATATTTGGTATAAAGTGTGATTGGTGGGTCAGGCAAAAATTTGATAAAATTGAAAGTTTTTGAGTTAAAATTTAAGAAGCATTGTTACTTTCAAAGGCAGTGATCCTATGATACTATAACATCATGCAATAAAGTATACGTAATTGATATGCTTATGGTATGGAATTTTCATCTTTTTTAAAAGTCGTTAAACTTAAAAGTCGTTTCTTACAATTTTTCAGAGTGGCATGGAAATCATTTCCATAGATGGCGAAAGTCTCCAAGATGTGACCCATCCTCAAGCTGTAGATATCATTAGAAGAGCTTATAATAATAAAACCAACACCACCATGGAAATAGTTGTGGTACCACTTCACTAATATGGTGTGGATTAGGTTTTATTGTAAAATACAATTTAAATGTAGCACTAGATAATAAAATTCAGCCAGGAATGATGTCAGTAAAACAGCAGACAAAATTAATATCGGCAGCAATATTTGTTGTTCGCTCTGATGATTTGGACTATGGTAAGCATGTAAGACAGTAAGTGCTAAATTTCAAAAAAGTTGAATTATTGTGATTTCAATTGTACAAATGAAGCATTAGACATGAAATTCCAGTTATGCAGATTTTCTTGCATAACACAGGACAATATTTTAGATACATGCATTAGACGTTATATTTTTACACTATATAAATGTATATTTTCATATAATTCACATTGTGTCTAATGACGCCGTCACTTTTTTCACACATTTTGCATTTATCACATTTGACTTGTAGATGTGTTTACTTATATATTAATTTTACAATCTATGGATCTCTAGTTTAAACATTTAAGGACATACTTTAATATCCTAATGTCAAATGAGTGTTAAAAATACCATGTATATCATATATTGTTGGTCACGCTATTATAATAATATTTGCCAAAAACAGTGGTTGTGAACACAAGCTGTCAATTGTTGTGAAATATCTTTGTCCCCTTCACATTTCACAATGTTTAAGGTTTGACTTTTGTTATGGTTGTCCACAAGCTATGGCAATGGATTTTTTTTGTTTACATGACAAAATGGAATTATATTGTTTTATATCGATCAGTTTTTTGTGCGTAACTGACTCAGTTACAGTTAATGTATAATAGGTTTTACAGTTACACTTAATTTTACATTGGATGAATTTTTTTCTTTTATAACTTTTTTTTATATCAAAGTCATTATGAAAGCTTACGGTCTTTTAATTTTTAGACATTTTGCTCAAATGATACATTACAAAGGTATACATGTGTACTTGCAGCAGTGTAATTCGAAATTATTTATCACACAATTAACCACTTTAAAGGCTTTTTCTGTGGTGATTGGAGTAAATATCTCACACTTGAGGAAGGTATTTAAGAGACGAGTCTCAATTTCCTTTAAATGCAGTTTTTCATGTTATGACTTAGATTAACGCGCAAAAACTAAAATTTATCTTGGAATACTTAATGCAATTTAATCAAACAAAACCATTTTTTGTTTTATTTCTGATAGCTTTAGACAATTACTTCTTAGGTCTAGCAGGGGTGAGCTTATCATAACAGATGAACAATTCTTTTTTGGAGCATATTTTTGTAGCAATGTGTGGATTTTATGTTTTGATGACTTAAATAACTCGAGATATTTTTTCAATCTTTATTAAAATATATTAATAAAAACATGTTTAATAAATAAAGCAAAACAGCTTATTTAGTTTGACTCTAAAATCATTTGTATAAATTTGTTGCAATATATAATATTATGTACATCTGAAAGAAAGTCTCAAGTATTCTTGAGCATAACTTGTCGTTTTCTTTTCTTTAGATCATCCTCTTTTATCAAATTAGCAATATACTGCTCTTGCTGCTGTTGCAAGGTTAGCTCTACCAACTGTTTTTGATGTTTGATTTGTTCATCTTTCAATTTTTGGGCTAATTGCTGGACTTCTTGTTTTTTTGTTTGCAAATCATCGTCTTGCTTCTCCTTTTGCTTTTCCATCTCTAAAAAAGAAAAGGAAGTCAACACTATATCACTCATTTTAACTATTTGGAGTAAAAAGTGGGCACTTGGCTGAACTACAGTGCTGCAAAATATATATTTATACTAAATAAATATAAATGAATTGATTACAAGTAAAAAATGAATATTAAGGAGGTAATTTGAACTCTTGCTATTTGTTAAAGAAGAAAACACTTCACTCAACAAGAAACAAGTCTGCAAAACAGAACTAATGACTATAACCTCATCTTTAATAAACGGCCTGTTTATGAAATTACCTGAAAATTTTGTCTCTAGTTCCATCTTTTTACTAGTCTCTTTCATTGCTTGATTCTTTAGAAGTCCAAACCTGCAACAGATGGGTTTTAAATACCTGGTGAACATTATTAAAAAAAATACACTATTAAAAATGAGAAATTTCAAGCTTTGCAAAATAATAATAAAAAAAAATAATAAACACTGGATTACAACAAAGACGTGGTTGTTCATCTATATGTCAAAAGCAAATACATTTGACCTTACGTTTTTTGAAACTGTGCCTTCTCTCTCTCTATTTGCTTTGTTAATACTTCTATCTCGCCAAGAGCAAATTCAAGTTTGTCTGATATCTCATTTAGTTTGCTCTTTGTCTTTGAGTGCTCATATTTTTCAACCTTGAACAAAAAAGAGCAATTAAAATAACTGTTTTGGCAGCATTTAAAACACGTTCGTATGTACACTAAGCAAGATGAATATGGATACATTCAACATAAAGAGATCAAAAAAGAAAATTTTACTAAATTTCTCTTTGCTACAATTAACAAGCCTTTACTGTCACTACACAATTTCTTGGAAATGTTATATATTAATTTGCCAGAAAAAATCAAAATAAGCATGAAAATTTTAAGATTACATGTATCACATAATTTTTAAAACCCTGCAATACACAGAAATGAAAATATATATGAACTGCAAACAAACAATACACATATTCTACATGTGCATGCACTATGTAACCACTTTTAAATTTACTCACCTCAAGTTCTTTAACTAGTGCATTGTATTTGTCCAAAGGCACACTGTCTTCTTTGCTACTGCTCTATTGGCAAATAAATAGATCCAACTTAGATGACAGTGATGAATGACGTTGTTCAGAAATTTCGGTGTTTTTGCTCACACTGCTATTAAATGATCTATTAAACAACTCTTATCAAACAGTGATCAAAAACTAATAAGCTTACTGTTACTGTAAGTGAATATGAACTAAGTTTGACCTATCGAGTTCGGAACTAAGTATGTTGAGCTCCAATTTAATATTCAGGTAGTAAGAGATTTTTACCTATTCAACACTGACAATACAACCTGGTAAATAGCTCAGTACAAGTTGACTAAAAGTTACAACTTTACTTACATTACAAGTGAACTCTAAAAAAATTAAATGCTGCAATATAAATAGGTTTTGTATTATTAGTTACGTATGCGAAACCGATTGAATATTACCACTTCATGGAGGCGTTTAACTGCCTCCTGCTGCGCCAAAAACACGTCCTGCAACTGTTTAGAAACCAATACATGTGACGGCACATCTAAACCACTTGAAAACCCAACATCGCGACCCGCCATATTGTTCATAAATCTAGTTCAAGGTCATATTTCACCATAAGACTTTCCTCGTTGAAGTCTCGATCTCGAACCACGTTATTATGTTCTCAAATATGTGTAATTCGGTTTTCACCTTGATCGGTTATTAAACCTATAAAAAAACACATAAAATGACTTTCGAATACCTCACTGGTATATCGAAGGCAAAAAACAAAATAAATAAATAAGTAAACAAATAAATAAATAAAAATAAAATAAATAAATAAATAAATAAATAAATATAATAAAAAAAATTAGCCCTCAAAATCGGAATTTAATGAAACCTCCACAGGTAGGCCTGTGTGTAGATCTATAGGGCCTACTTCATACACATAACAGTAGTAGGCCCCCTATATGAGTATGATTAGGCGCGCATCTCTAAACGTAGTCTGCATCAATTACGGAATACAGTAGGCCTACATACAGTGTATAATATCTCCATTTTTATGAAATTCGTTTTAAATCATAAAGGGTCAAACACAATTTTCATCAGGCCTATAGTAAACCAGTCTGTTTTTCTAAATTCATTTATATGTAGGTGGTTTTCACTAATCGGCTGATAAATCAATCAGGGTGTGAGGTGCGCGTGCCAATGCCGGTCTCGTGACCATCCACAAACGTCAGAAAAGACACGCAGTTGCAAAACCTTCCCATGTCGTTTTTAGTATTTTGATGGTAATTTCTCTCTCTATAATTCTAACAAGATCAATGGTGTGTTCCCATAAGCTGGGTTACTGAACAACCGACTGGAAAATGGGTCGCACTTACAAGGTGCTTTTGGCAGTTGTTAATCGAGTGAATAAAACTACCCATAGTATTTTTATGTCAGCGATTAGTTTGAACGAAAAAGGGTCTACGTTTCTGTCAAATACAAGTTTAAAACAATAACAGCAACAACAACAGCAGCAAATATTCAAAATTTATTATATCTGTACAATTGGCCACCTTGTGCCAATAAGCTAGTGTAAAAATGCGTCTGTTGGTAAATTAATTTCCTATCAGAGCTTATTATGAAATTTCGAGGCCTGGGAAATATGATCGAGTGCGTTAACAAATTGTGATATATTAATCAGTGCACAACTAGTTGCAAAAAAAAAAAAAAAAAAAAAAAAAAAAAAAAAAAAAAACGAAGGGCGATCACAGAGAGTTAAACAAGTCAACCGTGTATCCAATGGACCAGATGAATGGTTCGAAAATTATATACGCTTAATGTTTCATTAAAATTAAATTACCATAGCTGTTATAGATTATAACTTGCATATAAAAAACCTCGTCACAGAAGCATGTACGAATAAACAAAAGTCATCGTAACACATATCAGCGCCAGGTGTGCCTTGGCTGTGTTCCCAGCGTTGCAGTAGTCTGAAGTGCAGACACATTGGTAATATTCCCCAGTAGTGCCGCTTGCATGGTCACATTTGTTCCCAGGCCTGGCTGCGCACCGTCTGTGAATGGACGTCCTCTCTTGAATGGTAATAATTATTAAATTAGCTTGAATCAAGACAAAGAAATTCCGAGGAATAGCCCAAATGATCACCCTTAACTTCACTTTCTCTAGGCCTACACAACAAATGCACTACGTCGCCGCTCAAGAAAAAGCTGAGTAGTTTCTGATATAGAAGTGATCCGAAAATAGATACTGAACCTCGTGGCGCGACACTTGTATTGAGGGCACTTCTCAGGGCATGTCGAAAATTAAAAAAAAGAAAAAATCGAACCCAATGACTTTCGAGTGGGCTTTGTAACGATCGTCATCTCTGCAGCCCATAAAGATATTATGAACGTGTTTTAAGTAGTTCATTAGTTTAGCCAAATTACCGGTTACACGTATTTTTACTACAGGAGAGAGAGAGAGAGAGAGAGAGAGAGAGAGAGAGAGAGAGAGAAGGAAGAGGAGGGAGGGGAGATACCTCCAACTGGTGTATTCGTTTCCTTAAAGCACCCAGCAAGACACTCCACTGTCGGCTGACTTTGATATCCATCATCGCAGTCGTGGCAACTGTAGCACGTTACGGAATCCGCTTAAATTTTAGCAATGCATACAATGCAATCAATGATTTCCTAAAAAAAGATCTTCGAAAGCGCTTTTAAACGAAAAGAAAAATATCTACCTGAAGACAACTTCATGAATCCTGTTTCTAAGGTTATATGTTACAACACGGCAACGCTTACTGGGTTTAATGCGTTCTTACTTATCTAAATCAATATACAGGTCCACAGAGACCAATTTGAAAATGCACTTGGGACTTATGCAGTAGATCGGTATATCATATGCAAAGGACACCTTGGGTAGAATTCTGCAACAAGGGTGATACGCATTCCAAAAAGATGTGCATTTCAGTTTATTCTACTACTTTAAGCCTTTAAAGAAAAGTCATCAATCAAGATCTACGTACCATATTGGACCAACAAAGAAAACATCACGCAATAAACCAATATTTCCTTTGGTTTCTTCATCTTGTGGTAAGAGGGAAAAATCGTCACTCCAAGAGTAAAAAAAAAATCCCAAACAGAAGGCTCGTTACATTCCAGCTTCACACTTCAGCGCCTAAATGTCTTCCTTACACCTAATTAGCGGATGGTTTATGTGGTTAAAGCTAAGTAAATGATGCCGGTGAGTAGCAAAGTATGTTTTGCGTCAAACTAATTTGAATTACAATATCCCAATTTCCCTGCGTTTAAAGTGCACGGAGCAAAAAAATCCGCATATACAGGCTGTGGTCTGCGTTATCTATAGGACGCACGCGTCTCAGTCAGCTGTCATCTGGGAGGCAAATGAAAGCTGAGCTCGCAATTATTTTTTTTTGTGATTGATCATTTTTACTTTCAGTCAGAGTTACATTAAAAAATGATTACTCTCTCAGTGATAAAATCCATCTCGTTTACAAAAATGATGTCTATTTTATTCATGGAATTCGTCAAACTGCGAGTCACGCTTCATGGCTGTAGAAATATTAGGCAAGAAAATTGATCCAACGACCAACAAGAGCAAAGGGTCTACATGCTACATTTATTACCATCAAGCTAGAAGTTATCAAACATAAGAAACTTCTATCACAGAAACTGCAAACGAATCTGATAAAAAATTTTAAGAGATTCTTACAAGAATCACATAATGAATTTTCATACAGTAATATATAAATAATTTTAATTTTCACTAAAGTGATTAGTTTCTTTCACAAAAATGTAAATACAAAAACTGATCAAATGATAAATATCATGGTAATGATTCCTTATTACTTCTGCTATAAAATTTAGGCTTACAATTATAATATTCCATCATATACATAGCAAACCGAGTCCCAATCTTGATGCTATTGTAAAGCATATTTTTGGCAGTGATAAAATCACTTGGTTGAAGGCTAATAATAAGACAATTATTGCATATTGCTGCAATTTACTAAGAATGATGGTCAATTTTCTACAAATAGGGCTATGCCATAGACTATTACTAATATTGATTTTTTGATTTTTCCATTTTTACCAATCTAGCTAAAGATACATTAGTGTGATTGCTTTTTTTCTGGATATGAATAAATAAAAAACAAATGTGAAGGGAGAATATTATGAAATGGAGAAGATCAGTAACCTAATTTTCACCCAAACTTCAACCAATGCTACATCTATAACTAATTACGTAATTGGGATTAATTTTTTTTAATCAATTCAAAAAATAGTGCTGTGATGGTGAAATTCTAAACATCTGTCCATTTTTATATGCTACCATGAAGACAAAAAACAGCATGACAATTATGCATCAAAATTTGTTCTAAATACATAGAAATTTTAACTACTCAAAGGGAATAAAATAATATTAATTAAATATGTATCCATAATAAGATTACATAACAGAAAGCAGCTTATGAGATGAGATTTTCAGAGTTCTTAATATATAAAAAATGTACATCTGCCAAGTAACTGACTTAAGATTGTTTATAACTTCCATACATTCCATAACTGTCTGCACCAGAGAAGTGCTGACTTCCATACGGGTCGCCCTGGCCGACCAGATAGGCATGGTGGTTGTCGTAACCCTGCTGCTGGGCCTCGTAGCTCTCAGCACTGTACTGGCTCTCTGCAGCGTCCAGCATCAAGCCCTGACTGGAAGAATTGTATGCTACGCTTTCCTCCAGGACCACCTCAGCATGGGGGGAATGGGCATGCTGGTCCCCAATTGGCATCACAGTAATCTCACCAAACGCTCTGGCTGTGTGGTTGATGGCTGACAACAAGGGCGCTGCAGAGTTAGTGCTGACCAATGAAATGCGTCTGTCAAGGCTCATACTTCCACTTCTGGCATTCTCGTCTCCCATCAGCTCATGTTTACGCTTCATCTCCAAGGTGGACATCCTGCGGGCAGCGTTGAGAGCAGACTGACGACGTGCACCTGAAGCCCTTTGTGCATTCCCAGACATTGAGGAGGTTTCGATATGCCCCAGGAGATCCTCATGGCTTCTTGCTCCATACAGATGTGTGGGCACTTGAAGGTGGGAGTAGCGCCTGCCCTCTAAATGTCCTGCATCAGACATTCTACGCCCATGGGGATAGCCGCTGATGGCAGTAAAGCCGCCATTAGTAAACCCAGTACTGCCGCCTCCTCCAGCACTGAGCTGGCTGACCTCAGACATCCTCCGGCTTTCTCTCACTCCATTATGATAGCCACTGTCTGAGCTGGCATCTATCAGGCTACTGTGTATGCTGTGGACCTCTTGTCCATTCAAGTCTAACACGCGAGGCATGTCCTTTAGGTGGATTTCTTCTGAGATACGACGGCTGTCCCCATAGCCACCGTTCAAACTGTAAGCACTTTCTCTTGCCAGAGAGTTGTGTTTTATGTACTCCATTGCTGCTTTTTTCTCTCTCTGTCGCCGTCTTCTCCTGAAATTGGCAATTGAAATGCTGCTCATTATGAACAAAATAATTAAAAAATATATTTGAAGTTTGAAAATACAGCCCAGCTCTTTACATTTTTATAACTTTCAAAGATGTAACATTGGGCCCATGTTTTCATTCTTATTACAACATAATGCAAATGTAACATTTTTTACAATTATAGTCCCAGTTTTCATTGTGTTAGGTGTGACTGCTGGTTGTGTCAGGTTGTACTTACTTTCTACAACACCATGCACACAGCAAGCATAACAAGCAGAGTAATAACAACAGAGCCAAGAGGCCCAGGAGGAGAAGCCCTGAAAAACAACTAAGTGCTTGACAGTGGTGAAGATCATGACTGGTTGTTTACAAAATAATTATTAAGATTGATTTCATAATATTTTCTTATAGACTGCGACAGTTATACTCATGTCTCCTACAACACACCATTTACAGAGATACAGAAAATTTATCCAATTCCTGGTCTCAACTATTTAATTGATGCATTTTCTCTCTTTCTTACTAAAAAATCAGAAGGTAACAATCTCTTTAATTTTCAAAATGCTTACTTATCAAATACTAAACAGCATCTAAATATTATGAACATAATAGTCAACTTACACCACCATTCATCCCAGAATGATTTCTGGGAGGCCAGAGCTGCTTCTGCAACCACTGCAACAAGAGAAAAAATGCCTCATATATCATTCATATTCTAGATATAGGAGGAAAATGTAGGCATGTATGCCCAGTTGTCACTTCAAATGACACAACCTTTAGTACTCAGCTAGCAATTTTAAAGGGGGGGGGGTGTCTTTTTATCAAAAGCGTACCTTTTTACATGTCATTCAATTAATACAATTTACATGATGTCGAAATCTTGTATGGTGCTGTAGGATGGCAATAAAAATAAATATATCCCTAAGTAAACTGTCTTTTAGAAAATAATTAAGAAAATATCAAAATATTTCATTGTAAAAAAATAAAGTATGTACCACAAACGCCTCCTCCATTCTTGAATCCATCTGGACATGTACATACTCCATTCGTACATATTCCACTGGATACACACTCATCCCCAAAGAAACAGGCTGCTCCAAGTGCAATAAGGGGCACTGCATGACAGGAAATAATTTAAAAAAGAAAAAAAAATTAAAAAGGCAAAAAAGTCTTCGTTTTACTTCTTAGAAGTTACTGCCTGAATGTTCATTCTTTACCAAAAATCTACTCCATGATACTAGTTTACAGTTATAAATCGACATATTTCAAACATGAATGAGATATGACAAGTAAAAACAATTGAAGATACATTTCAGATTGTTCTCTATACTTTATGAACATAATCACGATATGAACATTATCTCTTACCACAGCGGCCATCTTTGGCATATGTTGTCCCATCACAGGAGCAGATTCTATTATAACAAGTGACGTTACTTCCAGAGCAGACGTCACCTGGCTGCTGGCACCATGCTCCCAGGACCCCATGTGTGACACCCACTGCAACACACACACATCAACAACACTTAGAACCTTTCAATATATATGATATTTGCATTAAATTTACTTTAATCTGTTCTAAATTGTCATGAATGAATTCTGTCATGTGTCTTGTGCCAGTCAATTAAAAAATGAACCCTTTCACTTATTACTTAAGAGAAACTTTTCCTTTAGAATTCTAAATGGAGGGTCCAAAATTTCAGAAAAACACATGGGAATAATGACAGAGAATCTAAACAACTAACTTAAACAAACTGCTCAGTGTCTTTTAACCTACCACAAGTTTCATCTGTGGCACCATAACCAAACTGGCAGACACAGGAGTCGTCACGGCAACGCGTGTATTGGGCAGCACATCTACCACTGACACATGCTCCGTGGGCAAAACCATTGGTCACTGAAACAGGATAAAGCAAGCAATAGTCAGAAATACATTCCAGTGACTGAGAGTAAAAATATAAACAAAACAACCCTAACTAAGTAACTAACTAACTAACTAACTCAATAATCAATGCTGTTTTATCTGAAATGCAGTAAAAAAACAGTATTTGAACAAACTTACTGCAACCTTTGGGTTTTTTTACACTGGAAATGATTTTATAATAAGTAGAGCTTGCATTTCTAGCTCCTTTAGCCTGACATACCCTTGGAATTGTTAACCCATTCACAATATTTCTAAAATTTCTCATGTACAAAATTTATGGAAGTGATATTTAGCTTCTGACAGAAATTATTGATTGCACTTACCACAAAACTCATTCAATCCTTTTTGATGTTGCCAAATACCACATATTTGTGACAGCAATTTCAAGCAGATGATAGCGATTATAGTTTCCACTTACCACAATGGCCTATAAATCTGTTGTGAAATTGGTTATCCATTGAACCTAATAAAAGCAATGTCAAGTGAGATGATGGGCTCCACTTACCACAATGGCCATTCCATCTAATCACCCCATAGGGACAGTCACAAATACCAGCTACACACTGGGAGAACCTAGGGATACATTCATTATTGGCCAAACATGGAGCCCCGGCCATTCCAGGGAGAACTGAAAATAGAGAACATGATACATTACATATGGTATAAAATATGACAAACGGCCATTCATTACTGGGCACAAATGGTGCCCTGCCATTCACAGCCTAAGTGCAAATTCCCCCTTTTTAAATTGAATATATGATACCAGATTTCTGTCTAAATATGAATGATATATGCATCCGTTTGCTACCATGCAGACAAAATGCTCCAATTGTTTCAAGGATGGTTCTTGAAATGGTTCGACCTAAATGTTAGAAAATTATAGAATTTTAAGTTCACTTTTCTGTTTCATATATATACTGGCTTGTACTATAAATTAAAAACAAGTTTTGATTAATAAAATAATAATAAAAAAGATTTAACTTACTACAAAATCCTCTAACCAGCACATGGTCAGCCAGACACCTGCAGGTCCCCTGTGTACACAGAGCATTTTCCATGCATTCTCCATCTTTAGCACAGAAAGCTCCAATGGCAGTTCTTGCAACTGAAGACCATAAGACAAACATACGTTCCATGAAAAATTGAAAAAAAGTCCTTTAACATTTGCTACACATAAGATCGATCATTTTCAAAACTTTCATTCTAAAATAATGTACAAGTTGACTAAAATTAAGATGACATGCAAACCATGTATGTTCCAAAAACAGCTAAATCCACTTCTTCATTAAAATTGTTTATCAAACATAATGTCATTGAGGAGCACTTACCACACTGTCCAAGTTTAGCATAGAATCCTGGCTGACATTTGCACACATTGAGGTCAAGGTCACACCAAGTGTTCTCAATGTGACATGTGCCATCTGGCAGACAGCTGGCTCCTAGGGTACCTTGCTGAACAGCATCTGAGATAGAAAAACAATGACATCAAACTATAGACATTATCTAGCAGACAGCTAGCTCCCAGAGTACCTTGCTGAACAGCATCCTAGGGAAAAAACAATCACATCAGACTACTTCAACAATCATTTTCCATTTTGGCCAAACAGGCATCCAAATATCATTAGCATTTATTGATTATTTTAAATTACCATCCTTACTTAAAGATACAATGTTTTATTTTCATTTGCTCTTTAAACAAATACCCAGAAAATGACATAATTCACATGGCATTTTCTTTTCAAAATCCTTAATCCGACTTACTGCACAGATTGTCCCTGTCTACAAGGTAGCCTTCCTTGCACTCACAGAACCCTCTAGTAGAACACACAGCATTCTCTACACATCTGTCTTCTGTTGCACTACAGGGCTGACTAACCTTCAGATAGGGCACTTGATAAAAAAGATACACAGAGATTAACACATACCTGAAGACACTGAAAAAGTTTAAGAGTTTAAGAGACTTGAAAACTTGAAAAATTTTTTTTTGCATAAATAATTATCTTTCCATAAAAACTGTCAAAAAGCCTATATTTGGAGTCTTACCACAAGTTCCTCCCTTGTCATAGAAGCCCTCCACACATTGGCACTTATTGGTATCTATGGCGCACTCTGCATTAGGTACAGCACATATGGCACCTGCCAGACAGGGGGCAGACGGAGCACCACGGCGAGCTATAACATGATAATATAACCATCTTTAAGAACATACATGGAACATACAAGTATTATATGTAATCTTTTAGCAAGCAGAGATGCTCAAATGATCTCCAAAATGTCAGTGAATATAAATATGAAATATTTATCAGGTACATTTTTAAATTTTTGTTATCAACTTTCTGAGCATTCATAAATTTAAATGGTTTCCTTTTTTATTTTCAACCATACTATAAGTAAACACGAACAAATACTGGCTGCCAAGTTCCAATAAGCATGGAAACGTACTGCAGTGACCGTTGATATTTTCATGTCCTGTGATACAGACACATCTGCCAGCACTGCAGACGGCATTCTGAACACACTGCTGCTGTCCACCACACACATCACCAGCACGGATCTTTGGAACTGAAATTGAGAATATTTTCTTAAAATCTGCAAATTTCTTTTCTCTCTTCTTTAAAATATTTGAAATAAATACAATAAGAAATATTTATTTCTAAAATGCTATTCCACTGTATTTTTTTCTTTCATTGCATTTTTCATATCCAATGAAAAAGAGATATCAACTGCTCTCAACACCAACTCTCTTGATCAAAACTGGCAATAAAGGCAAAGGCAAAATTCTTTATGGTATTTCTTTGAGATATAGACACAAAATATTCTATATTGACGCAAAGGGAGAAAAAAATGAATGCCATATTTGATTTCATCAATTCTTTTCTAAATGAAGACATAGAAATAAATATCTTAATACTTAAAAAACCAACACCACTTACCACAGACTCCATTTCTACCATAGAACTCAGCCTTACAGATACAGAAGTTGTTCAGGTTGCAGATTGTGTTGGCCACAGTGCAGGCTCCATTGGGAAGACACTGGGCATCCAGGGTCCCCAGCTTTACTGTAATACATTACCACATTATATTTAGTTACTTTAAATAAAATAGCAAACTGGAAGGTTCCAGCATAGCTATACCAACTATGAACCAGGTAGAGGAGGTTAATGATATACACTGTATATGTATACATGTTCAAATATCTTCACTACTTACCACACTGTCCATCCTTGCTTTCATATCCGTCTCTGCAGTAGCACTTGCCAGCAATGCAATCAGCATGGTCAGTGCAAATATCCACCCCAACCAGACAGATGTCTTCAGCTGGCAATTTTTGGTCTATATGAATAGGAATATATATATAATATCATCATTTTAAGCATTATAATGCAGTCAACATGTAAGTGCATAAAAACCATTCCATCAGGCATGTCTTTCTGGTCTGATCTATATAAAATTTCATTATACTTAATATATGTATTGCTCACAATTAAAAACAAGTGAAAATAAATCTTAACTATATAAAATATTTCATAATATGTACAATGCTTTTCTCACCAAATGTACAGTAAAGATGTCAAGCACTATGCAGCCACTCACCACATGTATTCCCCTTCCTGTGGAAGCCAGTCTGACACTGACAGATATTCTGATCATTACACTGAGAGTTGGGCACTGTGCAGGCCTGGTTGGGCAGACATGGCGCACCCAGATTGCCTCGCTGGACTAGAAATTACCAAGAAAAAAGAAAATATTAGAAATATTTGGAAGTAGTATCATCAAATCATTGTTTCACACCTTAAAAACATAAAGCACAGTCCTGTTCAAAATTAACTGTAATAGATTCAGTCCAAAAATGTTCAAAATGTTCTGCTTTTTTTATACATTTTAATTGATTATTTTAATTGAAGCTCAAAAATCAAATAAATTAAAATGAATTTTATTATCTTTCAAAAATGGTCAGATATGAATGCCCTCTGAACTTACCACAGCGCCCATTAATGTTGACATAACTGAGTTCAGTCCTGCACATGCAGATGCCATTAGTACACAGAGCGCCATCTATGCATACGTCCTCATCTGTACAACTTGATCCTGCCATCTGCTTGGGAACTGGAATTTGTATGATAATAATTTTATTCAATGCGGCATGGAAAGATTCTGCTTTCTGATTTACAAAGGGCATACTATTTTAAATTTAAATAATATATTTGTTATATATCCACAAAATAATTTTTTAAAATTTGACAGTGCCACTGACCACATCCTCCATTCTTTTCAAAGTAATCAGCAGGGCAGCGACACACTCCGTCTCCTTGACACTCGGCATTCCTGGTCAGACATGTGCCACCTGGACCACATGCCACGTGAAGGCTGCCTGGACGCACTGTAATAACACAGAAGTCAGTGACTTAATTGAAGCATTGCCGCAGGCAAATGTAAAGGCAAAAATTCATCTTTTGTTTACAAGCTGTTATGCAGTTAAAATAATAAAGAAATAGTTATAATAATGCAGGCTTGACAATAAATGTAATAATCATATTATTTTCTTTAACTTTGTAAGGCATAAAAAAACCCAAACTGATAACCAAACACCAATTGCTTCCTAATAATCCACAATCTCGATCTCAACATTGCTTGTTCATATTCACATTTAAAAGTTCTTACCACAATGTCCGTCTGCTGGGATAAGGTTTCCAGTGCAGACGCAGAGTCCTCCAATACATGAGGCATCATTCACACACTCTGAGTCTGTACTGCACTGGTCACCAGGCTGAATCTGCTCCACTAAAGAGGAGACATACTTATCAGTTATATGGTTATCAAATATATATAAAAGAAGAGGCAGACTATATATATATATATATATATATATATATATATATATATATATATATATATATATATATATATATATATATATATATATATATATATATATGGCTATTCTGTGATTAAAATGGTAAAGGGTCATTCAATTTTTAAAGAAAATGTTAGATTTCTCAATTTACAGTGTTTAAAACCATTGTGTCTGAAAAATGAAAAAAAAAAGGATGAAAAAGAGTTCTTTTAATACCTATGCCACTCATGGTATATGTATACTTACAGCATTGCCTATTAGAGGGATAAAATCCTAGAGAACATTCACAGATCCCTGCAGCATTACAAGCAGTGTTGTTCTCTGCACAATCAGAGTCCAGCTGACATGGAGAAAACAGGCTGCCCACGTGTTCTGATCACAGCAAAAATAACAGATAATTAAAACTTATAAAATAAGTCAAATGTCTTGTTGAGGTATGGAATTAACTTCATTTAAAAATGTAATGTGTACATTGTGTTTACAGCTTGTTTTTTATTGAAATGCAAAACCTCAATATCTATCTCATACAATTATTTCTGTATATACACATAAAAGCTTTGGTGTAAACAAATATACTGTAATGGTGATTTGGTAAATGTATAAATATTTCTACAGTATAAATTATCTATAACCTACTAAAACTGCTATCTACAATCTTCACTGCAGTTAAAGCTTCAGTTCATATTCCTATATATATATATTTCTTCACATTATCTTACCACACATCCCATTGAGAGGGAAGTGATCTCTAATACAAGTACACTGCCCATTTAGACAGGAGGCTTGGTCTACACAGATATCCTCCTGTCCACATGGATTCCCTGCATCTATCTTCTTAACTGAAAGCAGACATCAACCTTGCTAAGGACATGGTAAGATATGACATTAGAAGTTTTTATAATGTTTGTGCAGCACATTTAAATTTAGTCACTTCCAGTTTTATGGCAAAAAGCTTAAGTCAATATCATGTAATTTCAACATCAAAGGAATATTTTAGAAACTAAAATTGTCTTCCCTACTTGAATTTTTATTTACTACAGTTGAAAGATCATCAGAAGTATCAGAAATTGTTAGCACATAAACTTACCACATAGTCCTCCCCTCTCAAAGTACTCCTTGCTACAGCTGCACTGACTGTTGGCACACTCGGCATTCTCTGTGCCACAGGCGGAGTCATAGGGACACCTGGCACCCAGGGGAAGCTTGGGCACTAGAATATCACAGACATTTGTGACATAATATAATATGGAGCCAAACATATATACATCTAATATGTTTAACATATAAAATGTAGCAAAATTGCTCTCAATACATTGAAGATTAAGGATAACGGTTCATCAGATCAGTCAACCAAAAAAACTTGACAAATGGAAGACTGGCTCCTAAGAACAGAGGGATAAATAAAGAGAGCGAAAACTTCCATAAAAGCACATCTTTGAAAATCTTTAAATCTCAGTATTTTAAATTTAAACCTTCAATAATTAAATGAAACTNGGGACTAAAACCATGGGTACCGCCAGCGCCTACGCTGGTGGTACAATAATTCTATCAATGGTTTACTTACAGCAGTATCCTCCATTATCAAAGCTGTCAGGTTTACAAAGACACACTCCTTCAGAGCAGACAGCATTGTCGTCTGCGCACACATCACGGAAATCACACCTGACATACAGTGGGATCTTAGGAACTACATACAGATGAAAGAAAAAGAGAAATGTGCAGTTTCTTATATAATAACATTAAGTGATAGGAAAAATGTAAGTACTTAACAATCTGCTTTGAATTATTTTAAGATTTTTAGTGTATCAAAAAAAAAAGGTCATCTTGTTCTCTCTTACCACACTGCCCCTCCTTCTGGAAGTATCCTGGCGTGCACACACACTGTTTCTCCTCGGAGCAGACGGTGTGTTCTGGCGTACAGCCGCCATTACGTAGACATGGTCCCAGCAGCTCTCCTTCGTTACCAGATGTGCTCTCAGGCTCTGTGATACAGATATAGTTACTATAGACAACTATGTCTTCTCAGTGTAACAGAGAGTTAAATTAAAAAATATCAATTTAAGAATATCAATACCATTTAATAAATTGATGAAAACAGCATTTATTCTTTGTCCCATACTGCATAAGAGTTTAAATTCACATGATTAAAATTCCTACGGTGCCAATATTTCACAAACATAAATGCATATAATGCTAATAATGAAAATAATAGTAACACTATTTCCTTCTATAATGTAGCTGTTAAATGTACATCTTTATGTACCACAAATTTACGTTACACTGCCCTCAAGTTTATCAAATTTCCCCCAGTGTTCATTCATCTTACCACACTTATTCCCATTGAGAGCAAACCCCGTCCTGCATTTACACACTCCCTGCTGACAGGCAGCAAACTCAGATTCACAGATGTCGTCCAAGGTACACGCAGAGTTCACAGGCACAAGGCGAGCTGTGGGCGGAAATTTTTTTTTTTTTTAATATGTAACTTTTTCTAAACCTTTTTTCAACAGAAAAAACATTCCTTGAAATCACACAAATTAGACTGAATGGGAGGCAAAACATCACAACAATTTGATTATTATACCATTTTATTTCAACTGTGCCCAGTTTTATTTATAATTAATCTTTAATAATCTTTGATAATCTGAGTGCCAGTTGTGAAATGTGCAGTGCTTATTATAATTAAACCTACCACATCTCTGAGCTTGTTGCACATATCCAATCAGACAGCTACATTCTCCTCTTTGGCAATCTGCATTGGGGTCTGCACATTGGTCTGCAGGGGTGCAGGTAGTTTTAAGCTCTAGCTTTGGAACTAATACAAAAAACAGGGGTTAGTTCTGCTAAAGAATACTGTCATGAAAAAATAAATGTATAAACTATACCTTGCCAGGAATTACATTGAAAAGAATGTAAAATATAGCTAAAACAATAAATAAAATAACTTTACTTTCCTAATGCATATGCCTTTTTTTCAGAATTAAATCACGACAGGAAATAGTTTTATATGAGACCTCTCTCAATTGTGAATCTGATATTATATTATATTCTCCAATTACCTATGAAAAGGTTAATAATACTATCAATATAAATGTATAGAAATGGAAGGTTTGACTTACCACATACATTTTCCAGGAGGTAGTGAGTTGACTGACAAATACACACTCCATTACCACACAGAGAGTTCAAGTCTACACATTGGTGTTCAAACAGGCAAGAGTCTCCAACCAGACCTATAGGGACTATAATGAGAGTGGGAAATTTTAGTAAAACTGGGCTTTTTTGTGGACCTACAGAAACATTATTATTACATAAATAATAATACTTTTGAAACCTGAAGTTCTAAACTTAAACTGTACATATAAAAAAAAGAAAAATAAAAAATAAATAAATAAATAAATAAATTCACACAATGATCAAATTTCATATCACCTGCAGCTAAGGTGATACATCATATGCAGTGTTTATGCAACATAAATTATTGTATTATAATTTATAATTATAGTATAATTTAAAGAGACATTGAATTTCACAGAACTATGACATCATTTAAAAATCCTTAAAAATTTCTTAGAACCATTTTAGGTACAAAAAGCAAAGAAAAAGCGAGATTTCCTACCACAAATGCCCTGTTCAGGTCTGTATCCCAGCTGACATGTACAGATTCTGTTCCTACACACAGCATTGGGGTCCAGGCAGGCATTATGGTCCCCACAGGTGCCTCGCAGGGGAACCTTGGCAGCTAGGAGTGGGGGATGGTGAAATTATGATTTCAGACAACTTATGTATTTTTAATTTTGATTATGATTTCTATGATATTTCAGCTAAAAGCTGTACATAACATGGTAATAAACTGTAACAGCTAGAGTAGCAGAATCAAAAAGAGATATAATATTTATTACAATTTATATTATCATTCTGGTTATAAATCTGCTTATATTTGGTTTTTACTTTACCCATGTATTTTCAAAAGATGTTCAAATATGCTATAAATATGCATTGGTAATATCCTACCACAGAGTCCATTAGAGTAGTAGTAGTTTTCCCTGCACACACAGGTGCCCTGTAGACACACAGAGTTAGGAGCAGAGCAGGACTGGGCCACACTGAAATCACTGGTACAACTGCCAAATAAACTGCCCACAGCTCCTAGAGGTTCTATACACAGAAATAAATGACATGAAATTACACAGACTTACTTTATCAGCATAACACCTGATCTTGTTACATAAGGGACAATTTATAAAGGTGGCAGCAATGATGCATTTCCTCTTTTATTAAAATTTTTAGTTTTACCCTTGAGACTATTAAGCTGGGACTGAAACAAATCTATTCAGGAAATTTTAATGACTCACATGCATTTTAATGTGTTTAATAAATGTGTTTATTAAATTTCTACCCATTTTTTATAACTTATTTGGATTTTATACTCTAAATGAATATCATTGTTATATGAAAAAATCACTAAATACATTTAAGATATTGAACTAATAAAAGTCAACAATACATTTATCACTTACCACAAACGTCCCCATTTTGTTGGAAGCCCTGTCTACACTGGCACTTCTTAGATATGCATTCTGCATTGAAATTATCGCAAGCATCTCCACTGTCACAATTCATGCCTAGTGATACCTTTTTCACTATAAGAACATTGAAAACAAGGTTTAGATTTAAATCAATTTTCCTTTTTCACTTACAGAATACTTAAAGCAAGTTTTTAGATTTATATCAAAATTCATTGAAAAAATTATACCTTTTTGTCCAATGAAAAAAAATCATTTTGAAATTTTTTCAGTACCACAGACAAATCAGCTAAAATGAAATTATTAACAAAATTCATCAATTTCTTACCACACTTTCTTTCTTTCAGATAGTGACCTTCCTTGCACTGGCACCATATTCCATTGCAGAAGGCGTTCTGGTCCTGGCAGACGTCACTATTGGTGGAGTGGCAAGCAGCCATAGTGGGATGCTTGGGAACTGAAATATGAAATAAGACCAATTCAAAAAATACTATAATAATAATAAGATATTAAGTAATACCTCACTGATTCTTCCAAACTTAGAAATCTGTAAAACATTTGAAAAGTTTAATCAACACTTATTGCAACACAAGCATGCATCACCTTCATACCAATATTCCTGACAGCATATCAAAGTTAAACTAGTTAAATGTTTTATGGAGCTTTTTGTTAATCCATTGCTACAGTGGCAGAACATACAATGTGAAAAATATCACAAACTAATAAGTAAAATAAAAATTGTACAATTTCCTTACTGCATCTCCCATTCTTAGGGTAGTAGTCTGGGTGGCAAAGACAGAGACCATCTTGACAGAGCAGAGACCCCTCCGTACAGGAGCCTCCATCCAGACAGGGGGAAAACAGCCCACCTTTCACACCTAAAAAATACATTTAAAACTTTCTGATTGCCATAATGGTGGACTCTTATTTTACTTTTCAACCATATGTTTCATTCACATTAAACTCAACCTTTAAATATATCAAGACACATATTAAATTTTTAATGATATTTCTTCCAATTTTTTCTCTAAAGAAAATCAAAAGACTACTTACTACAAAACACCCCAAACCCATGTGTCTGGGGTTGACACTGGCAGCGACCTGAGACACAGTGAGAGTTGGCAGCATCACATTCTACATCAGACATACAACGTCCCTGCAAACGCTTCTTGGCAACTGGAGATGTAAGACAAATGGTACAATACTTACTGGTGGATAGGGAAGGGAATAAACTGTCAGAAAAACATACACACCAAGTGCATTAAGTTAAGTAATCATTGACTTTTTTGTGATGTCAATATCACACATCTATCATAATTCTTAATTTTTCAAGAGCAGATGCTTTTGTGTTTGGTGTTTGAAATACCACAATAGCCTTTCAGCATTAATTCATGTTTAAAAAAAGCCATAACTGTGACGAAGTACTTACCACATTGAGTGCCATCAGAATCATAATATCCCTGTCTACACAGACATACTCCAAACTAGACATGAACTGTGTCTACTTACCACACTGAGTGCCATCAGCATAGTATCCATTCCTACACACACAGACCCCTGAGGGAGTGCACTGCATGGTGTTGATGTTAGAACAAGCCACTCCATCAACACAGGCTCTGAACAGCTCCCCTGGGGCACCAGGCAACACTGCAATATACACAGACCAATTAATTCATATGAAAACTGACTTTGATAATAGCCCTAGCCATGCCAGGCACATACAAATAGTTATATTGTCAAATTAATTGTAATATCAATTTTAGAAATAGAAATGAAGATGAAAACAAAATAAATAGACAACAGTTTTCCCTAATCTTGAACTTAAAAGCCTACATGCTAAATCTAGTTCAATTGCTTGAATTTGAATTGGTGGTTTGTAATCATATAATATACACAAATTTTAAGAACCTAGTTTATTCCAAAATTATATTTTGTTAAAAACTAAATCCTTTCTCTCAGCAACTTTCATCAATGAATCTCATTTCCTTTTTTAAAACTTCCAAAACATTTTCATCCATAACAAGATATTTTTGGCAATATAAATTGTCACTTCTGTTTGAGTTAAATCATTTAATTACTACCATTTTTTATCAAGGAGTGTCTATTTCAAATCTTTTTCATATCAGTTTTAATCAAAATTAATAAACTATGGGCTATTTTCCTTTAATTAAAATGAAAACAATCTGACATACCACAGACTTTGTTGACCTCAGTGAATGCCTCCTTACAAACACACTTCCTGTTCCTGCAGATGGCGTTCATATCAGAGCAATGGTCGTCTGCTTCACAGTCAAAGTCCAAGGGCTTCTTGTCCTCTGTAATAATACCATTTATACTCTTAATTTTAAGATTATCACCCACCTTGAATAATTACACTATTTTTCAGTATACAGGATATTTTCAAGTAGAGCATAATCATATATTAAGATCCTAGGTCAACAGGGCCTGTTTTTATAATAGGTTTACCAGGTGACTACTGACAAAAGCAAATGATTGAATTGTCATTGTAATTTATAATTATTTTGAATGAATGCTATTACTGCAACAATACCAAAGGTCACAGAGCTTATCATAATTGATGAACTACTGTAACAAAATGTATCTGTCTCCTTGCATATTGCTTTGTCTTCTTGCTAAATCTGATAACCAAACTGAATCTTTTCTTAAAGAATTTAAACCTACTAGTTTGTTACAATTAAAACAACTAAATGTCAACTCATTCACTCCACTCACTGCAGGTTGTCCTGTCTGGATAGAATCCTGGTCTACAGACACACAATCCATAGTTACAGAACAGACCAGAGGAGGAACAGTAGGAACCTGGGAGACATGGAGCATTTCTGACACCGCGAGGCACTGAAATGATCAAATTTGTAGTTATCATCAGAAAAATCAAGTGTTACAATAGCGATAGAGGCCTTCCATGCCTCCATGCCCCATCAGTTTACCTTGTTTTATGTTATGTTGTGTTATCAAAAGAAACATGTTAAAAGACTACTTTTCACTTCTGTTACACAATAAGGTATTAAAGAAAAATATGGCAAACTCTCTCTCTCTCTCTTTCTCTCCTTCTGAATACATCAGCAATTGTTGGTAAAGGATCTAAAGGATAATATACCACAAGAGGTTCACATACCACATGCCCCATTGACAGCATAGTGTGTTGGCTGACATGAACACAGTCCATCAGTGCAGGCTGACAGGTCATCCTCACACGTATCCTGCTCTGTACACTTCTCTCCCAGGGGAACCTTACGCTCTGAAATATAAAGGTTTTATGAGAAAATATGTATTTAGTATCTTTTTTTAATCACAATTTCTTTGTTTCAAATAAATATCACAAAATTCCCTTTCCTCTGTCAGCAAGGTGTCAGTTTAATTGCTACATGAGACATTTTACAGTCTAATTATCTCCACTCACTGCACATCCCCTGGTAGCTGTAGCGTCCCTCCCCGCAGACACACTGGTCTCCAATACACTGAGCGCCCTCTATATCACACGTCCTGTCTACCAGGCACGGGTACTGCAGGGTGCCTCGCTTACCTGAAAATACAAGCTTCATGTTGTGACTAGTCTTAATTGTAAATTTTGAAATTGCTCTTTATTCTTTCTTGTGGGTAGTTTTTAAATAATATATAAAACGTCATTTAAGGTTCACTAAAACAGATAGTATTCTCTTAAGGGTTTTATCTTTAGAATTAGCATACGTAAGAAAACAAAATTTCTAAAAATTTCATTTGTATTCTGTACATAAAAGAAATAAAAACCTGGAGACTTACCACATGTCCTGCCAGCTCTCAGATATGATGGCTTGCACTGACACTGTCCATTCTGGCACTCTGCCAAGGAATGAGCACATACGCCACCTGGTGAACAAGCATCACCAAGCTCTGGCTGTGGAACTGAAACATTAGATGCTCATACAAAGAATATGGTTATGCACTGAATGAAGTAATAAAAAGAAAGTAAGCCCTCTTACAGATTAAGGCATTTTCCAATTCTAGATGGTATATAAATATTTCATTATATCAGAAAGCAAGCTGGGTTAAAATGTTCTTTGTCTCACTCTATACATTAATTCTTTATCAGAGGAAAAACAGAAGATAGAATTTGTCAATCTTCTAGACATAGTTTTTATTGGAACTTACCACAAACTCCATTCTTGATATAGAAGCCATTTTTACATGCACATACGCCATCTATACATTTGGAGTTCCTGTCTCTGCAGGCCCAGCCTAACAAACAGCTGCTTCCTACCTCCCCCTTAGCAGCTGGGAAAGAAAATAAAGGATATATGTGCCTTTACTTACACCTATCATTCTGTGCCTCGGATAACCAAAATTGGGTTACACAAAACACAATGTCTAGTATATAAAAGGAAGAAAATTATCGTGAACGAAAGTTTACAACCAACACAAGCTGGTATTTTGTAAATCAACAATACTTACTACAGGCATCAGTGACAGTTTCACTGGAGGCAACATCATAAGAAGGATGACACAGACATGAGCCTTCAATGCACTGCCCATCATTGTCATCACACAGTTCTCCATTCTCACAAGGGGGAGCCACTTGTACCTTGGGAGGCTCTGTGGGGGCTGCCTCTGGAACATCAAGGACTCATTGCATAACTAAATCTACTTTTATTATTTAAAGGAAGTTTTGGCACATGCTGGTTTTTCTCATTACACATATCATATATGCTGTAAAATATTAGATAATATATCATTTATATAATGCTGACAACAAAAACTACAGAACAGAATATACAGTAAGTATGCAAAATCACTTTAAAGAAAATATATTAGATCTTACCACAGAACCCTCCAACATCCCTGAAGCCCTCTCCACATCGACATTTTTCTTCTTTACACTCTGCAACATCATCTAAACACTCTACATCCAGAACACAGGGGAAGTTCAGCTGCTTCTTGGGGTCTACAGAAAAATAGGACATTGTACAGGTGTATTTGTCATTGCCTTCTAGATACTAAATGTTCAGCAACTACAAGGTAAGAGCACTTACTTTTATTGTTGGAAAAAACTTTTTTTATTTTACCATTATCTCTATATATTTTCCTAGAATCCAACATTGCTCTCTACAAGCTTAATGTACTAAAGAAGTGGATGTCACTCACAGCAAGTCTGTCCATCTCTGTAGAACCCAGGGCTACACTGGCACTGCCCGTCCTTACATTCTGAATTCACTGTGTCACAGGCTTCTTTACTGGGACATGGTTCACCCAGCTGCTTCTTAGACACTATAAAATAAACATAATGAAGGGAAATTTTCAGATTTTATATGTGATGGAAGTGTGAAGGGGCTTATCTGGGCTGAGATCATTCTAGCCATAGCAAGCAAATGGCTACATTTTTGGAAAATTTGAATCTTTTAAACAACCTTTCAGGAGCAGTTCAACAACATCACTTAGTTTCATCAAAGTTTTTCAAAGTGATCAGCGAAGTTCAAAGTCCAACTTTTTATGCAATCTGTAACTTACCACACTTGAGCTGGTCCTTAAAGAATTGCTGCTTGCAGACACACTTGCCATTCCTGCACTCTGCATTCTCTGTGAGGCAGGCTTTGTTGGAGTCACAGTCTCCAGTTAAACCAGACTGGGGCACTGGAAGATAATACCACATTGTCAAAATATGATAATATTTATTGAATGTTTTTTGTAAAAGGTGATGCTATAACAGTTCTACATGGAAAGGAAAGAGAAATGCAGTTATGTTTCATGATACCGAATGCCTATTATTTTTTTTATTAAATGGAATAATGTACTATGCTTTATTTTTGAGCAGGTGCTTTCACACTTTGCAGAAATGCTAAAGAATTTTCTGACCAACTCACCACACTGGTCCTCATCATAGTAGTAGCCAATGCTGCACTGACAACTGCCCTCTCTGCAGGCACTGTTCCTCTCTCTACACTGACCATCAAGAGTACACTGGGAGCCTTGACCACCTTGCTGAGCTACAATATACATGTATGACATGACACAGGGGCTACGAAACAGTATATCCCGGTAAATAAGATGCACCAAAACATATTTATACATACTGTTTATAAGTTTTTTTGGTATGAATGCCAGTAAAAGTAACTTCTTTTATGAAAAAATTCACAGTAATTGTGAAATTATATGAAACGTCAATTATACAGTCTTAGAAAATAAATTTCTAATGAAATTTCAAACTAAACATACTGAGAATACTTAAGTCTATCATGTTGTGAATGAAATAAAATATAAGCTTGTACCCAAATGAATCAAATAAAATTTAGAATCTCATGATGAATCTAAATTTGCACAAATATATTTTATATAAAACTATCAGAGAGGACACCTACTGCACAGTTCTCCATTTTGAAAGTATCCCGATTTACACTGACATCTATTGTCTATACAGTCAGCATTGTCCACACACGCCTCTGGTGACCTGCAAGAGTCACCTACTCCAACTTGTTTGTCTGAAATAAATTATGGTTAATTATCTTATGCTTTGGCCTTTTTCTTTTACAAATATTTGTCTAAAAAGGAATCATTAAAAAACCATGGTTGAAAGGATGGTTAAACTATTAAAAAGAAGTTATGATTTTCAATCTTATAGTTCACCTACCACAGCGCCCCCTATTGTTATAGAAGCCTTGCTGGCAGACACATTCCCCACTTTTGCAAGCAGAGTTTTCATTCAAACAGGCCTCATCACTGACACATCTGCCCCCTAGCACTGTCTGAGGTACTGGAAATAAAAACAAAGGGAATTTATATGAGTATTCTTATCAAAAATACATAAAACACAAAATGATTCATAGAAATGTAATGAAATGGCATGATGTAGTGTTCACAAATATAATTCCCAGACATGTAAATTAATTTGATTAGAGTCGATTGCTTGTGCACTCGACTCGTTTTATGGCCTTACCTGTAGTTATGTAACTTAAATGGACGTGTGCAATTTGAATAATTAAAATTAATATGTACCGCCAAATACTGCAGCACAGAATCCACCTAAAGATAAGAAATAGGTATAAAAGACGTATAGAATTGATATCGGGGGGGCAGACTAAAGAAGACTCGAAGGTGACCGCTCGACGGAGCTATGGGAGACGGCTTAGAAGTTGGAGGCTTCACGTATAGAACATGTAGTTAGAGATCGTCAACCAATAAACCATTAAACTGGTCATTATGTGGACTTGGGTTTTCTTTGCGCAACATTACGTAAATCTTGAATTGCGTTATCCACTGAGTGAGTCTAAAACGAAATGTCCTATTTCGAGCCCACACTTGAATTAAGCGTACAAAATTATATAAGTTTAGGACATTCATCTCATATGTATATGTAAAGGTACATAACATATTTGGCTGAGCTTCGCCAGTTTACGTTCCAATGCGCACAAGGAAGACCTGACTAGACACAAAATGGCCAGACGGGGAGGTAAGTATGGAAAGGGTATGTATTGAAATTTTCAGACATGATGAATGTTGAAGGACAAATGAATTACTCAAGAACACACCTGTGTTGCCATTTAACTTAGTAATTTATTGACATTCTTTAAGAAAGATTCTTAAATAAAGTTTGTTATCTGACATGTTCAGATTTACGAAAACTATGTACGGTATGCAAGAATGCATTTTCTTCTTCCACAGGAAAAAAATATTAAAGTATTTTTTTTCTTAACACTAGAAAAAAACCCCGAGGGTGCAGACCCCGCCAAGGCAGCGATTTTTTATTATTACTGATTATTGATTGATTATTGATCTGGATCACCACCAAAAACTAATCATCTGTTCCTTGGCCCACTTCCTGAAAATTTCATCAAAATCGGTCCATAACTTTTTGAGTTATGTTGATGACAGACAAACAAACAAACAAACAAACAAACAAACAAACAAACAGGGGTGAAAACATAACCTCCTTGGCGGAGGTAATGATCATGACTAATACTTCTGACAAACTAACGTGACCCTTACCAAATCTTGAATAGCATATCATAAATAACATGGCACAGAAAACTTACAGCACTGGTCTCTGTCCCTGTAGAATCTCTCCTTACAGGCACACTTATTGTCCTTGCAGTAAGAGTTGTCTGTGCCACACACTCCATTGGTCAAACAAGTCTCGTCCAGGCCAACCTTTCGACCTGAGAGAGAATTCATTAACTCAGAACAGGAGAAACAGCAAGGGTAGGAAGTAAGAGTTCTCAAAAGATGCTATAAATGGCAAAAAATTGGGACAACATACTGAACAAATTTACTGTGATATCGTTAGTAAATCACTGGCCTATATAGTAAATACCACCTATAATAAAACAAAAGATCACCAGACATAATGCATAGATGACCTATATGTGGAGAATCTTTCATATGAATAATGTTAAGTAATACTTACTGCATAAAGGTCCATTGTTGACAAAGCCCTGTCTACAAATACACTGGCCTCTGTTACAGATAGCATTTTCTGGGGCACATTCTTCATCTGATCCACACCCTCCATTGAGACCAGATTTGCTGCCATCTGACAAAATTTGAAAATAAAACAAAAATTTTACACTACTCAATTAAATGACCTATCAGCTTCATTTTTTAACATTCATTATTAAACACTTCAGCTTGCACTTGAGCTGACAATTTTGATAACAGGTATGTTTTATTTTCACATAAGCTGAACCAGAATAACATACATTCAAACTGGCACAGCCTCAGCTTCTCATATACTATCATTCCAATGGTCTAGGTCACATTGATATTAGAAACATAGTCTTACTCTCTGTTAGCTAACACTTACCACAGGTACCATCATTATCTTTGTCAAAGTGCATATCATCACATTCACACTGGCCGCCACGACATTCAGCATTTTCCAGAACAGCACAGTCTGCTTCAGTTTGACATGGCTGGTGAAGCTGGCTCTCTGTCAATCCTGATGACAAAAAAGTATGTTAAAAGTAAAAAATAAAATAATAAATATAAGATAAAAAAAAATAAAGCAAAAATAAATAAAAGACAAATAAAATAAATAAAGCATACCAAAGACACACACACACACACACACACATGCACACACGCACACACATTACTATCCTCTTCTCAGGTGGTATAAACCATGCAATAACTGTACTTACTACAAGCTTTCAGCAAACGATTGGCATCAAATCCCTGAGGACAGCGACATCTGCCACCAATACACTTAGCATTGTCATAGTCACAGGCCTCGTCTGTCCGGCAGCGGCCTCCCAAGGGTTGCTTCAATGCTGAGAGTAGACAGATATTGTATATAACCAAGGAATATTTCCAGTTGTTTTTTTAAAAAGCATTGCATTTGCAATTTTTAGTTAAAAATACTATTTTACTTGTTGGAATGTTTAGGAGTAAATTGTTTGTGAAATATTCAATGTGTGCTTCATAATTTAATTGTGTATCATGCCTTCCCAATTTTCTTTTACCCAGTGCCTCAAACAAACAAGTAACATGTTGTCCACTAGCTATAGTCTTTGACCTTAAGCAGTCACCAACAGCTTCAAACAAATCTTTTATAGCCAACCGGAGCCAATTTCTTCCAAAAAATATATTGGTTAACAATTAAAATGACAGATGGGCAAGTCAGGCCAGTTTGAAAGAATTTAAAAGTGAGGATAAAATCTTGATAAATGCACAAGTTTTACATTACTGTTCTGAACAGAAATTGTAGCCTCTACAAGGACACAACAAATACATGAATGAAATAGGAAATGAATAGGAACTCATTAATGACCACTTACAGCAGAAGAGACTGTCAGCATAATAACCCTCTGGGCACTGGCATACGCCTCTAGTACACTGGGAGTCCACCACACGGCAGGCGTCAGGAGTTCTGCAGGGTTCCCCGTCTCCTACTTGCAGCTCTGAAGTAAAGGTTAAAGGTGAAGGAGAAATCATATCCTACAGCATCATACTAAATATAATCCATGACATAATCAAGTGAACTGCAGTCTAAACATTGTGCCAGGACATGGGACATGACTGCCATGGGGGAGGATAGACCATCCAAATCAACAAACACATACCAAAGAGAGAATGGAAATTGAATCTCATAATAGTCACACACGTATGTGCTCCAATATTTTCTCTGTATTCCATATACCTCATTGAAAATGTACCTGAGTGTTCATTATGAGATTCATCTTTCATTTATCATTTGTTTGAAACAACAACTGGATGTACACTTTGATAAATTCTGCTTCAATGTCCAACTACAACTTACTACAGTCCTCTCCGTCCTGGTAATGCTCAGGTCGACAGGTACAGGTTCCACCTCTACAGTAGCTGCCATTTGTACAGCCTGCATCTGAGGTACATGGTCCACTGGCACCAGATGTCTCACCTGGGCACATAACAAAATGTTTTAAATCACATGAATTGTCACATCAAATAATTTTTTATACCCAAAACACTGAAAAACTATTTCCAGGAAATTCAATCATACAGTAGAGTTTTATGATTTCAACGTTTCAATGCAATAAAGGAATGTTTTTCAAATGTTGAAGTTAAAAGCAAATTTTTTTTATCTATTCAGTTCTCTACATTTCTATATTTATCAAAGTACTATTTTTATCCATTTATTCATATAGTTTGCTGGAGCTAACAGCCTTAACAATCCTGTCAGTAAAATGACCTGAGAAGCTGAAACTCACTACAGGCTCCATTTTTGTCATAGTATCCATCTTTGCACTGACACTTCCCCCTGACACACTCGGCATTCCTGTCTCCACAACCCTCATTGGAGCTACAGGCTTCATTCAAATTAGAACTGGGAACTGAAGAAAGAAAGAAGTCAAATTCAAGTTTCAACCTTATACATCAAACCACCTGTCTGTCAACAATTCTGACAATTAAAGTGGGCAAATAAAATATATAAAGAAAATATGCTTTGGCCTATTCATTCTTTTATATTGAAATACAAGATTTTTTATAACTTAAAAGTTTTTTTTTAATTATTATTTTAACAGACATCTTGGCTTTACAATTGCTATTAAAGCTTTATAATCACTTGAGAAATGTCCTACCACATGTTTTTCCCAGTGCATAGTATCCGTCCAGACACACACAGCTCCCCCTGCTGCAGTAGGAGTTAGTGTCCTGACAGTCAGAATTACTGCTACACTGACCCCCTGGCCCTGTCACTGAAACCAATATATAGTATACCTTCTCAGTCAGGGTAACTATATAAAATGCATTAGGTTTACTATTGATTCCCAATGTTTTTTAATGTTGAAAGAAGATTGCTCCTCTGTTTATAAGAGTCAATACAATAATGTGATGGTTCAAAATGTGTGAATATCTGTAGTCCTTTCAGGGGTAATGTTTAAAAATTTTCATTGACAAATATGCATACAATACAAATTTCAAATTAACTGTGTTAATATCATAATAGCATGTCAATATTTACTAATTTGAGGGGGTGAAGCAACTTTGCTTCAAAGTATTTAGTTTGGGGCAAGCAGTCTCAATGGGTTTCCATGAAAAATTTGTCCTACAAATTTGTAAGATAATCTTAAGTTTAATGCAGGTTTGCAAGAAAGTATTCAGGTTCTTGCAAATTTGCAACAGACCTTATATGCATTGTACAATTCCTTCTTGCAAATTAGCAAAAGAGTTTGCAGCAGGCCTGGGATTTTTGCTTTCAACTTTTCAAGAGTTAAAATTTTTGATGATGACCTTGACCAACTTACCTTCCACACACCTCCCATTTTGCAGTCTATATCCTGTATCACATGAACACCTGCCATTCACACACTTGGCATTTAGTGGACAGTCAGCATCCCTGTCACATTGGGGGCCATCTGACTCAGGATCTAATAGTTTCATAATTATAAACATTTTTCAAACTGATTTAACTTATACAGAATCTCCAAAGTGCTTTTTGGAGAACCTAAGAATCAACTAAAAAGAGTCAATGTCTTTTTTATATTCCCCTCCAAATCTACACTCTTTTAACTTCAATAATATAAAACATAGATTAAACATTCCCAACTACAAATGTGTACAAAGCACAGAAAATATGCACAAACAACACCACATTTAATATGAAGACAGAAAATAATTATGACCAAAAATCACAACATAACCCCATAATGAATCTGCAAGTAAAATGCATATCAGAAACCAAATTTGACTGGTTAAACTAAACACTGAACAAACATATAAAACCAAATTTATTTGTAGAAACTAAAACCTGAATAAACCCCCTCACCACATGTGCCTGTTGGGCCTGGCCTGTGGCCCTGTTTACATTGACAAGTGCCTAGCACACATTCAGCATTGGGGTCCAGGCACTCCACATCCTCCCTACAGGTTCTCTCAGTAACTTGGGGAACTAAAGAAATTCAACCAAACATCACATAAAAACTCTGAACTAAAAAAAGGCTTTGGAGGGCATGCCCTTGGCCACAGCTTTAACTTTTGATCTTTTGTTCTTCATCTGCAAGCAAAAATTAATAAAAAACATTTAAAAGCCAAATAAGAATTTCTTTAAAATCATAGGCATGACTAAAACATATGCATTCATCCTGGTTGCCCATAGCATGCTTTCACAATACCCACTTCAACATTTAAAGCTATAGCAAATTTATCAACAGAACAAAAAATCCTGTTTTCACTTTGCAACTTGGACATCACAATCAACACATCTCAAATAAGTTTTAAAAAGGAATACTTCTTTTTGATAAAGCCATAAAAATGAGAGAAATGAGCAAAATGGATCTGGAAGAAAAGCTCCAGTTCAGTACAAGTATACTCACCACAGCGCTGTCTCTGTGTGTTATATACATAAGCTGGCATACAGACACAGCGACCCTGATGACACATACTGTGCTCAAGTTGACAGTCATCATCTGTGCTACAGTCCTCAAGATGTCCTTTCTTGGCAGCTATGCAAAAATACAATTCACCATCTCTAAATCATCGAAGGAAAAGACTGAATTTTCAAATGTAAAATATTTTGGTGACTGTTATTGATAACTGATTTTTAAAATGTTGTATTTTCCACCAGGCCTGTTCTGACAGTGTTCTCATTTCAGTGATGTAAAACAATATTTCTTGTCATTTTCTCTAGCAGTTGTCAGCACTTACCACATTGTCCCCCATCATTGTAAAATCCGTCCCTGCAAACACATTTGTCGTCCTTACAAACAGCATTGTTGTCAAGACAGGCTAAACCAGCCAAACACTTGCCATCAACAGCACCATTCAAAACTGAAAATCAAACAAAGAGATAATATAGCATCCTACTCTGAGAAAAAAGCAGACAAACAGATGTAAGTATGGAGAATGGAAAATTCTTTAGCTCATAATGTCAACTTTCAAATGGCATTTGTGTTATCAAAGCAATAATAGCTGGAACAATGCACAATATATCTTTTTATTCAAATAATAATAGAAAAGACAAACTTAATGTTTCAAAAACATTTTAAATCATGTATACAAACATCTTAGGATGACTCACTGCATGTAGTTCCTAAGCGATGAAAGTTCTCGTCACAGATACACTGACCATCATCTGAGCATACGGCACTGTCATCCAAACATTCTTCATCTCTAGAACACTGGCTATCCAATGGAGACTTTCTTACTAATAAGAGATCGGTATAAAGTCATTAGATTCACTGCAAATATGTACCTTTTTCATTCCAATTCTAATCAACTGTCTACTCTGACTACAGTTAGTAAAACAATTGTTATTTTCTTTATTTTCTGCCACAGTTGAAGCATTGCCTAAAATCACTGATGGGAATGAATTTTTTTTATAATTAAGAACAAAACCATATCAAATATTACATACAAAAGACTAAAATCAACTCTTCCACTTACTAATAATAAGTATTCACATCTTTTAAAAATATAAAAAAAACATCTGCAGCAGACAACTCACCACAGCGCCCCCTATCATTGAAATGAGTGGTTTCACACTTGCAGATGCCTCGCCTGCACTCAGCATGGACATCAAAGCACACGTCCCCTGGTGCACACCTGTGGTCCAGTGTCCCCTCCTGCCCTGGGGGGACTTCTTTACACTGACCATCCTGGCAGGTGTAGGGCTCCACACAGGGGTCCCTTTCACTGCACTCCTCTCCAGGACCTTGCTTCAGTACTGTAATAATAGCATTCATAATATATATATATATATATATATATATATATATATATATATATATATATATATATATATATATATATATGCTTATTGCAACTCATATCAATGTAAAAGTTGGGCTAATATCTGATAAATGCTGGCTTTTGCAACATACCCCTGACCTTTATAGATATGTGGACATGTCATGAGCACATTAAGTGTTAGGAAATATCACACTGTGTGGACCAATCTACAATAATGACATTTGTGATATAAATAGATATGAATTTCATAATTTTCAATCAAGAAGATGTCATGAAATGTAAAACTTCAACTGTCAAGCATAAAAAAAACAGAGGAAAGGAAGCAGAGAAATTTCTCACCGCAATTTCCATCTTTCTCATAAGAAGCGTCATCACACCTGCAGAGTCCAGATTTACACTCAGCGTGAGGACCACATGTATTACCTGGCTGGCCACAGGGAGAACCTGGGCCGTGACCTCTTCTCTCTGGAGACGCAGGGAAAAACACAATTTTAATCAAAATTTTCAAAATGTATGTGACAATTGTCATTTTTGATATATATCTTTCAATTTTAATCATTCATCATTTTTGATTGCTTTTATAACAGAGATGTTTGGACTGACTCAAAAGTGGAGATTTTTATCAAAGAGGATTACATATATTGCAATACTAGGCTCTTACCACAATTGCCATTTTTCTCATAGTAGTCAGGAGAACATATGCAGATGCCATTTTCACAAACTGAGCCAGATTCAGAACAGAGAGCTCCTGGTAGACATTCCTTCCCCAGTGCTCCCTGACCAACTGAAACCAAACCAGTCATATATAAATGGCTCAATTCATAATTTAACAAATGATAAATCTGGAGGTAAAATGAAGTTACTGTAGTGATCTTTCTTTAAATGGTTCAGGCACATTGTACAGTCTATTCCTTATAACAGAAAAATGTTTTCATCTGCAAAATCTATACTAGTCTCCAAATTCCAGTAAAATTGAAGACAGGCAATGAAAATTTTGTAAATCTATATCTGCTTCAGACCTACAGACCCGATGCCCAAAAGAAAATAAGGCAAAAAGATTTCAACACAGGCCGCCATATTGTAAAATGAAATTATTTGAATAAGCAACTGACCACACTGGTCCCCGTCCTTGGTATAGCCAGGGTCACACTGACAGGTGCCGTCTTGACACGACGCCCTCTGGCTGTTACACAGGTCACCAGGCTCACAGTCTTCACCCACTGGGATCTTAGGCACTGTGGAGAGAGAAAAGGGTGCTTTTATTACTGATTGTATTTAAATGTTTAATCCCATCTAATATACAATAAGTTAGATGGTACCATAATATGACCTAAAGCATGTTTTATCCTTTTCAGGGCATTTTTAATTTGCCCTTTGGTAAATATAAATTTATATAAACATTATTAAAAATAGTTCATTCCAATATAACATGTTATCTTACCACACTGTCCATTCTTTTCAAAGTGCGAGGGCAGACATTTGCATATCCTCCCCCCTCTGCACTCAGTATTTGGCTGTCTACAGTCTTCTGTCTGCTGGCAGGGACCATCAAGATCTCCATTACCTGCATCTCTAGAGACTGGAACACAATGAATTACCATATTGAAAGATCAAAAATAAATTCTTCGCTTATCATGATTAGTGGCAACTCTTTAAGGAGGTTGAAAAGATTGTGTCTGATGCGCATGTACTCTGTGCAAGGATCACAGACTCACTACATTTAATGATATCCCATTTCCAAAATTTTATATCTAGACAAATCAATATACATTTTAATTTCTTTCTCCTCTTCAGTAAATAGTTCTCCATTGTTTTTACTTGTAGAGAAAAACTAAAAAACTAAATTTTGGAACTCAACAAAAGAATAAGAGGTTTTTATCACACATACAGCAGACTCCACTGCGTTCAATGTATCCATTTTTGCAAACACATCTTCTATTTCTACACATGAGGTTACTGCTGGCTGTGCACCCTTCATCAGAATTACATTCATCTCCTATATCTGACTTGGGAACTGGAAGATAGTTAATAAGAGAGTAGTCATTAATTTAAAGTAGTAATATGGCAAAAATGAATAAAAATAATATTCAAAAGAGAAATCTGATATGGACAAAAGGGGCATTAGACTAAGTTTAAAATCACAAAATTAAAAAAAAAACGTGCTACATACAGAAATCAAGAAAAAATGCTAGCCTTCATGGTACAAAATCTCTAACAGTTCTTACCACATATGCCATTGTTGTCATAGGAGTCTTCTGTACAAACACAGATATTGCTGTCACAGGCTGTGTTGGCATCAGTACACACACCATTAGCTTTACATGGAGTGTGTAGTTTACCCTTGGGAACTAAAATATCAAAACATTGCACAACCACTCAATGAGATAAAAGTCATGTAAATCTAGATGATATAAAGAGAACAATTTATTTTTTATTTTAAGTGTCATGAAGGGAGATCAGAACAGTGTACTACGGATCAGTGTTAGCAAAAGATTCAAAAAGGAGATTCTGCAAACAGTTTCTCATTAAATGAATTTTAAAAATACAAAAAAATAAAATTTGATTGAAGGATAAAATGTTTAACTTACCACACTGATCATTTTTCTCAAAGTGTGTATCTCTGTTGCACAGACAAACACCCTCTGTGCAGGCGGCGTGGTCATCTTCACAGACATCATTTTGTTCACACAGTCCATTCAAAGGAATCTCAGGTCCTAGAGTACAAATATGTGCTCTTAAACCTTTACTTAAAATTCTATATTGTTCACATTTCTATCAGTATTCCAGAGATACATAAAAGATCTGTTTTTAGTATTTTCAATTCTGTATAAATGTAAAGACTTGATTAGAACTGTAAGACATGGTTATTCATTTTCATAAAAAGTTAACACAAACCATTTTTCAAAAATTGAAAGTAAGTAAAACATTCCGTGAAAAAAGTCACCACTAGACTTATCTATCATAAAAATTCTGAGAGAGAAAAAAAAACAACTTACTACATCTTCCCTGCTTTAAAAAGAAGCCATCTCGGCACTCACATATCCCACTGATACAGATTGCATTACGATCTTCACACTGGTTGCCACGGACACAAGGGATCTGAGGTTTGGAGGGGTCCCGTAGGACTGGGCATGAATAAAATAATAGGCAAATAAAACTTGTGACATAAAATCATAATTTGGATGCAATATTCACATCTTTTCCAGAAAACAAAAACCTTACATATCATACAATTCTGAGAGGGAGTGGTAAATGGTGAACCAACCAGTTCTATAAAGTCACCCACCTATTTCAACAAGATTCTCTCACTGCAGATATAATGAACCTTAAGCCAGATACCAAGCGCCAAAGGCACAGGGAGTAAACAAAAACAACACTGTAATATCCACATTTCCAGTTAATATCCAAAAGACTTTCATCTCTAAATTACACCACTCACCACAGAGGCCATTTTTAGCTTCGTATCCCCGCAGACATTCACACAGGCCTGCAAGACAAGCCGTGTTGGTGTCTGAGCAGGCGTTGTCAGGCAGACAGGGGGTGTCTAGCTTGCCACGGGAGACTGGAATGGGAATGCAAAATATCTAATTCAGTTAGAATTGAGAAATAGCTTTTCCAACCCAAGAACTGTGTGTTAATTTATGTTTTAAGTGGTACAAGAAAGCTCTCAAACTGAAGATACAAGGCACTGTTCTGTATTTTTAGTACTTACTGCACTCTCCATCCCTCTCAAAGAAGGAGCCACTGCAGGAACAAATTCCATTTTCACAGTCTGCATTGTCATCTCGACAGACTTCCTTGCGTTTACAGGAGGAACCAATACTCTTCTGGGGCACTACAAAGGAAAAAGAAACTTCAATACAATTATTACAACAAAAATTAATGCACTTAAGAATAATATATATAATTCAATTTTAAAAAAATTCCAAAATTTTTCCTTGAAACTTTAATCTTAATATCAAGGATTTCAAATCCTATTCAATTTCAGAAAAATATAAATCTAAATACTATGTTGATAATATACCAGATCCCCCCCTGACTTAATCAGACAACTTACAGCATCTCCCCTGCTCGGCATAGTATCCTTGGTTACAGCGACATATGCCCAGTAGACACTGAGAGTTGGCATCCAGACACCTGGGGCTGATGTCTGGGGATAGACACCTGGCATCTGGGGAACCCTCCTTGGTAGGCAGCACTGGGGAGAATGAGAAGTTTAACATAATTTTTATTTGGACCTATTGACAAAACTTATTGCATACAAATAATATATAAATGGTTGAAAATAAAATATTAATCTCCAGATGACAAAATAAGTAAGGTACCTTTAATTTCACTTCAGGTAAATTTTTTAATCTAAAATTCACAAATGGGGTTTTATAAATTAAGTTAATTGTCCAGTTTTAGTTTAGCATCTTAAATGATATTATCATTGTTCACTGAACCACACTATAAACAAAAAAATCTTTAATCCTTTACTTACCACAGACCCCCTCCTGGTCATCTTCAAAGTAGCCCTGTCTACAGGTACATGTGTTAGTTTGAGAGTTACACAGTGCAAACCTGTCCTCACACACATCAGCTGGAGTACAGGGGGCACCTAAAGGATGCTGAGGAACTGAAACAAATAGTATTAGAGTTATTGGTTTGAGAGTTACACGGGGCAAACCTGTCCTCACACACATCAGCTGGAGTACAGGGGGCACCTAAAGGACGCTGAGGAACTGAAACAAACAGTATTATAGGCATTAGTTTGGGAATTAAACAAACCAAATCTTTCGATCTTCAGGTATTTCAACAGGGATGCTGGATGTTCTTAAATTTAAAACACAAGTATTATAAGTATTTAAAGTATCATGGCTATGATGAGATAATAATAAGGTTGCTGGACATAATTAAGTTCTGGACAAAGAATCATATTTCATCCAGGTGTTTATTTAGGACTTAAAAAGAAATTCAAGAGATATGCTTATGTACAGTATATTTCCTAAATATCCTGAAACAAACGTAAGAAGAAGCATGGAATATACACAAACACAGTCTGTTGATTTCACCTACCACAAACTTCTTGTTTCTCGTAGGAGTTCTTCAAACACAAACAAATTCCCTGACTGCACTGTGTGTTAGCATCTGTGCATTTCTCTTCTCCTTTGACTGCTTCTAGACATGGGGCATTCAACTTGCCCTTGGCTCCTGTAAAGATAAGAAGGGTTAATATAAGGACTATGTAACATATCCACAGCACTGGAATCTTATAGATACGAGCCAATAGTTCCTTGATTACTGTGGGTTTTACAATGCAGACAAATATTATTGAAAATAAATAAAATTTTCAAACTAATTCATGAATCTCATTTTGCATTTTCAGAAGAAAGAAATTATGCAAGACAAAAGGTATTAAGTATCCCATTATGGAAGTACATATATTTAAACACATACTGCATTTGCCTCCCTGTTCAAAGTAGCCATTTCTACATCTACAGGCGTCCTCTCTACACTCTGCATTCCCGTCCAGACACTCGTCTTTGTCTTCAGCCTTGCAATAGTTGTTCAATGGAATCTTTTCAACTAAAAAAAAGGGGAAACATACAAAACAATGACCAGTAAGTAGCTTACAGGACCAACTGAACTGTCAAAAAATGTATAAAAGAAAACACATTTTGATAACTAGTATCAACACTGTGCAAAGTATGTAATATGAATGTACATAGCAGTAGTGCATCAAAGATTTCATACCACACTGTCCATTTTTCTCAAAATAGTCCTGCTGACACTGACAGATTCTGTTACATCTGGCATGACTGTCTCTGCAAGTGTTGTCTGGCAGACATGGTTGCCCTAATTCACCAAGAGGTTCTGAAAAATTTCATACCAAGATTACTCAAATTATTGTCAAAATTAAAACAGACATTTAACCTACTAAAAAATTAACACAAAAGAATTAAGAGAGAAGACAAAAGAGAACACAATTTTCTAAAGATATCACGCTAATTATATCTCATATTGCCGATCAGTGATTTATTGTTAAATGACATCTTTATACTTTCATTAACCAAATCTTATTGTTTTACAATTTTTAAAGAACAGCAATCAAATTCATATTAATCATATCTTCACAAAAGATTCACTTCATATCTCTGCACTTACTGCACTGGTCTCCAGATCTGCCATAGTCTGGTTTACACAGACACAAGGTGGCAGCAGTATCTCCTCGCCTGCACAGAACATCTTCCCCAGCACAAGAGTCGCCTGGCTCACATCTGGACCCATACGGGATGTCTGGTCCTTTGAAAGAAAAAAAAAACAATTGTATCATATGTTGTTTCTATTTTAATTTAAAATTTAGCATCAAATTTAAGCTTTCAAATTTAACAGTTAAAATTAAGCATGCAATTATTCTTTTTTAAAGTGCTGTGTAGCAAGTTAATAACTTGAAATTCATGTCAAGTCAAAAAAGGAGGTTTAGAACTTAACATACTGAAGTTAGTTAAGCGCTTCCACCTATATCAACAGAAGGTGAAGCCATTTTAACTGTCCAATTTTCTGAAAGCAGAAATGGATTTTACTTACTGCAGACATTGTTCTTGTAAAAGTATCCTTTCTTGCACATACAGAGCTCCCTGTCACACTCGGCATTGGTGATCAGACACCGCTGGTTACTGAGGCATGGAGTCAAGATCTGACCATTGGAAACTACAAGATAGAGGTTATAATCTTACAGTGGGTACCATATGCTACAATGTTAGAATAAGAAGCTGCTGTTTGCCACTAAAATTCAATAATCAATTCTTGGATGACAACAGATTATAGTGTCAATGATATTATTTTCAAAATTTTAAAAGAAATGGTGTATAGAGCATGTTTTTGGTTTTCTAACTATATTTATTCTGAGCAAAATGTGGTACTATTCTTTAAGAATGTTACTACAGTTACTCAACACATGATGTAATACTTTTGATGAAAAAATATTAACATATTTTTTTAATGTTTGAAAATTTAGCAAAGTTCTCTTACTGCATATGTTGTCAGAGTTTGGTGAGAAATCCACTTTACAAAGACATCTGTTGTTCTGACAAACAGCATTCTCGTCTTTACACACATCTTCCTCAGTGCAGGAGCTGTACAGCTGCTTCTTAGGATCTGGCCAGAAATAAGGAATGTGTGCAATAACAGAAGATTAAAGTTTATAACTGATGACCAGGTTAATTACCATGTGTTTCTTTATGTATGTAGTCTTCTAATTAATGGTTGAGCAATACTTTGTCTGGACACACAATTCATAGTTACTGATAGATATACTAACTATATTGTGGAATTCTGAGCAAAAGTCCATTATTTCTAATCTTTTATGCAAATTAGAACAACCAGGGGCGGATTTAGGCCGTCTTCTGGGTCTTCCGGAAGACGGTCAGATTTTAAAGTTTACATTGACGGGTATCTAATATTTTCTGTCGGAAGACGGTCAAAAATGGAGGATGGATTAACAAAAATAATTTGGAAGACTGTCAGAAAATATCTCTGGATCCGCCCCTGACAACACTGCTTTGCCTTTGAAAATTCTAAATGAAGATATATACTCAAACAAACAATGTGCACAGTCTTGATGGAGTACAGTCAACATACCACATTTTCCATTTTTCTCAAAATGTGTTTCCACGCAGACACAGGTCCCTCTCAGACACTGAGCAAAGATGTCATTACAGGTTCCTGATGATGTACAGGGGCCATTCAGGTCTCCACGGGGGGCTGAAATAGGGAAAAAATATTAAGAGGGGACAAGTTATGCAATGTTCTAATCTCTGACCAATTATAAAGTACTTTATAATATCTACATTCAAGCAGGGTTTCACATTTTATGAAAAAAATTTACAAAGTATAAATTGAGCTTCTTTTTCTTTGCTTTGCAAGGTCACACATTTTTAACACTGCAATTGCCCTCTCTCTATAATTTAAAAACAATTCTTTGTATTCTCAAAATGGTCTTTTTTTTTTGGTTTTATGCATAATCACTTGCTTCAAAAATACAAAACAGTCACCTGTGAACTGCTCTAAAAAGAATACTTATTAGCATTATTGGTGAAGTAAACTTACCACATACAGGGCCAGTAGGTGTTTCCTTCTGGTAGAAATCTCTCTGACACCTACACCTGCCCAGCCTGCACTCTGCCTCCCCATCTTTACACACCTGGACACCTGCCACTGACCTGCATGGCTCTCCAAGCTCTCCTAATGGAACTGAAATAGAAACATGGGACACACTAGAGCAAGGCTTCTATTGTACTGATAACTCAACACCACTACGTACTGGCCCCCATTTGGGTCTTACAATGGAAGTGAGACAAAACTACAGTGAAAAATAAGATAACTGTTGTAATGAAGATGCAATTTTTCAGTTAACAATAACCCATAAGGCTTACAAATCTTTGTATACAGGTATCAAAGTTCAGCCATGAAGAAAATATTATAGGTTATCAATACAACTTTAAATGCTCGCTCAAAAAGTGCAAATTAATATTCATATTTTTTCTGGATTATTAAAAAAAATATAATAACATAATTTCTCTCTTACCACACTGTCCATTCATCTCAAAGTACTCCCGCTGGCACTGACAAATGTTGTTGAAGCACTCGGCCTGTGGCACAGTACAGGGTTCTCCAGGAGTTGTCAGACACTGGAGACCTAGCTTGCCACCCTCCTCTGAATAGATATAGATGTTTGATGCAATTGTATAGAAATCCATAAATTAAAATCTGTTAGTTGCTTTGTGAAATTTTCCTTGAAATGCAAATAAAATGTATTAAATCTGTATTAACACCAGATTGCCAGAAACCCTTTAAGTAAAAAATATCATAGGACTAAGCTGGATCTCACTTGCTCCCTTATAAAGTCAATACACAGTTTAAAAAAGTGCAACAATCTTGGAAAAAACTTTACAATTCCACCTTTCTAAAACCTCCACAATTAAGACAATGTTATCACAGGAATGACCTGCAGCACTCACCACAGTTTCCATCCACCACCTGGAACCCCTCAGCACACTTGCATCTGCCTCCCTGACAACGAGAATTGTTCCCCAGACACACGTCACCTGGGAAACACCTGTCACCTGGGCCTGGCTTTAACTCTACAGGAGAAACATGTATCTGTACAGTATCCTGGATCATGTTTTACATTGCAAATATGTACCTAAGTGTGTATGTCTGTGTTAGAATGCATGTCCTTTTTTAAAAAACTAAAATCAATAACCCAAGATTTTACTTATTAACTTTGTACTATCATATTCTGACACTTTCTGATAATAAAAACTTAATGGCTATAAATGATGATTGATTATTTTGAAAGACTAGCAAAATGAAATTAAAATTTGTTACAACATACCACAATTTCCAAACTTCTGAAAGTAGTCCTGCTCACACTCGCAGATATTTGTGGGTAAGTGGCAGACACTGTGTGTGTCAGTGCACCTAGCCTGGGGAAGACATGGTTCATTGAGGCCACCACGCAGTCCTAGTGAATAGAAATATAACCAGCCATGTATCAGCTGGCCTGCCATGCAATGAGGAGGCCTGCACTGAGCATGGTTCACAAAATAACTGTAGACCCAAAATTGGTCTAAACAACTTCAAGACCAAAAATTTTGTCTAAGTAGGTTGCATATTAGTTTCACAAAAAAACTCAAGTCAGTTTCCTGGCTAAGGATGTTTGCATCCACTGTTGTAATGTTGGTAACAGACTGGAACTGACTTGAGGGTTTTTTTTTTGTGAAACAGGGACCTGGACAAATTCATCCTAGTCCGCTGAAATAAGGTAAGTATTGGTCTAAAAACTCACAAAAGTTTTTCTAGTTTAAATACAGCTGCCATAATCCATTAGACTGGATTACTGCTGATTTAGCTTGAGTGAAAGTAGACAAAAATTTTGGTCTAAAGCCTAAGAACAATTTTTGGGTTAAAGTTATTTTGTGAAGCACACTCCTAATGCAGGTTAACTGCAGACATTCTAGTGCAATTAAAATCATGATTGTTTTGACAATCATTTCAGTCACAAAACCCCTTAAATATCTACTAGTAGCTTACCTTGTAAAAACACCTAAGTCATATCTCGATACATACCTTGGCACAGGGGTCAGCTTAAAACTATATTGAAAAGAACTGCTCTTTTTGGACAGATTATCAACTTTAAATTTACAAATAATTCATGTTGTGTTGAGATCACATTCCTCAACTTACTGCAAGCCTGGTCCTGGATACTGAAGTAGTGGTCAGAGGAACACTGGCAAGTTCTTCTGATGCACTCCGCATTCACGTCTGCGCATTCACTGGTCGTAGCACAACTTCCATTGATGGGTTTCTTTAAGACTGGAGGAAAAGCAAAAATTCATAATATCAATGATGTGATCAAGGTCTAGTGAAAGTAGACTGAAAGCTTGACTGACTTTAAGTATCATTAAACAGTGGAAATAAGTTTAAATTAGAGTTTAAATTGAAAGAAAGTTTAAATTGAAAGACAAAAATATACCAGTTCTAAAATGGTCATGGATTTACAAATATGCATCATTACTTACTTAACTAACCTCTTTGTCTCATGAGGGATTTAAGGTCACAATTGCATCATTATTTTGAATTAAAAGAAATTATCATTTAGATTTACAAAAAACCAATGCATAAATCAAAATGAAAAACATTCTCTATACATGTATGTATGTATAACTCCAAGAAAACCCACTACTTACTGCAGCTCTCCCCAATCTTCACATGTCTTGGGTTACACACACACTCCCCACTCACACAGCGTGTGTCGTCATCTGTACACCTAACTGGAGAGCTCACTGGCAGACACGGGGTGTCTACCTTGCCACGCTCCTCTGAAATTAGCAAGAAATACATACATGAATTTAAAGGATTATATTATATTTGCCTTATGGACAAAAATAACATTTACCCATCAGAGATTGTATGTTTCTTTTTCAAGCAGTAACATTCTTGTTATCTAACTGAAATAGACTTTGTGACAATTGAACTAATTTTTTAATTTGATACAACACTGGTGTGCTAGCATGCAAAATTTCACTTTATTTTCCATTTACACTCTTACTCAAAGATATCATATTAAGTATCATGGTTCTATTGTTTATATAAAAATCTACTTCTACACCACATTTAGTACAGCCTTACTATTATTTCTGTACACTTACTACACTGTCCATCCTTAAAGTAGAACTCTGGCTTGCAGTCACATATCCCAGCAGCAGTACACTCTGCATTCTGGTCAGCACACACATCTTCAGAGTTACGCACACAGCTTGATTTGGTTGGAATATTTGGCACTTAAATGAATGAACAACAGGTAGAATAGTACAAAGATGAAGTCAATTACATACTAACATCAAAAATTTGATTTTTGAAAACACTGAAAAAAAAACTAAAATGAAAAATTTAGTGGAATTAAAAAAAAAATCACAGTTCCGCTAATGACCTATGGCAATATGTATCCATTTTAATTTATAAAAGTTACTGTACACACTATCAATATTGCCCAAAAAGTTCTTAGTATCATTGGTAAACATCAACTCACCACAGCGGTTGTTCTTGATGTGGTGTTCTCTCTGACATACACAGGTGTCGTTGCCAGGGTTACACTCTGTGTTTGGGTCATCACATCTTGGGATATACCTCTCAGGCAGACATGGTTTGGACAGCTTACCTCTGGGTACTGGAATGAAAGGCAAAAATATTCCTTTAACTTTTGCCTGGTGTTTTGAAAACAGCTATTATTTTGTTGGGTCAAAATAGTTTAGCTTTGCTGAACTATGATGAATCAAACTTATGGGAACTAAAATATTACAAAATGCCACTTAAATGAAAATATTTCCAAATGAATGTAACAAAGAGACTTCTTTCATCCAACAGTTAAATTATGTTTTCCCGCTTGTGAGTTCAAAAATGAATCCACATTTACAACAGAAAATCCCATCTCACACCTATTGAGAAGTTCCAAGTATTTGCAACTTACAGCACTGCCCAGTCAGTGTGTCCACATAGAACTCTGGTAGACATGTGCATTTCCCTGTGACACACTCTGCATTACTACCACACTGCTCACCAGGGGAACAAGATGAGCCAGGCTGGAGTTCAGCAACTTGAATAAAATTAAAAACATCTGTCATTTTCATTTAACTTACATAAGCATTTATTGCCATCATTCCAACCTGAATTGACACAAAAATTCGTATAGGACAATTTCAAAGATTTTACTATGGAAAAAATGCAAAGTCAACTAAATGTGATGGCAAAATGAACTTTTGTATTGCCATGATACCTCTACTCACCACAGTTGCCATTTTTGTTGAAGAATCCTGTCTTACACTGACATCGTCTGGTGATCTGGTCACACACAGCGTTGGGGTCAGCACATTGTCCACTACCAGGGGAACACTGACCACCATTACCTGTCTTCTCAACTGAAACATTTTATTACAATAGATAAATCAGATGCTTAAACAGGCACAGATATATTACATTTTATATCACTGTAAGAATTTCACTCACAATTTGTAATTAATTTTATCACACTATTTTTGAAAATTTCCCACAGATTATCTTCAGTTTCTAGCATTTTAGGGCATTCAACAGTATAGTCCCCTACTTTACATATCTTTTCTCTGTCTCACTTCATATATCATTAAGAATGGCACCCAATGTTCATCAATAATCAATGTCATATATGAGGGGTTGACTTTAGTTACTCACCACATCTTCTGCCACTGAGGTAATGAGTGATGACACATTGACAGGTGCCATTCTGACAAATGGCATTGTCATCACTACACTGGTAGGAGGGGCCATCACAAGCTCCACCCACATCTGGCTTTTGTACTGAATATCAAATAAAATCACCATTTTAGGAATAAGCACTGACAAAATGTTCCAACAAATTTCATGAGCCATTTATTTTGAAAGTGAATGGTATTAAGAAATATTTCAAATAACCAAATCAGAACAGAATCTGACAAGCACTTTGACTATTCTCAATTGCAATAGTTACATAAAGTTATCTGAAACAACTGCTGATTACAATGTCAAGATTTAATAATGCAATACTATACCACATCTTTCATTGAGGGGAAAGAATCCTTCCTTGCAAATACACTGCTGATCACACCTTGCATTACCATCAGCGCACTGGTCATCATCTTGACAGGGGGCGCCAATGCCAAACCGTGGCTCTGAACACAATGTGAATATCAATGTAAAATAAAAGCAATTAGAAGCTGGGTTCAAAGAGTTCCATTAAACCAGATGGACCAAAGGCACATGGAGTGCTATACAGAAAAGGTCAATATTCTGATCAATATTATCTCATTAAAATAATTTAACTCTAAATAAGCATTTCTTTAAGAATGACAAGTTGTAACTAGGTAACAACATTTTTACATGAGCATAAGCAGCATTCTGAAGGGAGGAATATAAACATATGGGGAACTTTTTAGTGAACACTCACCACATTTGTTGTTGAGAAGAGCATATCCCTGCTTACAAAAACATTTGTCTCGTATGCACTCTGCGTTATCATCAGCGCAAATATCCAGAGATGTGCAATCACCACTTGTTGGAACTTTCCGTACTTAATTAGAACAAAACAAAAAACAAAATGGTCTACATGTCTACAACTACAAGCATAAAGTTCACAAAAGGAAATTCCCACCATTACCAATTTAGTTATCTAGAAACAGCAAAGAGAAGACAAAAGTTTGTGCCTAAAAAGTACCATTATAAATCCTTAAAGAAGAAACTTCATGCTACTATGTATTGAAATGTCTAAAAAATTATATTTCAAAGTCTGCACTACCCCCGAAGCTCAGTGACAGACATCTTAACTTAAAGTGTCTCCAAATGGCCAGATGACATAGAAAGTATCACAGAAACTTGCAAAACACCTTGAAGTTCAAAAGCTTAAATTAAGAAATCTGGTCATCTCAGATGATGACTGTTGGGCCATTTCTGCTCTAAGTTAGCATGATTCTGTATGCTACTCTATTCTACACACAACATTCACCTACAGGCAAAGTATACTTTTTTCTAAATGTCACTTCAAAGAAAGACCATTAAACAAAGAATAAATTAGATATAAATTGATCAATTGGTAACATACCACATTTTCCCATAAGAGTGTGATAGAAATGGGTGTCAATGCACTGACATCTTGCAAGATGACATCTCCCAAACTCGTCCAAGCAGACGTCACCCAAGTCACAGACACCATTGATAGGGATCTTGGGAGCTGAAACATTTTATTTCATAAAGTTATCTTTGAAAAATTCAATTTTCCCAATTTTCTGGTGACAGTAAGGAAAAAAAAGGAAAAAAATATAATAATATATATGACCTGGTATGTTTTGTCACAAACACTTTCATAAATAATAGTAAATCTGTATTACCAGTATATTACTTAAACAGGTTTGATAAATCTCTTACCCTAATTTTCTTTACCAAATTTATTTTGCAGGAGCATAAAGTTTCATGACTTGTGACTCTTAGTAAATTTAAACCATGGCATACAATATGTACCACTTACCACATTTAATGTTCTTGGCAAAGAAAGTGTCGGTGCAGTGACAGCGGCCATCTTTACAGTTGGAGTTGGGGTCTGCACACTGGTCCACAGACTCTGTACATCTCTGGTTAAGCGGGATCTTCAGAACTGGAATAAAATTCAGTCATAGTCTTTATTGATAAAAGAAATCAATATCATTTACCCAATCAAGATGGTCAGTATATGAAACACTTCTGTTGATTAGGACAAAAAATATTTGCAGCCTTAAGGCATTTGAAAATTTCAGCATATATGTAATGTGGACATGAGGACAAAAAGTTGACGAAAGGTTCAGTAGCATTAGCAAGATTAACATCTGTAAAACTGTGGACAAAATATAAAAGAGATATAACATCAATCATATAACTTACCACATTTGCCATTCTTTTCATAATATTCTCCTTTGCAGTAACAGGCTCCCACCAAGCAGGCAGCATTTTCATCTTTACACACATCCTGGGATGAGCAGCCATCATTGAGACCAAGTTTTGCAACTGAAAAATGAATATTGCAGAAAGTCAGTCACTAACATATCATCTTCTGATTACTAAATGGCAATAATCATTGTAAATAGCAGAGAAAATAAACTTGTGACATACAGAGTTTTCATAAATAATGCTCAGTGCTTGCTGGTTTTCTTTGACTTTTTTTGTTTGATCAAAATACTCAAACTGTAACTCCAAGTATAAGTGCAACTGTAAAGAAAAGTTTGCTACTGATTGGTCAGTTAACATACCACATCGTCCACTCTTCTCGTAGTGGTCATTGTTACACCTACACGCCCCTGCCTGACAGGTAGCTGCCACGTCTGCACACTCCTCATCAGGGGCACAGCGGTCCCCCAGGGGGATGGAGGGACCTGGAGAACACATCATAACCCAAGGAGGTAAAATTAGTGTGAGTCCAAATCAGTGAAAAAATTAGTGGAAATTTTTCAACATAAAATTGCCAACCATTAGTCTATAAATATCTACAGACACAAAATGCTTAGTATAAAGTAATTTTTTAAAGACCACTTTTCCACAGTTGTTTAAAGGCAAGTGAATAATATTGCTTTTTTTAAAATAAAGACACTTTTTTTACTCTGAATGTAATTTCACTACTTTAAAAGGATGAAGCAATCCTTTGGGGCAGGCAATCACAGGCCTTTCTACCTACTGAGATTTTAGACTAAAAAACACAGTTACAATAAATGATATAATAATATAAAGCAAAACACTATGTTTGTAAGTTTATTCAGATGTATTTAAAAAAGGAAGTTTTTAAAATCTAAACTGGATATGCAATGTACTGTAATGAAAGTAGTTCACCTTTATCTTCAGACAATGCACCATCATCAACTAGACCAAAATTTGTAAGTGCAGTATTAGATTTAAAAAACTTCAGTTATCATAATGTTAAGCACAGATACTTACGGCACATGCCAGCTTTGGGGAAGTATCCCTGGATACAGCGGCATATCCCAGACTGACAGCGTCCAAACTGGTCCACACACTGGTCCAAGGCACTCTGACACCGGGAACCTAGGGCTATCTTGTAGTCTGCAAGGAGTTACACAGGTTATCAGTGAAATGTGGACTAAATATCATTTTTAAATTCAACTCATACATGTGTCTTTATACATTTATATTAATCAAAATCAAAAACTATATGTTACTTTTTATAACTCTAGTAAAAATAGTTTCTTTTTCTTAACCATAAACATGACAATATACAGTGCACAAAAAGTTAATTGAACATTTCCCAATACATCTTATTTTTATAGCTCTAATAAAAGAATATTTTATGTATTCAAATAAACATAGCAATACATGAAAATTTGATCCCATTGAGAATGTTTCAACACAATAAAAACTCACCGCAGCTTCCATATTTCTCATAAAAATCTGGTTTACACCTGCAGCGCCCTCCTCTGCACTCGGCGTTGGTACTGTTACATATGTCTGGGACTGCACACAGACCATTCAGGGGAATGTGGGGGACTAAAGACAAGGTAGACATGGAAGTCAGTTTTTATATTATCTGCATAATTTTAACCTGTCATTTCAACATATCTCTGACTTGGCTTCAGCTGTGCTTATAGGGGTAAAACAGCATGCATGATTCCAACTGGAAAGGTACATTTGCTTGTACATGTAGTTAAGATGGAAGTACATGTAGAAATAGATAATTATAGCATAGCCTTTTTGACTGATCCATCATTCACACCTGCATTCAGGTAGGACAACTGTGCAGGTAATTAGTCTACCTGTTAGTGGTGGTTACCAATCAAAGGCTGGAGATACCTGTTAAAACTGTCACAATGTCCTTGACACCTTTCTAATGGGTAAAACACAGCTATATGAATTTTCTGATTTCAAGTGTACTGGGTCAATAGGAAAGAGACATAGCTGTGAGCGTAATCAGCTTTACACTGTGACAAAATTAAGAAAGTCAACTCCTACGTACATCATTGACAAAATAGAGAAAACCGGATGATGCCATCACCAGCTTGCACTTATCTATATTTTCTGGTACATCTCTAGTTCGTACTCCTACAATGACTCAGATTTTAAATGTTTTTATACACATAAAATGGGTCATTAAATCTACATCAGCATGCCAGCTGACATGAAAAAAATATTTGTGATCAAATAAAGGTGACAAGTAAAATCTAACACACTGGATCCAGCTGATTACAAACATTAGAAAAGACCCACATGTGGACATAGACAAGGCAGAAAATGGCTAAAAAACAGAGAACCACACAACTCTAGAAGCAGGAGGTGCATGTACATTAAGAACTTACATTGTGTAATTGTCATATTTCTGCCCTGGGTTTATGACTATTCCAACTTTGAAAACACACATTAATTCAATATAAATGCTGCACCTACAGTAGCATAGTAACATCTGTGCCATTAAAAACCTGCTCCTGCATCCTGAGGGATGGTTATAGCATGGCGCTGAGTTCGTTTTTTTAATGAGCTGTTCCTTAGCCCAAGGTAACATATTTAAAATTCAATTCAAAATTTCTAGAAGTGATATCCTAATGTGTAAGTCTTGGTATATACTGTTTCAATGTTTAAAAAATACCCAAAGGCAACAGTATGTTGACATCAAATTAACACAACTAGTGTACCTCTTTGGAAATTTTTGAAGCCAGTATGCATATCTTCCATCTTTTTCTTATTTACATGGTGCATAGATCTCTACCGAAAGGGAGACTTTACTGGTTCTTGGCACCTCTTTAGCACAAACATGACAAGATATGTTGTAGCTACATATATAGGCCCTTATGTTGTGGTAATGAATAGAAACTGATTAGACAATAATAAAGAAAGAAACATAAAATATCTAGTAAAAATATGTAATGAAAACAGCACTGTAACTTTTAATTTTGTCTTAATTTACATGAACTAAAAAGTTAACTCTGTAAATTAAATTAAAAAGTTTTAAGATTTCAAATGTTGCTTACCACAAACTGGATTTCCATTGATGATTTTAGCAAAGTATCCTTTGACACACCTGCACTGTAGGAAGTCAGGGTCACAGTGAGCATTGTTGTCTTTACAGCGGTCCAGATTCAGCTCACAGGGCTGGTTCAAACTAATTCTAGAACCTGCAGTTAGAGACCAGAAAACATTGCAAAGGAACAAAGAAAAAGTCTTGTTTTTAACTTTCAGTTTAAGGACAGGGTTTAAGCCTACTCCAACACCAAATAAACTGAAGTGTAGAAGTCCATTTAAATAAAATACTGTACCAATTATGCGAAAAAAAAATTTATTATTATAGATCTACTGGCACCTCATTCATTTTAACAGCTATTATTTTATATGATTATCACACAAATATAAACAAAACATACCATATCTACTGTAGTGGACATACTACTACCACTTACGTATTCTGTCCAGACACTGGTATTCTAAATGTAGGTAGTTGGTTAAAATTTCCACATCATCAGTTTCTATCTGAGGGCACTTGCTTGCTTTAATAGGATAGTAAGGGACCGGCCGAAATCTCGGGGAACACTCAGTTTTCCCCTGGCAAAGGTTGATAAACACGTCTCCACGTATAGTGCAGTCTATTGTTGGGTGGGGTTGGCAGCGTTCTACGCCCTCAGGATTACGCCCATAGCTTTCTAGAATTATGTTGATCTTCTTTCCTCCTGTACATGGAGGGATGACCAGTCTTGTATTGAGACACAAGTTCAACTGAATTACTGAAAGAGAAAATTCAATTGTAATTACAATTTCATGGTGATAAACTACAAATGAAAATACACTGGAATGATATCTAACCCCCTCCCCGTTTATCACTCCAACATAACCCTATTGTTGCCTGTTGCAAATATGTGGAGTTTGAAGTTTGATAAATGATGCTGTACATCACTTGCACTTGAATTTTAATCAAGATTAACATCTGGTTTTTTAAAAAAGTTCTTTCCGTCTAGTCTTAGTTGTTCAGCATATTTTCTGTTCTCTGAGTGAGAGCACGGAATAAGATATGATTAACTATTTAATTCTTGAGATGGAAAGCTGATCGAGTGGCTTTTGTTCACAGTAGAAGCCATCGATAAATCTACACAAAATTAACTGGACACTAGTGGTTCACTGTCTTGCCATTCACCCCTGCAAGCTGTTTATATCCCCTAAATTCTGCAACATCCTTACAGCCTTTTACCTCTAGTCTACCGGTAGTTTTTAAAAGCGGAAGTTGAAAAAAATAGGTAAACTTATGCGCAATCTGAGTGCGATCTCAACTACTGCATTGTATGACGGCGGTAAATTTGTTTGGAATGAGTACGCATGTGGTAGCACTCAAACCTGCGTAATTATATTACGCATTTTTAATATGACCTAAAAAGCATACAATATCGATCATTCTACAATGCATTTCGTCTAATGGTCAATTAACTATATAATTATTCATACCTGTTTGGAATGACAATTGCCAGAGGGAGATTTTCTCATGCGCCATACTTCAACCATCTCGACACACACACACACACACACACACACACACACACACACACACACACACACAAAAAAAAAAGGGGGGGGGGAGGAAAAACAGAAAAAAATTAAAATCTTGTTTTTAATCAAAATATGTCGTTTTTTTTCAGTGCTTTGAAAAGAAATGCCTCATTTCATAAGAAATGTAAAAACAGTTTGCTATGATCAAATACATTGACTACATTAGATAATAAAGAATAATCATATCAGCAAGTAATTTTAATTGAAAGTTAAAAGTTAGTATATGAAACGACACGCTTCGATATTTATCTTAGTTATACTATTTGAAACTATCACTCATTCTGAATATATAGGTCCATTTGAAGAAAAAAGAAAAGTGAAAAATGAAGTTAAAGATATATTCGTTAATTCTTTTTTTTTCTAAATCTCTAGTGACAAAAATTGATAAATTTAGTTTTTGTGTAAATCGTGAAAAAAAAATTAATTCGTGCCTTGCTAGAATGGAGAAATTTTCTTATTTTGTAACAAACATGGTAAATATATTTATCTAGGTACAATTATCAAAAGAAATTTGATCGACAATATACAACCAATTAAGCAAATTTGTCGCAGTAGTTAAATAAATAGCTTACGTTTCACTTGGGCTATAAAATGGTTGCTTGCTCTTTACCTTCAAATTAATTTTTTTTAAGTGATATTGCCAGTTTCTTCGCCTATTTTTGGGTTTTAAATTGCTTTTTGATTTATGTGATTATCAATAAAAAAACGGGCAACTTTGCTAAGATGTACATTATTCACACCTTACACGGACTTTTACTGTCGCGGTCCATTGTAGTTAGGCCTACAGGAGGCCATCCTGTAATAAACCGTCATATATCTATCATGATACAATATCTATTTGCTTTTGCAAATTTTGTACATAAAAACCAAATGATTAGTGTCAAATATAAGGAGTCTTGTCTATTCACTTGTGAATTATTATTTTCAGTAGGCCCCTATATAGGTACCTTACTTTCGAGGAAAACAGAAAAGTAAAAATGAAGTTAAGGATATTTTCCCGAATTCTTCTCTTCATATATCTCTGGTGACAGAAACTAATAAATCTGGCCTTTTTTTTAACTAAATAATTGACATTTTTAAACGGGTTTTACACGATTTAGTTGTTAAGCTATTTCAAACAGTACAAAGGTGCAAAGCTCAATGTTAAAAGTTTTCAAAATAAAATTGGAAATACTCCAAAACTAGCATAAATACGCCCATATACAATGTAGTAACTATTGAACTAGTATAGCAAACCAAATATTGGCAATGTTAAAGTGACCTTGAATTTGACCTTTGACCTACTTTTCAATCGTGAACTGAATTTTGCAAATTTTCTAGCCCTTGTATCTGCAAAGCAAAGCGGAATATTAATATGACCTTGAAATTGACCTTCGTACTGTTTTTTTTTTTTTTTTTTTTTTTTTTTTTTTTTTTTTTTTTTGCCATTAACTGTACTGTAAAATTATCTAGCCCTACTATCTCTAGCACTAGTAAAGATGCACACGTTTGATACCTGTATTGTGTAACTTACAGTTATCACACCGTTTATTAAATCTACATACTATGGGTATCTACTTATAAAAACAATTATAAAAGGGCCTCACATGTACGGTGAGGTATCAAAATGTTGCCATGTGCTTCCCTAGTAGATCGAAGGGCATGAGGTCATCAAAAACATGCAAGAACCTGTTTTGACGGTTTAAAGAGTGGTTTTCAAAAAGCAAATCATGTTCGGTTAATATTCATATTTCCATCGGGTATTTTAAGTCCTTACTCTAATCAGCATACGTTGTCATTATCATTTTTTTCTTTACATAGTCTACTAGAGAATTGACCGTATGCTTTACACAGACGTTTTTGTGTTCACTGTCTGACAGGCAGTTGCCCAATAAGCCCTAGGTTAGTTCTCAGTTCAGCAACAACATATATGTCTATATTGCCTGCAGCAGTTGTAAGTTTGGGCGATGAAAAAATATATATTTAATAGGAGTGTGCTGGCATTGTAGTACCATTGTACGCAAAGATATTGAAAACAGAATCTGCTTGGTTTGTCAATGCATATTCCACGCGTCCTGCCATGACGCAATCATTGCTAATATAAATTAGCTGAGAATAACGCACTTGGCAACGTTTTTAATCCGGAAGAAGAAATTTTGTTTTCCTCTGTTATTTGTTTTTGCTTGTGTTATTGAATGTATGATAGGGTAATAAATACATATAAACAGAAACAGAAAATAAAAATGGTCACATGGCGAGCTTGAGAATTCTACCTTCAATTCTGCATGGTGTTCCTCGATTCAAACATGTTTGTTTTCTGAATTCATTTAAACGAAAAGAAGGGAACTTTTTGTCAAAATTAATTTTGAAGTAATTGATTATCTTTGGCAATGTGCGGTTTAAGTTGGGCATACACTGTTTACATAAGAACTGGTTATATGCGCACTAAATGTTAAAAGAAAAAGATGCCCGAAAGTCACAAAAGCTTAAAATCACATCAGCTGATAAAGGGATTCCAAAGTTGATCTTTGTAATACGCTTTATATTAATTTACTTATCTTCTTTTTAAAATTGGCAATGGTTTTCAAGGGCAAAAATTGAAAAGACAATAATAATTGTTTGTAATAGACTAAAGTTCACCGTACAGCAATGTTTTTCTTACCTTCTTGAGATTGCGATATCTCCAGAATACATCCTAGGATCACCAGGAGGCACAGGATTCCTTTATCTTTGAAGTTAGATCCCATCGTAAGTTCCACAGCACATTGAAGCACAAATAAATGTATAAATGTTCCTTTATAAAATCACAGCTACACGCCTCACTGTCAGATCTGTGTTGCCGAACCTGCGGACACTCGATCTGAAAAAGAGGGGAGTTTTCCCCCAAGAAGTTACCACTCTTTCTGCTTAATTTCTTACAGCTAGGAACTATTTCTTGTACTGCAGAAGGGATCCACCCTATTTGCCAGGTGTCATCACCGATTAAGAATTTGTCAGGTAAGGTGCGTCTTCTCACCTGCCTGGTTGTCTGACCTGTGACAGAGTGGCACGAGTGATGTAAAGGTTTTGCCAAACTGGCCGCGTGCTGACAGCCAACCACGAGAACTTCCACGTGCGCACGCCCTACCGTGACGTGTAATTCATAACCTTTGATAAGCACGACACTTCAAGCAATTAACTTCGCCGCACTTTTTAGAAAAAAGACATAGACTACAAGTCGAAGTTTGCTGAAGACTAGAGGCAAAAGTTCCCTGTGGTTCTCGTTGGGTGTAGGTCGTAATTTGTATGCGACACAGACGGCCACAATGTTTTTGATCATATTAATTATTCTGTGCAATATTTCCCTTCGAGCTAAAAGGTTGTTAATTTCATACACAGCTTCGCCTTCACTTGCTCAGCATGTAGATTTTCTTAATATTATTTGTTTGATTTGGTGTAGATTTATATTGTTTGGTAGTTCAGTTTTTTTTAAATCTTGATTTAACAATTTATAAATAAAAAAAGTGGTTAAAGGCTTACAAACGACATTTTGGAGTTTAAATTTTTTATTTGCACCAATGTCTATCTCCAAGACGAGACTCAGCATCAGAAACTTCGAACTCAAAAACGGGTTTATAAATATAATTTTGTCGGCGGTTTGGGGTGTGGTACAACGTGGAGACTGCGGTAAACGTGTTGAAAGTTTATATACTTATACTTATATATTTAATTATGTTACTAAGCCTAATGTATGCATTGGAATGTTAACTGTGGATCTGGCAAACGAAAATGCAAGGTGTGATAAATTTTAAATTTAACGCGTAAACTCGCACATTAGAAACAGAAACGTTTTATAGTTGAAAGTAATGCCCTGTAAAAAAATCATGATTACGCGCTGTCTACTCGAATAAGTCCTGGGGTTGGGGGAAGAAACTGGTTTTGTGTGCGTTTTACACATACAGTTGTTTTGGCAGTGAGTAGATACCACTTAGCAAATCATTGATCCCAAATTTATTAAGATCACGCAAAAGACAATAATTTAATGTATTTCAAAATTGGAAAACTTCAATAGATCAATTTATTGCTTCTATAGACATACTTCTAGTTTTTTACGGGTTTCTCTTCGTATGAAACAAAGTAATAATTCATATAACGCATTTTATTCACAATTTTCTAAAGCTTACTCCAATGCGGACATTACTGCATTTAAAGAAATATAAATACACTTTTTAGGAAAATAGGCCATTTTAAAAAAAGAAAGTGACAAAATTGTCCTTTTTATTGCATCTGATCATCATCAAACTAAAATAGAACGCCAAGAAAGTTTCTAACCATCCAGATATTGCAAATATATAGCCATAACTCATATCTCAAAGTAAGTGCACCTAACCTATATAAAAATCACATTTTCAATAATTCAAATATCTAATTACAGAGTAGCAAACCACAAGGCTATAGGCACGAGCTGTTTACCAACCAGGGAGGAAGTAGACGCTTCTGGCAGTGACCAAACTTGTTTTTGGATATTTTGTTATGCAGATTAAAATAACTGGAGGATTTAAATACACTTAGTTTGTTTGTAATATTAATCACATGCATATTTCAAATGTTACACGAATGATAATATCAAAAGATTAAGGAATAACATTTAGAAACTCCAGTCTCATTAATACACAAGTCAAAGTCGCTGTTTTTCTCGTTCCTAGGGTACATATGGCTATCAATATCTTACGTATGTTAATAAAATATCAGATTTGTTAATTAAATGTTTTGAATATCATGTATAATAAGTTTATTGTTTTCAACCATAAGAACAATTTTACATGACAAATTAATTAAAAATTTAAAAAAAAATCATAATAACAAGATGATTTGAAATACAAAAACAACAACAACCAAAAAAATCTGACATGAAAGTTTTTTAAACATCTGATATTACAAACATGCTACACCTCGTCAATACTAAATCCACATCAAAGTGGCATCCATCATGAATACATGTGCAACTGGGCTTACTTTGGCCTGGGGGGGAAGCATAGCCATGTTAAGGCCGCCATCTCAGACTGGAGTCTTCACAGATGCCTCCCAGCCATTCTACGGCCCCAGGAATACCAACTGGGAGGTCAGGTGATTATAAAGGATCTGTCACTTTCCTCACTACAAACAGGTATCTATTTTTATTCTTTGTTGGTTATTCTTAAAAATCATACTACAAATGATATTATGCTTTGATCAAAACAATAAATATGTGAGTGCTACATAAATAACTAGAAAAGCACTCTGCGTAACCTCTGCCAATACATATAATTAAGTCATAGTTAATTAATAAATTAATGGATCATCACCAAAATCTTTTCATTACTTCCTTTGTCCATTTTTGACTTAACCTGAAAATTTTATTAAATTGGTCCATTTATGATCCACTTTAAAAATTTAATTATTAAGTAATTTATTTGTTAATAAATGTATCAACACCAAAATCTACTCATTACTTTCTTGAGCCATTTGTGAACAATTTACTCAAAAATCTATCGATTGACACAGAAAAAGGTTATGAAAACATTACCTCCACGTTGTTGGAGGTAGTTATGACTAAAATGCAAAGACAGGACTCTATTGCTGCAGCGTAAAAGAGAGTCGCTGTAGGACACTACTTGGTCATACAAGGTCACATAGGTTAAAATGATGGAATCTTAATCAAATCTGGCATAATGACAAGCGTTTTGTAAGTAAATGGAATAACAACATACAGTCATGAATTAACTCTTTTTCTCTGAGCATTTAAAATATTTATTGTCACCGCACTTGACTCTAATTAAAAAGAAGGGTGGGTTAGGTAACATTAACCCTTTCACATACTTGCTAACAAGTATAGAGGACAACTTAGTGAAAATGGAAATAGTTTGATAATTTATGTCAAAACTGAAAATCTTAACCATAAAGCAAGTAAAGAAACAACCTTTTGGTTGTTTAAGTCTTTAATCAACCCCAGATGTAATAGAAACACATGTAGGGTATGTTAACAAATGACTCGTTTCATGACTGTTACACGTCAATCACCTATAGGCAGAACTGTTTAAATAATAAAGTACAGTTCAGTCACCTATAGGCATAACGGTGATCTCTCCATATGCACTTGGCCGATGACCAAGAACATTCACCATGGGTGTTGATGAGCTGGTGGTCAGTTTTGGTTTGTCTGTCTCGGGCGAGTTGGGAGCTGACTGGGCTTGGTCCTGACTCATGGACTCGAATCGCTGCTGTTTCTGCAGGAAGGAGAGTCTGCGGGCCAAACTCAAAACAGTGCCACGCCTTTCCTGCGGAGGAGGAGGAGGGGGGCGGGGAAACGTGGAGTTTAGCTTTAACTGTTTAGGTTTGACAGGTGGAGGCTGGGGGATGCTGTCCTTCTTAACTGGCTTTGGGGTGGAATGATCCTGGTGTTTGGGGTCATCTTGGTATCTAGAGTGGCCCCCCTCTCCTATGGCTGGCTGATATCCACTGTCTGAGCTCTCGAAGACACTGCTCCCCATGCTGGGAATGTCCTGCCCATTGAGGTCCAGTATCTGGGGGAGGTCCGTAAGGTGGATGTTCTCAGAGCCTGCAAAGCTTGTGTTGCGGCTTTGGGGTATGTAAGGATAGGACTGGTGACGTTGGTAGGCGAAGTCTGACATCTCATGGTCTTTGTAGTGCTTTGTCAGTTGACGCCTACAACAAAATACACTTTGTATGAGGAGTTCCATTCTCCCACTTTTAAAATAATATAAAATCAAAATTCAAATCTTTTAATAACACAAACATTTTTATTTTATCTGACTGAAATGTAAAAAAATATTGGTAAAAATATCAATTGGTAAATATTATAATTGTACAAGTGTATAAACCATTTAACAATTATTGTGAAATAAAAGACTCATAAAATCCCTACCTTTGATACCACCGATATAATAACAGCAATCCAACACATAACAACAGCAGTATTATCAACATGGCAATAACAAACAATGCTACCCCTGAAAAAAATTAAGAAAAACATTTGAAAATTGCTGTTATATGGAGTTCAAGTTTATCATTTATAAAACTCATCACATGGATGGGAAAACTGTGTTAATGTTAACATTGAATGTTTTGAAGGTATCTAAATCAAAACTTTTCTTCAATGCCTACAAATATCAGAGCAAATATCACTTACACACTGGGTTGTCTGTCCAAGGTGGGTCCTCCACCAACAAACTGGGCCTCGCATCAACTGTAATCACAAGAAAAACTCGGGAAATTATAAGAAATAAAGAATAAATAATCCCAATAAAATTTCAAGGCAAACATTTTTCTGAAATCAAATATCAAAGTGAGAACTCTGAATACAATATTATTGTAAAATACAACATATCGCTAGTAATAACTGTAATTACTATAAGATAAAAAAAATTCAGACATTACAAAACACCCAATAAAAATCAATAAAAATTTGAAACATAAAATATCAAGATGTGAAGTATGAATGCAACTGTAACACACAACATACCACAAGTGGTGTCTTCCTGTATATACCCAGTGTCACATGTGCACACGCCACTGATACAGGTGGCTCTCTGGATACACAGGTCTGTGGGGGTACAGGCTGCCCCTGGGGGGAGGCTGGGAACTGGGGGAGGGGGAAACAAATACAATGGTTTGAGATAAAACAAAGCATTTCATTATCTGTGCTGTGCAATCAATGTAATCAAACAGCCACGCTCAGAGTAATTTGAATGATAAAGACCCACATGGAAGCACAAGAAATGTCAACTGTCTATATTAAAAGAAAATAAAATTCTACCAAGAAGTAAAATTTAAGGAACCTTTAAAAAATCTTTTCTATGTAAATCTGCTGGCAGAAGTGTGTGTTATTTTCATTTAAAACAATTCTTTTTATGACTTTGGAAAATGCAATGGTTTGAAAGTACCTGTTTAATTATGGTGCATTTTATAAGATGTTAAATTAAAGGCATTGTTATTTTCAAAGTGTACTTAGTTCCTGTTTTTTTAACTGTTGCTATTTATGCTTAAGGCATTTCCTTTAAAACTATGGAATGAGCAGGACATAGAAATTGTCTGTAAGATCATGGTGACATCTTGAAATGCTAAAAATTTTTAAAAGGTCTATTAATTGCATTCGCTTTAAAAGTGTTGACATCTTGGCAGAAAAATAATACTTTTTGCTCAGGGCAGTTCCTCTTAAATTTTCAGGAAGGCAGAGGTCGTGAAATGTTTATTACGTCACAGTTATGTGGTGCCTGAAAATCAAAGGATTTGGGGACCTGGGGCGGAAAAAATGACAAAAGAAAAAAAAAATGCATCTTTTCAAAATTTGCATATAATGGGCTAGCTACTACTTACCACAAGCCCCTCCTCTTGCATAAAATCCCTCCACACAGACACATTGGCCATTCTGGCAGACGACATTGTTGCCAGTGCAAGAATCTCCAGGCAGGCAGCTGCCATACAACAGACCAGCAGACACTGGAGCTGAGAAGATAATTACTCTTCTTGAAGTTGAAATCTAACTGTGCTTTAACATGTATGTGAACAAAAGGTTTAGCTATGAAAAAATTATATAGAAAAATATTTTTAAAAAAAGAAACATTATGAATCCATTGAAATAATTGGGTGGAAATTCAACCTGTATATGGACAAATGTTTGATTTAAAAATGAGTATATATATATGTATAATATATAATGAGAGAAAAAAATCTGACAGGTAATAATTGTAACTGTGTGAAAGCACTGTTCACGTCAGAGTGAGTTCTGCATAACAGATCACTGTTGTCATAAAACGTGAACATGAAAAACAAGTGCACTGGCCAAGTGAGGCCTGGAGGGAATTGATCTGAGATCTGAGAGCAGAAGTTGTCCTCAACTCTAATCACCATGGACAGTGGCAGACCACTGTATCCTTGGCAACCTGCCACTATTGTCCTGGTCAACTCAAGTTACACCAACCACATCACTTCTGGCCTATATCCATAGTAACTAGGGTTATGACACTTTAAACGCACCCTAATTACATACCTGCTAGTCATAGAGGCACACACCTCCCTAATTGTCATGATGAGTAAATTGTAATATCTGTGGGAAGCATGCAGTGTAAATTAATATTTCACAATCAGTTAACTCTCCTGGTTCTACAAATTTGAAATCCCCCTCCCTTGTTTCCTAGCTTTCTTTTTTTTTTTTTAAATGGAAGAAACTACACATTCTGAGGTTCACAGAGGGTGTTTATACGTGTACTTCAAAATGCCCCAAACTGCACAGCTTTTGCATAAAGTTTCAAGGCAAAAAAAGACATATCCATCAATTTCTATACCACTCCCTCTTCATGATACCCTGAAGCCACCAGTCCAAAAACAAAAGTGCAAATCCTGTTGTAGCCTCTAAAACCATCTTTGAAGTTATTGTATGGATACAAACACTCGGGACACAGTTATAGTGCTGTGGTGTTACACTTACTGCAGATTCCCCCCACGTTGGCGTACTTTGCCTGACAATGGCAGAAACCTCTGGTACAGATTGCTTTCTCGTCCTCACATATATCTCCTTCTTTACAGGGAGAGGAGAGGGGGATGGTGGGGGCTGGAATGAGATCATAGTAACATTAGCTCATGCAAAAAAGGAATTGCAAAACATAATTCTACAGAATAGAAAAATTCTCAGACATTTTCAAATATTTTGGGTTGTAAGAAAAAAGTGAGAAGAAAAAATTGAACAGTTGTCCAGCCTTATGTTCTAAGTCTGGGGTCTACTTAAATTGGAACACTGCCAAGAAAAATACTTAATTTCTAATCAAATGGGAAAAAATCATGACTTATTTCCTGAAAATATCTATAACCTGTTATCAAAATCAATTAACGTATACAAAGCAAGATAATGTAATCCATTGGTTAAAAAGACCAACTAATTTTAAAATGACATCTATAAAAACAACTCTTTTTCTGCTAGCAGTCTACAGGTGTGCAAGGTGCAGCCTTACCACAGACTGATCCATTTTGTGTGTAGAGAGGAGCACACTGACACTGCCCTAAGACACAGCTGGCGTGATCTGCTCTACACATATCAGACAACACACACTCTGCATTCAGGGGTAACACTGGGACTGAAATAATACAGAGTTTCTACCTGTATCCATCTGTATTGTCATGTATGTTTTAAACCATAAAAATTATGGACTTGTAAGTTTATTATTTTTCATTATCATTATAAAAATAAGCATCAAATTAATATAATCTTTTTGCTTATCATTTTGCAACCAATTCACAGTTTCACAATTTTGCAAGAAAAAGAATAAGGAGAATTTACACAGAACAACTTTTGGAAAAGACACCTCAGAATAAAGGATAGAACACACAGTATAGATAATAACTACTGACCACAGTGGCCCCTCTGTCTGTAATATCCTTCCTGACAGGTGCACTCTCCACTACTGCACACTGCACTGATGTCCAGGCACTGGTGACCAAATAGACACACGTCTCCAAGGCTGCCTAGGGGAACTAGAGGAAGATTATCAAAATATAGAGTTTCATAAGTTCAAACTTGAGTGCAAGTAATATAAGGCACGGCACATGATTTTTGATTAATAAAAGATATCAAAAATTGAAGTTTTTCAATTATCAATTAGTTATTCACATAAAAAGGAACAATGACAATTGCATCATTCTCCCAATAGCCTATTATTTAAAAATCCCTTATAATTTTCATCAAGACCAATACCTACAGTTCCTCACTCTTGGCAACTCTAATGACATGAGGTACAATTGCTAAACAAAATGTCAATAAAAAAAGACAAATAAAATGCTGAAAGCAAATTTACCACAAAATCCTTCCTTCTCCTGGTAGCCATATTGGCAGACGCACACTTGATTCCTGCACGCCGAGTTGGAAGCTCCACAAGCCCTGCTGCCACTGCAGGCACCCCCTATTGCAGACTTGAGAACTACAAGTAAGACATGATAACTGAATTCATCCACTTTATATTGTTTATGGGCACCACTGCTAATCCAGTCTCTACATTGTACATTAAGGCAACATTTTCAATTCTTTACCTAGAAAAAAATCCCAATTACTGTTATGCTTCACAAGTTGCTCGATTGTTCCAATGGCACAGATTATTCATATTTGCTTTGTCATAATGTTATCTTCATACTTACCACATGTTCCAGAGGAATCAAAGTAACCCTCAGCACAAACACACACATTTCCATCACATGTGCTGTGCTCTGATTTACACTGTCTTCCAGGTAAACATGGTCCATAGAGACTCCCTGGTTCTCCTTGGGGGACTGTGAAGATAACAGATCATTTAAACACAATTTTTTAATTTAAATATTATCATAATTATTGTGTTCTATACTGTTCTTTTAGTGTATGGTTATCTGGCTGTAATGGGGAGAAAAGAAAGCAGCACTACTATAAATCAACAATGATAATCTGATCTTCATATCATGATCTTCATATTAAGAATGTTACATGATCTATATGATTTTTAATGGCTATATGTTCATCTAAATTTAAACATTAAAAATCCTACACATCTAAAGCATGATGTACATAAAAAATCCCTAGGCAAGAAAATTTTATGTTTGAAACGTGAAACTTTGCAAGTCATAAAATGTCTTAACTTCCATAATTACAACAAAGAGCATATTTAAGAGGACATAAACCATGGCTGAAAAAAATTTGCTCCTTACAATGATATATCACAGAGTAGTTTCATTTCATATATTGCTCACTGTCAATTAATCCATTCATAATTTTTAAATTATGTTGTTAAGACAAGAATCCATAAATGCTGTGGATATGTGGTAACTGAGTGTTAGAAACCAATAAAAATTTAGTTTACCTTAGTCATCTCATGTATCATGCAAGTCTCTAACATTAATTACTATAAAATAAGTTAAGATGAGCCAAAATAGTTTCCTTCAAATCTGCCTACCACAAGATGTTCCAGACTGTAGAAATCCCTGTGCACACTGACATCCTCTGCTCTGACATGATGAGAACCTTCCCTGGCAGACGTCTCCCTCCTCACACACACTGCCCAGGGGGAGCTGGCTGACTGGCATTCAGAAAGGAAATATTACATCATATGAAATAATTATTATCTTCAGATTTTTACTTTTTCTTCAAAATCCAAAATCAGGAAAAAAATTGTAAAATGAAAAGGCACATACCACATGCGCCTCTGTGTAAGTAAAAGCCCTCAATGCACTGGCACCATTTTCCATTACAGAAGGCATTCTCATCCTGGCAGACGTCACTGGTGCTAGAATCACAGGCTGCCATATTTGGACGCTTTGGAACTGGGAACAAAAACAGCGACAAGAAAAAAATGCATTAACATTGGTAAATCAATGCTTCTAACCCCTTCACAAATTCATTGAACTTCTGTAGAACAGAAAAAAAACATTAAACAAGAAATACACATAACTTACCACATCTTCCATTGTTCTCATAAAAGCTGGGATGACAGAGACACAGTCCACCCTGACACACAGTATTGGAGTCTATACAGCCTGAGCCTGACAGACACGGGCCAGACAGCGTGCCTTTAATTTCTACAGGATAGAATAAAATATCAGACAGGATGGCATTTGTATACTTTCATCCCAATACTGCTGTTAGTATTGCTTTTTATCAACTGTCAAAAAAAAGATATATCTCAAAACTTCCATAGTGTAAGATATGAAAAACGTGATAGAGTTGAAGACAACATTAATGTCTATAATTAAATAAATTAAAACCTTTTTTTCAATTTACTTACTGCAGGCATCACCACTGAAGTGAGTTTGAGGATGACACTGGCACACACCACCATGACACCCGGCATTAGGTGTGGCACATTCCACATCCAGACTACACTTTATCAGCAGTGCCTTCTTCAAGGCTGAAATTATGAAGGACTATTTCACTGACTATGGTGTTTGCAAATAAATATGTACAGTACCATCAGTTTTTAGAATCCAATACAATCAAAATACCATGCTGCATTTTATTACTCCAGAAAGACAGTTTATCTATTTTCATAATTACTTTGACAAAAAATATGCATGCATCCATTTTCAATGGTGCTTGACTTCTGCATATATTTCTAATAAAAAAGTAGATACTATACTTGGAGCATCCACTTTCAGTCTAATATATGATATTTGACATACAGCATATATTCCCAATAGGAAAGTACCCCTGTCTGCATTCACATATACCACTGGGTGCACAGTGCATTGTATCTGGATCACTACAGCTTCCTCCATCTACACAACTGGCATGCAGACTTCTACGCACACGGGGCAGTGCTGCAAGGAAAAAACCAGGTACATACTAGTAGGTACATTTTGGTAGTAATTAGAAATATAACTGACATAAATTTTACTGATATCAGGTTAATTAAAAATTCTTTGGAAGTTTTTTTAAAAAATAACAATTACAAGTGTAACATCCATTAGTCCTTGGCTTCTATATTAAGAAATTTCAAAATACTACATTTCAGGCTTACCACAGATTTGCCTGGTCTGTATATATGGTTGTTTACAGGTACAAACTCCTCCTATACACAGTGCATTAGCATCAGCACATTCCTGGCTCTCAACACATACTGCGCCTAGTAAGACCTTTTCTCCTGAAATTGTAGAATTTAAGTGGAGTCAAATCCAATAAACATATTATTAGGCGTCTGAATGACATACAAAAACAAACTCAAAACTTTTTGATTATTTGTTTGTAAAACAAATGCACTCAACTGGAGCAGCTTTTTATGGGCGTAATTGAGTTAAACTTTGAAAGTATCCTAAAATTTCAAGGTGCAAGTTTAAATCAGTATGCAATTTTTAAGAATGTCCTCAAGCTGAAAGGTGCTCTGTGACAACTGTGAAATGTCCCACTTACTGCAGTCCTGTCCTGCTGGGTAGAAGTCCTGTCTACATGTACACAGACCATAGCTACAGTGGAGACCTGGGGTAGAACACACGCCATCTGGCAGACATGGGGAATTCAGCACACCCCTGGGAGCTGAAATATTCCAATTGTCAACATTTACATAGCATTCTGAATACAATGATGCTGTATACATATAATGATACTTAATGTATATCAAATTGTTGGAAGAAACAAGGCATTTCATCCTTCCTTCATTTTGGACAGGACCATGATAGAATTCAAAATAGAATGCTTTGCGTTCAAAAAGCTTCTAATGAAAATATCACCAGCTTGAATAATTAAGTAAAAATCTGTAATTAAGCATACAGCAAATATACTCACTACATCTTCCTTGCACTGTGTAATATGTCTCAGTACAAGAACATATTCCCTGTGTACACTCTGCATACTCATTACCACAAATGTCGTCTGCTGTGCATGCCTCACCTAGCTGAAGAGATTGCTCTGGAAAAAAGAGTAAATGATGCCAAATTTTTTAAAGAAATATAAAATATAACCAATTACATCTCATTATATGAAACTGAAATTGACACTATTTATTACCATAAAATTTAAAGTAAATGACAGTATACAATTATTTACACTAGCTGACATGCCATGTGTGTGTTGATATGATATAAAAAAAACCCAAAACAGAAAAAAATATGTATACAAAACATGAAAACTCTTGGGCTGAGAGAACTTACTGCACATCCCCTGTGTTTCATAGTAACCATCCTTACAGATGCATTTGTTTCCTACACACTGAGAGCCTGAAGTAGTACATCTCTGGTTTGTATCACAGGGGTAGCCCAAGACACCAAGGCGACCTGGAATTATGGTTAAGTACTCTCATTTGGAATGACAGTGAAAATTTGGTGTGTGTGTGTGTGTGTGTGTGTGTGTGTGTGTGTGTGTGTGTGTGTGTGTGTGTGTGTGTGTGTGTGTGTGTGTGTGTGTGTGTGTATGCACGTGCATGTGTGGAGGCATGTGTGGAGGCATGTATACATGAGAGAGAGAGAAGAGAGAGCTAGCTATGCTCACTAACCACAGCTCTTGTTGATACTGAAGTAAGCTTGTCTACACTGGCATTGTCCACTCCTGCACTCAGCCAGGCTGTGAGAACAGGTGTCCCCAGTTCTACAGGACTCTCCAACATCTGGCTGACGTCCTAGGGGGATACACAAAGCATGTTATTTCAGCACTAGTCTTCTTAAAATATACCAAACATTTCTTGACCTTTTTTATTTTTCACTGTATAATTTTTGTGTCTTATTCTAACAGATGTCCTGGCTGCTAGCAAATAATGAAGTTCAGATTGATATTTTAAATGAATTTGAAAGCATCTATATCCAAATGCCATCAAACACTAATATAAGACTAATCCAAATTACTCACTACAAATGCCATTATTAGAGAAGTAGCCATCTTTGCAGAGGCAGAGGCTATTCCTGCACACAGCATTGGTGTCTCTGCAAGCCCAGCCAAACAGACAGCCACTGTTCAGAGTACCCAGGGGCTCTGAAGATAAAACAATGGTCATTATCACTAACAATGGAATGAAATATGGTAGATATGCCACCAAGTTTCTGTCACCATTTTCTTTCTTAAAATGTAAAGGTGACACACACACACACACACACACACACACACAAGTGTGCATGCACATAGCATATGCATTTAAACTAACGTATCTTTGCATACTTTAACTTAAGAGTCATGCAAATGATAAATTACTTTGAATTCTCTCTTTCTCTCTCTCTCTCACACACACACAACACACATGCACGCACACATGCACAAACACACACACACGCACATACACACACACACACACACACACACACACACACAATACCCACCACATGTATCCCCAACTGTCTGGTAAGCAGCCTGACATACACAAGATCCCTGCACACACTCTGAGTTCACATCACTGCACAGTGCACCAACACTGCAGGGGAACTCTACAGCTGCTATGGGCACTGGAATGGCAACAACATTCATCAGGTCAATGGCTGATATTACAAGACAAATTCGCTTGACAAATATCCAAATTTTGAATATGATCTTAGTAACATCAATTGGAAAATCAACATCAGGTAACTGGCTGAAACTCTTTGAAAAAGTTCATTGGCTGAATATCCAAAAGTTAAAATTGTCATCCTCATATATTTAATTAATTAAAAAATTTATACATATTGTATATCCTTATATATAATGTGCAACAAACATTTATACCATATAATTCAATGTATCAGAAAAACAAAATTATACTCTAAATGCTATAATGAAAACAACAGTTTGACCACAAAATCAACCAGTGAAATGTTTTGACTTAACTCACCACATCTTCCAGTCTGTGGAGAGAACCCATCTCTGCACTGACACTGGGACCCGCGACATGTCATGACGTCACCTTGACACTCTTCTGACCTGGCACAGACATCTCCCAGACTCTTCTTGGGAACTGAGGATGCATATTTAAGTACAAAAATGATAAAAATATCCTCATTCAAAGTCTTTCTGTCTTTAACCAAGAACAATTTTTTTATGTTTCCTCCATCCTTCCACACCACACACATCATGATGCATGCAAAAAGCAGACACCAGAAACGAAAAATTTATGACTAGGCCAATCCAGGCCAAACAGGTAATCTCATTCATAATTAGATTACCAGGTTTGGATTTAATTGGAACAACTCAGGATACTGTGTCTTCTTACCACATTGAGTGCCATCTAGCATAGTATCCATTCCTACACACACATACTGCAAACTAGACAGGAACTGTGTACTTACCACACTGAGTGCCATCAGCATAGTATCCATTCCTACACACACATACTCCAAACTAGACATGAACTGTGTCTACTTACCACACTGAGTGCCATCAGAATCATAGTATCCCTGTCTACACACACATATTCCAGCCCTGCACTCAGCCTTGGCATCCAAGCAGCCTGTGGGTACAGCACATGGTTGCCCCAACCCTGCCTTTGGTACTAAAAGTTCATCAAATTTTTTAAATAATTTATGTGCAAAGCAGAATCTGAATATAAGTATGATGTTAACACGTATAAAGTTCTAGGTAGGAAAGACAAAAATTTCAGTATGCACAACTGCAATAAAAATCTCAGCATGAAAATATCTGATCTCAAAAAATTCAAAAGCTAGCATTAACACATATGATTCTTCTCCTCACCACAGAGTCCATTGCTGATGTAGTCTGTTGCCAGGCAGACACAAGTCCCACTGCTGCAGTATCCACCAGCCTCTGAACACTCTGCACTGGTTTGACAGGAAGCACCAAGGGAAGACAAGGGGACTATATGGAGGTACAAATAAAATATAAAGGGTTACAAGACAAACACAACAGGGTGTGGTGCTATAATTCAGACAGAGGTCAAGAATGAAACCTAATTTGAAAACAGGAGGATTAAAATTGAAGATGCACCTCAGACTAAGGGAGTGCAATATTCAGACCAAAAAAAATTAGAAGATGATGTTTTTTAAATCATGCCACCCTAAAAAAACTTTTTCATCAGAGTAACTTACCACAAATCTCTCCAGATTCGGCATAGCCTTCTCTACACTGACAGACGCCTAGTTTATTACACCTAGAGTCAGCCACCCTGCAGCCTTGATTTGAACTGCACAATCCTCTAAGACCTTGTTGCCCAGCTAAAGGAAACAGACATAAACATTAAATCTCACATGTAACAGAGAGCCATCACTGTAATAAAGACTACTAATTATTTAACACAAATAATAACAAGCAAAGAAAGGTATGTCCATGTACATGTAAGACATTTAAACCTACTGCTGAAATATTCATAGGTAATATTTTTGTGCATTGAGCTGATCAAAACAGAGCAAGAAACAATATGAGAACAAACAAAGAACAAGTAAAGTAGACATGATGGGTTATGAACTCAAATATAGGACTTAAATAACAAAATGTATCATTCATGGTACCCCTAAAACACACACACACACACACACGCGCGCACACGCACCCCTTAGACTTACCACATACACCACTGTTGTCATAGTAACCCTGAGTACACCTGCAAACTCCACCTTCATCACACACTGAGAAAGGCACAGAGCACATGGCTGAGCTAGAACACTGACCATACAGGCCAGAGAGACTGGCTGAAATATCATGTGTAATAACTGTTTAATGAAAAAGTCTTATCAGAAAGATTCCTCTATAAAGTAAGGGTAGGTAATTGTTTTGCATAACATGTATATTCTCAGTTTATAAGAACAACAGAATCATTAAAAAAAAAACAAATTACTTTTAACAGAATATGAAAACACTCAAATATACATCAATAAATTTGAACACCAACCACAGACTCCATGAAGTGCAGTGAATCCTTTCTGACACTGACAGGTACCAGTTCTACAGACAGAGTGAGGGTCACGGCACTCTATGTCTATTCCACATGGATGGCCTAATGGTTGTAAAGGTACTAGAGAAAGAGAAGGACAGTAATGACATGTCAGCAAAGAGCGGGGTGCTGATCTGCTATTAAACAATGACTGTATAGTGAATGAACTGCTCATGTTGGTGAATAAAATAGGCAAGAAAAATACCCTTTAACTCCATTCTACATTTCTTCTCCACCAAAAATAGTGTAAATTCTGACCATGAAAAGCTATCACTATAATTCAGCAGCTTACCACAGTTACACTACCTACAACAGAGATCTCTGTCAGCACTTTAACTGATTTTTCTTACATAGCATGTGGATATTCAATAAACCAGTTACCATATTTCTGCAGTACTTACCACATGCTTCCCTGTCAGCTACATAGACATAGTCATCTCTACATCTACACTGGTTATTCCTACACAGAGTGTGAGGGTGCTGACATTGGGTGCTGCTTTCACATGGCTCACTAAAACCTGCCTCAGAAGCTAGGCCAGAAGATATGCAATATTTATGTGAGAAAGTAGACAGAAATGCTGTCCAATGTACAGATTATAAGGTGTCTCTTAGTTAACAAATTTTAATGCTGTAGTGTATAAACAAGATAATTTGAAAAAAAAAATTCTTCAAACTTGCTATCATGAAAGTGAAGAACATGATCTCTCTATCCTATTGTAATTATACAATTACTTACCACAATTCTCCCCCTCAGGTAGGTACCCTTGCTTACAGCTACATGCCCCATTACTACACAAAGCATTGGGAGTCTCACACTGGAGATCAGTAGAACAACTGGCAAACAGGGTACTAACAGGGACTGGAATGAACACACAAAGTGTCAAATAATGAAGCATAACTTAAGTGAATAGCTAGGAAGTTTTCAGCAATTTCTAAAATTTCCTGGCTACACTTATATCTTTCAAATCTAGCTGTACTAAACTGTTTTTCATTTAATTCTGTGAGTAAACAAATGCATGTTTTTTATGCATGTTTTCAAACAAATATCTTACAGTGGTCACTTACCACACTGGCCATTGAGGAAGGCATCCGCATAACGCTCTGTGCAGACACACCTGCCACCCAGACAGTCACTGTGAGCTGGCCGACACTGAGCACCTACTGTACACTCCTCATTTAGTGATTTCAAGGGCTCTGGAAAATGAAATATAATTCATTGGGATTATGGAACATTTTGCATAAACAGGATAAACAGGAAAAACTGTAAAAATTATTAAATTGCAGAAAGACTGCCCAGATGCAGCTCTATTTCTAATGCTATGCACATTTATTCTATTTACTCTGAACAAATCCTGATATTTCAAAAATATTTCAATTTTTCTATTTGGTTTTCACAAATGCAGTGCTTAAAAGAAAACAGTACAATTCAACTAGTACTTAATTATGTATAGCAAGAAGGACAGAAACAAGTACCACATGCTCCTTGTACTTCCACATGGTTTTGAGTGCATGCACATGTTCTGTTTTCGCACACTGCATTTCTTGCCTCACACTCTGCATGTGTAGAGCACCTGGAGCCAAGTCTTTGCAGAGGAACTGAAATAGACAAATAATAATGTTCATGTAGTGATTTTCTCTACCTGTAATCACATGTATTCCTTTCCACACTCATTCACACTGATAACCATCATAACATTAATACAACTGACCTTTCATATTTTTTAAAAGATCAGTGAAACTCAAAAATCTTCCTGCATTTTCTACAGTAAACACATATAAGCATTCAAAAAGAATTCAATATATCATATTAAAACACTTACTACACTTGTCTATGATGGCTATGTAGACAAAGCCAGCTCTACACAGACATTGTCTATTGTGACATAACGTGTTGGTGTGAAGACACTCTTCCTGTCTGGAACACTGAATTGTCAGGCTCTTCTTTGGCTCTGGGTGAATGAGACAACACATATAAGAGATCACATCATTCAGAAAAAAAAAGACATTTAAATATCTTAAAAGTTGACATTTTCTAAAACTGGTGAAAAATTCAACCTCATCTTCAAAACTTGACAATTCAAAACTGGTGACACTGACATCAACAAAGATCTCCTTTTCTTGTATTGTGCACACTTACAGATCAAATACAATAGTTCAAAATCTGCCCTTATTCAATATACCTACCACATGTGTTACTGGTTTGATAGAATGAGGGATGACATACACAATATTCCTGTATACAGACTGCCCTGTTATCTACACATCCATTACCAGGGAGACACGGGTTTCCTAGGCCACCACGACCAACTGAAATATAGAGGTTTTCTCATAATATGTAACAACAATGCGGAACAAGAAAATAAAATCTCAATCAAAAGCATTAGGAGTGAGAGCCTAATTAAGCGGTCTAAATGTGAAATACTTTCATGTCTATTTCCCTTACAAAAAATTACATAAATGAATATTTTGTCATGTTTAGTGACATCAAAAGCATAGCTTATATAATATATAGAAAGAAAATAATATGTTATTACCTACCACATGGCCTTTACTCCAATTAAGAAAAGACAGATACTGATACACATAGTATAGATAGTATATATTAAGTTTACAACTCACCACACTGTCCCTCCAGTTCAAAGTGACTAGGTCCACACTGACAGGTGCCCTCTGCTGTACACACTGTGTTATCACTGGCACAGGCTGCAGTAGTGGTGCATGGTCTGCCTAGAGATACCTTACTCACTGACGGGGTACCAAAATATTCTTATGTAATGTTAGTTTTTAATTGAAATAACAATATCAATGACACAGGTTGATTCTTTGCTTGTATAATACCTTTCCAACTGCCAAATTACTGATCAGCAGATATTGAATTACAAGATGATTTTGTTTTGTTAAGTCATTAGGATTTTGTTCATCTAATTCATTTAAAGGACCTTATACATGTACCTCCACCATGCAAGACTCATCTTCTACCAACATTCACAATAGCAGTAAGAAAGCATTATTGTTTCTAACAAATGATAACACGTTTCAGTGCAAATGTCATGCACATCTTCATCAAAACACATAAATTCAATGTCAAGTCAAAACTTGCCCCCAGTAAAAGTAATTGGTGCAGTTACATGTACAGTTGCCCCCATGTAAAAGTAATTGGTGCAGTTACATGTACTCTACTTACGACACTTCCTCCCATCCTGGTAGTAGTCTGCAGAGCAACCACAGCGCCCTCTAGTGCAGACAGCATGCTGGTCATAGCAAACACCACCAGGGGCACACATGTGGTCAAGTCGGCCCAACTGTCCCTCCTCTGGCTCAGCCACTATTAATAATATAGTATGTTTTAATTCATATTATAAAAGTGGTAAGACAATTAGTGGGTGGGGTGACTATACTCAGTTTATGGAAAATCATGAATTTCTACTATCAATTACATTTTCTACGAGGTGATAAAATTTTTTCAAGCAAAAATTTTAAAAAAAGTTTCATGTCACATTTACAAGGTGCCTGCATATATTTTGGCTTACCACAGATTCCATTCTGTTCCATGAAGCTGTTGCTACACTTACAGACTCCACCCACACACTGTGCATCTTGTGTCTGACAGACATGAGAGCTGGTGTTACAGGGGGAACCCAGGGGGATTCTGGGAACTGGAGAAAATTGTGTAAAACTTGTGTAAAATGTAGACAGTTCTGTGTATAAATGACTACATTTATTTTTAGTTAACCACAAAATAATGTAATCATGCTTATTATAAATGATGCTTCTTAGTCATATGCAGACAGTATAAAAATAACCTGTACTTATTTTCTATCTAGAATACCAGAACTAGTATTTTTAAAACCCATTTACTTTAATAATAGCTTACAATGCAGAGAGAAAATACTGATGGGACAATACAACTTACTACATCTGCTCTGTCTGTCAGACGACAGTTTTTCACACCTGCAGATGTCAGCACTGCAGATGGCGTTGGAGTTGCACACCATGTCCGACGACTTACAAGGTGAACCAGTCAGAAAACCCTTCCTCTCTGTAAAATAGTACTCAAATATGAAATTGAAAAGAAGAACTTATTTTAAATGACAGTGTTATGTTGGAAAATATTTCAGTACAGGTACTGTATGTGTTGGGCAAATATCATTTTTAATAAGGTAATAATTCTTAGTAATTACATTGCACTTGTACTGCTAGAACTGTTTTACATTTTGAGCACATCTTACCACATTTTCCATTCCTGTGATAAAACTCTGGTCCACAGACACATGTGTTGTTGTCACACTGAGTTCCCAGATCAACACAAGCACCTGACTCCAGACATGACAAACTAAAACTACCTCTGCTCACTGGAGAATAAATAAAGATCAATGCTAAAAATTGTTTATTTCTTCCCTCCCACTGCAAAACACTATAAAAATGGGAAGAAATTAAGTGTTCTATTTTCCTTTTGTTTTTTACAAATAGCCAATCACTTAAGGTAGTTATATGTGAATGCAGACTTTGGTATACTCATCTCACAGAGCAACTGTCAATATGACATTTGCTAGAGGAGTGCAATGGAAACAATGTCCACATCTTATGTTAGAATGAAAATGGAAATGAGCATTAAAAATATACTAAAATCATGAAATCCCTGAGAACAACCATATTACAGAGCCAACCTACCACATCTGTGTTCACTTGGTTCAAATCCTCTGTTACATATACAGAAACCTTCCCTGCAACTGGCTTGGCTGTCCATGCACTCTTTATCTGTTGAACACCCCTCACCAACCTGAGCTTTGGGAACTAGTGAATGTAATGTAATGTAATTCAGAACAAAAATTATAACTAAAAAAATCATATTGTAAAGAAAGGTGGAGAAGAACATTTAGTTCATATGCAAGATAAAAGACATTTTTTTTAATTTAAAGACAAATGTAATTCTGAGAGGAGTTTCTTTTGCTAATTACTATAATTGCTAACATGCCATTAAAATTACCAAGGTGGTTATACTTACTGCAGATACCATTGCTTAGATAATGTGTTGGGAGACACTGACACTGCTTTCCCTCTGAACAATAGGTGTCACTCTGAAAGCACTGATATCCTGGCTGAACACAAGAGGAGCCAATCTGACCAGGTTTACTACCTGATACTTAAAAAAATTTGAAAAAGACCATGTAGCAAAGATGTATGTAAAAAACAATTTACCAATGAAACAGAAACAAAACAATCCAGAGAAACAAACCCTACAATTTTATATACTATTGCTTGCTTGTACATTATTAAAAAGTATTCTTGCTTAATATTTCACTTACTGTCAACTAGTTTAACCATCCACAGCCTACTCTTGTCAAAAAACTCACCACACTGCCCTCTATCTGCCAAGGCCCCCTCAGGACATGTACATTCATTGTCCAAGCAAACCAAACCAATCTTACACATCTCATCAAAAGTACACAGTTCTCCAAACTTGGACCTCAGTACTGGAATGCAGGTAAAAAAATACAATGACTCCAATATGGAATTAATTTGTTCAACCATAAAACATGTAAAACAATGCTTATTATGTAATACTTTTTCAAAATAACATAAAAATAGCAGTATTTCAGAAAGATATATAGCAACTGTTCAAGCTTACATTGACAAAAAGGAGGAACTTACCACATGCATCATTGCTGTGAAATGCATCATCTGCACACAAGCAGACGCCATTGAAGCAGGCCATGTTAGGTCCAGAACATACTCCATCCTGCCTACAGGGCCCAGACAGCTGACCCCTTAGCTCTGACATAGCAGAAAAAATGCAAGTCATGATCTTCATAAACAGCATTATAAACATTTAATGGGGGCAAAAACCATTATAAATTTGTAAATTGTGGAGAAAGTAAGGAATTATCTGCATTTGCTTACCACACTTCTCAGCCTTCAGATAATGAGTTGTTACATCACAGAGACACAGGTTCTGATGACATGATGCACCATCATCACTGCAACTGTCTCCCTCCTCACAGTCTGCATTCAAAGCAACTTTAGGCACTGCAAGAACAATAATATTATATCAAGTTTTTATATTCATTATCTACAGAATAAGTACATTTCTAATATATGCAATATCTTGTCATTCAACCATGCAGCATGTACTAGTATTCCTTTTTTATACTTATTTTACATAATATTTTTTTTCAGATTGAATTGTGAGGAATTACACTAAAATGCAATTTAAGTGTATGTAGGTGTCTCAAATCTATGTTGACAGTTGCTGTTAGTTGGTTATCAATGTTCATATTTTTGTCCTTTTGACAAGAATTAGTTTTCATAGGGATATTCTTTTCAGGCCTGTAAAAGCACACACTTCAGTTATTAAGTTTCTAAAATATGAGCAGTAATCAAAACTATAAAACTCTTTTTTCCTTATTACTGACGGTCAAAATCCTCCCATTTTTAAATAAAAAACCAACCTGATCTTTCACACACTTCTACCTACCACAGCTGTCTTGTTTCCTAAAGAATCCATCTTGACAGCTGCAGACCCCGCCATCACATACAGTACCTGGCTCTGGACACTGAGCAATGGTATCACAGACTACCACACTTCTCTCTGGAACTACAATAACCATACTATCAACTTTTTAACTCCAATTTTACTCCAATTTTTTTAAATTATACATACCAATGTTCTATTTCTTTAAGTTTAACATTTCAAAAAGTCTGCCAAGAGCTAAGGCTGCTTATGATGAGTTTTGCAAAACCATGTTTAAAGTTGTTACTAACAAAACACTGTTTTGGGAATTACAAAATCAGTTCTGTTTAAATTCATTGGGCAATTAATGCATATAATAAATATTTCCTGGAAAACATATACATTTACACTATTTTTTAATCCATTTGTAAGCAAGAGTACAATAATAAGGTCATATCTATAACAAACATACACCATATTCTGGAAAGTCTTTGAACCCATACCACACTGTGCATATACAGGGTATCTTACCACACTGTGTCCTATGCTGTCTGTACCCTGTCTCACATACACATGTTCCCTCCACACAGGTGGTGTCCTGATCTGAGCAGGCTCTCCCAGGTAAACAAGGGCTCTGGAGTCTGCCACGGGCAGCTGGAAATAAGAAAAACATGAAAATGGAAATACTTTTTGCTGATTAGATAATTGATTTAAAAGTAGGCTGTTTCTGGATATAATTCACATTTGGTCTTGTTTTTCACTTCAGAAGTACACATTACAAACAGATATATTGCTTTCATTTCTAACATATGATGTGATCCATAATCACATTTGTTACTTGTAATACACACTTCATTTTGAATATAACTATGCAAATAGCAACTTGTTCAGTTCTCTTACCACATTTCCCTCTGTCTTCAAAGAACATATCTGAGCAGACACAAACACCATTTCTGCACTCAGCATTGCTGTCCTGGCAGGTGAGGCTTGAATTACAAATGGAACCTATGCTCCTCTTGGGCACTGGAATGTTTTTAACATATTGTTTAAAATAATTTTGAACTTTATAATAATGGTAGACAAAGAGACAAAGCTTTGAACAGTGAAATGGTGATAAATACAATGGACATTCATTGCTGGTTTAATTTCGCAACAAACATACGTACCACATTTTCCATCATGAGCCACATATCCCAGAATGCAATGGCACAGTCCAACACTTGTGCAATGTGCATTGACATCTGCACAGTCCTCACCACCAGAGGGCAGGCAACGTCCACCTGCTGCGCCTTCATATGACACTGAGACTGAAAAAATATGTGTAAGCTGCTGAGTTACAAAGTTTAGAAAAGTACAAAGTTCTCAAATATCATATGGTAAATTTGGGTCCTTATCTCATATGAACATGGACACTAAACATCACAAACTTCAAAATCAGGCAAATTAAAATGTGAAAAGCAGATAATTTAATCTTTTTTGAGGACCTTTCCTCACCACATGCATCCAGCTGAAGATCCTTGGAGAAACCTTCCTCACACTCACAACTCCGAGTGGCTTCACTGCATTTAGCTTGAGGGTCTTCACATTTATCAGCAGGAGTGCAGAAGGCATCCAGCGTTTTCTTAGGAACTAAGATTGTAGACAATATTTTAGTCAAAATTGTTTTTTTTTTTTTTACAAAATGAAGTAAAGATAAAAAGCATGCATCTTAAGTAGAGCAAATCAATAAACTAAATTAGAAGTTAATACACAAGACCCATACAAAAGCATAAAAATGTCAAGACAAATATATATAACTTCTTTTATACATACTTCACAAAAGCTAAGCACTTTGTTTCTACTTACTGCAGAGATTTTGTTTTTCATAATAGTTTTCACTACAGAGGCATATTCCATTGCTACAAAAAGTATTTGGATCCTTGCAAGAGTTTCCATCATCACAAGGGGTGTTCAGCTTGCCTTTGGCCTCTGGATAAAAAATGAACACTCAGAGACATGAAATCACCTTTTACAACTCCACACTGTGTTAGTATGTGAGCCATCCACGTTTTATGTGAGCCATAAACATGTTTTACACTCTGTCTTCTTTTCCCACACCCAGCCCATTGAAAATATCTTCAACCAGTCATATTCATTTGAGATAAAAAATAAATAAAAGCAACTGTTACTGTGCCTATCATTTCATATTTGAACTACACTGGAAGGAACAGATGTGACAAAAATTACAAAAAATATATATGGTAGGGAAAAATGTAAAATATCAATTATGTGCTTACTGCATCTGCCTCCCTGTTCATAGTAACCATTTCTACATCTACAGGCATCCTCTCTACACTCTGCATTCCCGTCCAGACACTGGTCTCCTTGCAGACATGTCGATGACAGGGGCACCTTGGGGACTGAAAGGTGAAGAAAATATAATTTCTTGTTGTTCTTCTGTGATTTAGAAGATCCTGGGCAACCAGATGGAAATAATGGGGACCAATATACTAGTATATGAGCTGGCATAATTTAATCATTATACATACATGTATGCACCGCACAGATCAACATCATTAAAAATCATATTTGTGATTAGTTTTTTTAATTGAAATACTATATTCTATTACAATACATTAGCAAATTGCAAGTTATTGTAAAAAATACATATATCTAAATGGTTTTCTATATTCTATCCCATAATATATGCACTAACTACATGCACTCACCACAGACCCCATGTTTAACAAAATGGTCCCCCTGGCACTGGCACTGGTTGTTAACACACTCAGCACTGGGGTCACTACACCTGTCCCCAGGGAGACATGTTCTACCCAACTCACCCAGGGGTACTAAAAGAAATACGGGACCAAAAAAATTTTATATAAAATTTCTACACTGTCCATTCTTATCATTTTCTAAGATGAGTTTAATATCATATTAATTATTCCATCTATCAAAGTACATCAAGATTGTTCATGAATGTTCAAATCAGTCAAACCAGGAAATCTGAGGATTTATAAACTCTTTTGACTTTATACAGCATGTGACTCAACTTGAGTAACCCTTTAACTTACCACATCTGTCTCCCTGCCTGTGATAGTTGTGTCTACACTGACACATTCTGATGTCAGAGTCCTCTGACCCCCGACAGACCACGTTGTCCCCCTCACATATATCTTCCTGATCACACTGGCTGTTGTACGATACATGGGGAACTGAGAACAGTAAAAGGAGAGTAAAAAAAAAATTATCTAAGAGAAACAGTTAAACAAGTGAGACACATATAGTTTTTAAACAAAGAAGTTTGTAGGATTTGGTTTCATAATCTACATAATCATGTGAAAAATAAAGTGTTTTTCACTTATATAATGGGCAGATTGGTTAATTAATTTATTTTTGCTAATTATGCAGTTATTCATAATTTCATATCTGTAAAATGACTGATCCTATGTGGACAAAACAACAAACTGCCATCCTACCACAGAGAGCATTCTTGACAAAATACCCAGAGTCACAAATACAGACTCCCCTGTCGCATACAGAGTTGGTCACCAGGCAGCGTTCTCCTTGCAGACATGGAGTCAAAACTTGTCCATTGGATGCTACAGAGAAAACAGAGGAAGTATTTAAAACTTGAAAAAAATGTCCAAATCTACTGTATGTAAATGTTGTGTGGTTTTACTACATTTGGCATTAAAATTGTAATGACCATATAAATGTAAGTCTTTACAAGACCAAAACTGCTGAAAGCAATTGATTTTGATAAACTGTCAAACAAACCACAGCATTAATTAAAAATTTTACTGCATTATAATAATAATGACACTTACTGCAAACATCTTGGGCATTTGGGAAGAAATCTTGTTTACATACACACCGCTGTTGCTGGCACTCTGCATTTTCATCATCACAAACATCTCCTTCAACACATGCACTGTACAGCTTCTTCTTACGATCTAAAAAAAAAATATTTTAAATTAGTAAAAATAATTAGAATTGCACCAACTAGTTCTTTTTATGCTTCACATCTGCATAAGTTTGATCATTAAAGTTTCAGGTTTACCTCACAGTTTAAAATTTGAGATTAATTGTGCTAACAACATTGACAAACACTTCCTTTCCATTATTCTTTTCTAGAAGAATGACCAGAAAGTGAAAAAAGACCATATTGCTTTTTCTTGTCTGACTGGAACTCAAAATATATAATTCAAATGTACCACATGTGTCACTCTTCTCAAAGTGTGTTTCTACACAGACACATGTTCCCTGGAGACATTCAGCAAATCTGTCATCACACTGTCCGTTAACTCTACAGGGGCGACCCAGCCCTCCTTTGAGGACTGAAAGAAAAAAAGTACATTTTTACATTTTTCATATTCTCTAATGATGTCTTTGATTACATATAATCATTACAATCTGCAAGAATCACTGCAATTAACCATTTTTGATCTGAACAGGTAAGCACAGAAATAATACAGAGGGTAAATAAATAATGATCAAATCATCCAAAATGACTGAAAAATAAAAAATCAGTTAGGAAAACCAAGACAACTATATGAAATATAATACATACATACCACAGGTAGAATTGTTTGGAAAGAAGTCATCAGAGCACTGACAGCTGCCATTGGTACACCTAGCATGTAGATCAGCACAGGGATGTAGATCAGTAGGGAGATCTGGACACTGCTCTCCTAGTGCCAGCTTGGGAACTAGTATTTAAAATATCACAGTAGAAACTTACTCTTTAAGTCAGCACAAGAGCTAGCAGAAAGTCACTTATAGCAGTTTGTCAATTACAGAGATAGGATATTATTGTAACATCAGTAATTCAGTCTTACGTATTTTATACAAAAATACCAAACTGGATGCCTCAATTTGACCTGCATACATAAATTGTAAAATGAAAATGCAAACAATCTCAATCTCTTTTTATTGAGCCAATTTTTTTCAACTGAATCAGTTTTAAAGTGTCTTTTGCTGTGAAATCTCACCACATCTGTCCTGTTCCAGGTAGTGTGTATCCTGACACTGGCACACACCATCCACACAGACACTGTGATCATCAGTACACTCTCCACCAAGACACAGCAAACCCAGGATACCTCCTAGTACTGAGAATTACAGAAATCTACATACAATTATATGTAAAATTGCATAACATTAAACAGTTATTAATATCCCTAATAGTTAAGTCTTCAGGTAAGATATTAATATTGATTTCTCAAATTTAAAATAGTTCTCAACAAAAGTAAGCAGCCAAGGTGGTACTGATACTGATTTGTCAAAAGCCATCTTGTTTCCACTTACCACAGTGCCCATCTACGAGATGGAAGTACTCTATACACGTGCATTCACTGCCAGAGCACGTGGAATGCACGTCTCTACACACATCATCTGGAAGACAGCGCTCTCCAGGTGAAGGTTTCAACACTAGAAATGCAGAGAAAATATTAACTGGTATCTTTCTTATTTTTTGTCATTTAAATACTTAGGAATAAGTTAATTTGTCTTCATATGTCATATTCCAAACCAACATGTTCATATCTGTGCATTAATATTTTAAAAGATTTTGTTGCGAACAATGGTACATGTGTCAGTAAGATTCTTCTTAATTTCCATTTTTATTACTTTAGTTTTTTGATAACCAATATTGAGACAATAGAGTCAATGTTCTCCTTTATAAGGTAAAACAAATGCTGTCCAGTTAAGTCAACAATACTTTCATGTTCCTTGATATCATCTAAATATTCAGTCTCCTTACAACATTGTCCTTGTTTGGGAAAGAAGTCATCCTCACACAGACAGCGGTCATCTTGGCAGACAGTGTGGTCAGCCGAGCAGCGGTCACCAGGCAGACATGGCTTCAGGACCAGGCCACGCAGCTCTGGAAATAATGGGATAATACGTGTATAATCCATCCTTGTTTGTTTTCCTTTTTTTCAAAAGAATTATATGTATTTTTCACTTACATCAGCCAGATGTTTGAATTCATGGTCAATCTAATAAACTGGTGTTTAACTTGTTTTCAAAGTACAGGAGAAATAAATTATTAGCACTAAATACTACATGAACAACCAATTTTGGCTTTTCAGCATTTTTAGCAGCTATAGATTATCACATGAAATTAAAGAATCTTCATTCTAAGGCCAAAGTAAAATATTTGTTGGGCATAAAGGCATTGTTGGGCAAATAAAATTAGTGATGTTCTTTAGATTCATACATGCACAAGAAAAGGTAGTCCACCTAAACCATGCACAAATGAAGATGTAACATATGTGAAACAGGCAGGAGGTAGTAACGAAACATATACTGTATATATAACTAATATACATATGTGGGTTTATACTTACTACACATATGTTCCTCCTCGTCCTGGTAGAAGGACTGAGTGCAGATACAGGTAGAATTGATACACCTGGCACTGGGGTCTGCACACACATCCTCCTGCCCACAGGACACTGACAGTCCCAATTTCTCCACTGAAAAGGGAAACTTACACGGTCAGCAAAAAAGAACATATGATATAGGGAGTGCACGCTAATTTCATTTTGTATGCAACTTAAAAACATTTTCAAATGTACATTTTTTATTTCTCCTTGGAAACAAAACACCATTCTATTAGCAACGCATCCAAAGGCCAGCCACCACTCCACTTTATATACTACCATTAGACATACATACATGTACTATAGCCTCAATTTTTCTACCTACCACATTTATCATTCTTCTTATAATGTTCAGAGTCACAGACACACTGCACCAGGACACACTCTGTGAAAGCTGCCACACACTGGGCACCAGGTAGACACGGGGTGTCCAGGAAACCCCTGGGGTCTGGAAATATATCAAGACACTATAAAGACATCACACTGGACCCTACAGAACTATGGGGTCTGCAGAAACTAACTGGAGACTAGGGAAGAAAGCTGTTACCAAACAGTATAAAGCAATATTAAAGATGACATTTTTAACCATTTTGAAACACTATGGTTATTCAAAATGGTTAAATGGTTACCGAAAATAGCCTTGTATTTATTTAAGAATTAAACATAGGTGTGCTTAATATATCTTTCTTGAATGTTTTTTTCATACATGCAATTTTTCAAACAGCAGATCAATTATATTTATGGTGAAGAAATGGAATGTTTAAGAATGCCAATACTAACTGCACATCTCCTGTTCGTAATAAAATTCCTGTTTGCATTCACATGTTCCACTCTCCGCGCACTCAGCATTCGGATCTGCACACACATCTTCTGATCCAAATGTGCAGTTAAATGTGGTTAAAATATTTGGTTCTGAAAACAAAATGAAAAATAAGTTAATCTCATCACTTATGCCATTTGAAAATTTTGTATTTGCCAGTTTCCATTACTTTTAACAATGTAGGCCGGTCCATTCTATTTATCAGAAATCTTATCATTTTATCCAACATCTAAATATAAAAATAACAACATCTGTATCAATTTCTATAACACCATACTGTGCCGCAGCCAGGGGGGTTCAGGGGGTTAGAAGGAACCCCTTTTTTGTAGGGAAAAGGTCCCCTCTGGGTAAAATTTTTTTAGGTTCATGAAGGTTTCATGGTAAAGGTCCACTTTTTCACAAAAAGAACCCCCCCCCCCCATATGAAATTGCTAGCAGTGAACCTTACCACAGTGGCCAGACTTTGAATGATAGTCCTCAGTGCAGCTGCACATATTGTCCTGCTGATCACACACGGCATTAACATCTTTACAAACGTCCAGTCCAGGGTCACACGTGGCCGCCAGGGAGCGCTTTAATTCTGAAAAAATTGGGAGTATTTTGCATATTCTTAAGAGTCAAAACGGTTTGTTTTCATCATTTTGTTAAGTGGAATATCTTAATGAATATACACTGCTGTACTGCCCAGTTTGTTGGCAGTAAGCAATGGCCATAAATATTTACATATACACACGAAACCACTTCTGAAGTAAAAATTTGTTGAAATATCATCAACATCATAAAATCAATTTGTTCTAACGTAATCCGCGATACCCATTTCAAACAAATAAACAATTATATGACTTGTGAATACAAATTTACCACAGGCAGAGTTTTTCTCATAGTGTGTATCCAGGCAGAGGCAGTGGCCATCTTGGCACTTTGCACTACTGTCCATGCACAGGTAGGTTGGACCTGGACATGGCTCATTCAAAGGAACTTTCTTTTCTAGAAGAATTATATAACAGATCTGTATGTTTTTTTTCTGTTTTAAACGAAAAATTATTTGGGAAACAAAATCAAGCACTTTTTCCCTCATAATTGATTTTTTTTGATACAATACGTATCTAATGCTTTTGTCTTCTTGACTATTACAATAATAAAACTAAAACTTAAATTTGAAGTCTTTATCAATTTGGACTAAAAGTCGTGTTGACTGTACCACATATATTCTTATAAATATTTTGCATATGTTCTAAACAAACTCATAAAAACTAAATAGCACACCACACTCTCCCTCAAGTTCAAAATACTCCTCCTGGCACCGGCAGATATCATCACACGCTGCATTGGGGTCTGCACACTGGGCCTTGGTAACGCAGGGAGCACCAAGGCCAAAGTGGGGAACTGAAATATTTTTTTGCATAAATTGGAAATTTTTCACTTAAAAGATTAACATAATTACAGTGGAAATAACTAAATATTGTAAAAAAAATTCTGATATGTTTACTGTGATGCTCTATAACAATTTTCAAAAGTTTACATTTAAAATGTGTCCAAATATAAAGAACATAATTCAAAACTCACCACACTTGTTTTCAAAGAAATGGAAGTCTTCTTTGCACCTACACTGTTGATTGCAGACAGCATTCTCATCTGCACATTCATCTTCCGAACTGCAGGACTCCTCGTGAAGCTTCTTTAAAACTGTTATAAAATATGGATTTTATATGGATATTATATCTATATAGATATTATAACTACTTAAAACTCATCTCTTCAGCACAACACATGCTACTTTTACAGTAAGTTTAAAAATATATATGCAATACTACGTAAATGTGGTAAAATAGCAAAAAAAAAAAAAAAAAAAAAAAAAAACTCAGGTGTCATTTGACAATTCTTCTTACACTGCAATCATTGTGATAAGAAAATATTTCATACTAAGGCAATAGATTATTCAAAGAGAATGGAGCGCGCGCACACACACACACACACACACACACACACACACACACACACACACACACACACACACACACATTTAATATAAATATATTATATGGTAAAAATCTTCATATTGCCTTACCACAAGTACTGTCCCTGTTTTTGTAATGTGTGGCTCTACAGCTACACTTCCCATTCTCACACAGTGCTACTGGGTCAAGGCACTCTTCTCTTCTTGTACAGCTTTCATCTATCAGTACTTTAGACTCTGATTGAATATGAAATAAATAATCCATAAATTCTCAATTAATAAATATCATAAGTGATTTTTCAGTTTTAAGATAAATGCAGAAACAGTATATCCTGAAATATGTGGAATCATAAAATCCCTTTCATATGCTTATTTAAACAATCTAAAGAGAAAGAGTAAAGACGGGGTGCCCAATTTACCACATTTATTCTCCTTCTCAAAATAGTCTGGGTTACAGGAGCAGGTGCCCTGAACACATGCTGAGTTTTCATCACTGCACTCATCAACCCTCAGGTCACACTTAGACTTCAGCTCAAGCTTGAGGACTGGCAAGAAATATAAAGAAATCATAAAAATAATATCATATTATCAAATAACTGTTGTTTACTTTCTGTATATTTTAAGAAAGGGGCATAAAAACATGTCTTTAGGAATTCTGCAGATATAGAAAAAATCATCATGCATGGCCTGTATGAGCAAGTGCATTCTGAAATCAAAGCAAAGTAAGTAGAGCACAGTCCTTTTGATAAAAGGACTCACATACAGAAACGTGCCCCTCAACCGCTTACCACATGAACTGTCTTTATTATAGTATGCCCCCACACACTGACATGTGCCCCTCAACCACTTACCACATGAGCTGTCTTTATTATAGTATGCCCCCACACACTGACATGTGCCCCTCAACCACTTACCACATGAGCTGTCTTTATTATAGTATGC